TTATATTGATATGTTCATTTTTGAAAAAGTTATGGCACTTTTAAGTAAAAAAAATTGAAAAAATTTCGAAAATTAGCGATTTTTAAATTTGTAATTTTTTTGGAGGTTTCCCCCTTTTACGCGGAACGAGGGAATTTTTTTCAATTTTTAAGGTTAATGTTTTTGACTAGATACGATTTGTGATCTTTTGACGTATCATTGAAAGAAATCGGTTCGGTGAGAACTGAGAAAAAGTGGTAACAGACACAAAAAAAAAAAAAAAAAAACACATCTTAGTAAAACCAATACCTTCTCAGCTTCGCATCGAAGCTAAAATATAAACTGAGACTGACATACTAACAATTGTCAAAACGTCTCTTTTAATCAAATATTTATATTTAAACCACCTACTTAAAATAATAAAAAATTTACGACGATCCTACTCAGGCCATTGTTCTATTATTCTATGTCTAACACCATAGCTCCTAATCGCAATAACTATTACTTTTTAAATAATAAACACACAAACTGAGAAGTTCATAGAAGTATAATTGATACAAATATTAATCTTAATATTAATTTAAAAAACTTCAAATATATGGTTAATGCAACTAATAATATAGTTAATCCTTATTTCAAAAAATAAAAAACACCCTGCCTATCTTTTATAAACCTGTAAGTTTGTTGCCACTATTTCAAAACTTTGCGATGAATTAATCTTAAAATGAATAGATAAAATAATAATTTGAAATAATGATATAATATTTAATTTGAATTTTATGAAGGTCACTTACTATCCACCAAATGAGTATGGTATCCCGGACATTTCTTTAAACTTCCTAACGTTTTACCTCATAAATACTTTCTCTTAAGTCATACTAGTAATTTTGTCATCAAGATTGGTACAGAAATTTTACCAACTTGCCCAATTAAAACAAATATCCCTCAAGGCGCAATTTCCTTTCCTTTACTGTTTAAAATATATAATATTAACAATACAATAACTAAAAATATACTCGTCGCAGATTATGCAGACGATAAAGTACTTAAAAGTATATATATTCATAAAAATAATTTTCAATCACATTTAACTGAAATGTTTAACTGATGCTAGAAGTAGGGCGTAAAAATAAATGCTGCTACTTAACGTTAACCCAGAAACCTACAAATTTTTATAAATAATAATTCTATTCTCACAAAAAACCAAAACCAAGTACCTTGGCCTAGTGCTATGGGATTCATGAAAAAAAAACACCAAACAAATTCAAATTATCCAATCAAAAACTCTACGTTTAATTCTTAAAACTTCCCCTTACGCTTAAAATGAAACAAGTCTTAATGATCTACACACACTTACTATCAAATATACTGCTATTATAATATATAAACGTTTCTGTAACCGCCTTCTAAATCATTCAAATCCTTTTATTAATAATTTATCCTCTTTAAATCTATCAAATAATTTTCCTTAATGTTTAAAAAGATCATAATGTAGAGACTTCCTAAAAACTAAAGTGTGTGAAAAACTAAAGTCACAGAAGTGCAATCACAGGGTAATTTACCCTCAAATTATTGTCAATTATAAAAATGTAAACAAATCATAGCATAAGATCTTATTGTGAATATATATTTACAGATTTTATTTTTTCTTAAACGATTAAAAAACATTATTATATAATTAACAATAAAACAGATATTTTGGAAATGACCTGATATTTCAGTTTACGATTTTATATAAATCTCCTATTACATTAAGTACTTCGATACTAAACTATAGTTTATTTATTAGTAGATATTGATATTTTTCAGCACATTAGAGAACTAAATTAAAAAATCCAAATAATAAAAGAAAGCAACAATATTTGTTAAAAAGAAATTTTTTTTCTACAATTTATCTATATTGCATAATAATATTTCATACAAATCAAAGGTACATTTCTGTTGTTAAAATAAAATGTTTAGTATATAGTATACTATTATTTACAAGGGTTTTTCATTAAAGAATTCCTTGAATTACTTTGTCTAATTTAAGATTATTAAACATTTTTAACTTGAAGGTATAAGGGTGAAATAATTCTTATATAATTGAATTATAAACTTGTAACATTTAAATGGTGAGTTAAAATATCAACATAAACAGATAAATAATTTATATGATACAAGTAATTTAATGTCTATAGAAACAAGATAAAACAATGTGAATATAAACACTGAATAGAATAATATCATTTTTTATTTAATAGCATAAAAATCCTTTAATCAAACGTAAAATCATATCAAGAGTTATTTTAATGGATAACTATTATGAAGTGTTGGGTTTGAAAAATACATGTTCAAATTATGAAGTATTAACAGCGTAAGTACAAACAAAAATATATTCACGTTATATTATTACTTTAGAGATATTCAATTCATTATTAAGAATAGATGACGTGAAACACTATACTACTTTTTGCTATGATTATTCTCTCAAGGTTTTATTTTTATAGATGTTTAGTCCTAATTAACAAAAAAAACCTGAGTTGTTTAATAAATTAAAAAAAAAATAACCTTTTCAATATTGTCTAGTTTTAAAAATAATAATAAATAATTAAACTCTATGAAACTATTCAACTAGAATATTCAACAATAAATTAATAAATTTTGTATTTACCGTATAATTGCAAAAAAAAATGATACGCTTAAATATTGTAAAAACTAGTAAATCTGCGTGAATTATTGTGAAAATGTCTATTTTTTTGTAAGAATACTTTTTATATTCTCATGAAAATACGCCAATATATTTTTTTAATTAATAAGATATATAAGACACTAAATTTGGCCACTTTGGGCTTTCCTAGGAGAGAAATTCAAGTTATGAATGTTAAACAATACCTACATATACAGGGTGGCCCACCACTCACTGACAACTTAAATAACTTTTGATCCAGTTAATATTTTTAGCTGATTTTTTTTTTAAACATTAGTTAGACGTTAGGTCTATAGCTATATCTCAATAATTAATTTTTTTACATTTTATTAAAAATATTAATTATTTTTAAATTTTAAATAAAATGTAAAAAAAAAATCTAAGATAGCTATTTTGTAGAGTAGAATTTAAGAAAAATTTTAGTAAAAAAATATCTTATTAATATTCAGTAGTAAATATTCTGTAGCGTTTTGAAGTTTGTGAAAATTTGAATTTTCATGTACTATTTTACGGTATTAAACATTGAAATACGTATTGAGAAAAGGACAGAAGAAAACGCTATCTTTTCATGATTACTGTGTATACATATGATGATAATGTGTATACATTACAAACTTGGCATTAATACCATGATAAGAAATTAGATAAGGCAATTATTACTTATCACTCTCATTCAAAAGTATATTGAAAAGATAGCGTTTTCTTCTGTCCTTTTCTCAATACGTATTTCAATGTTTAATACCGTAAAATAGTACATGAAAATTCAAATTTTCACAAACTTCAAAACGCTACAGAATATTTACTACTGAATATTAATAAGATATTTTTTTACTAAAATTTTTCTTAAATTCTACTCTACAAAATAGCTATCTTAGATTTTTTTTTTACATTTTATTTAAAATTTAAAAATAATTAATATTTTTAATAAAATGTAAAAAAATTAATTATTGAGATATAGCTATAGACCTAACGTCTAACTAATGTTTAAAAAAAAAATCAGCTAAAAATATTAACTGGATCAAAAGTTATTTAAGTTGTCAGTGAGTGGTGGGCCACACTGTATGTATGTACAAACGATTGGCTATAGCTGGTTTGATTCTTTTTTACCCTGTCTACATAGTTACAGAGGTAATATCACAGGGAGATGTGAGAGGTATGTTACAACGTCCATCAAAGTCATTAGTGGTCAGTATTTTAGAATAAATTGTAAAGTTATAAACTCATTAAGTTACTTAAATCGACAATCACATCCCCTAAAAATAATCTCTAGAAATACCTCTACACAGATATTTAGGGTGTCTCATCGTGATTTACTAAGAATAATCAGTTTTACATCCTACTATTTCCCGAACTTAACATGCTACAGAGTGGTGGTTCTCTTTTACATGTTAGGGAGTCAAATATGGATGGAACGGGAATTATGCCCAGCTTGTACCAAAAACCAGATACCACCAATGAAAAAAACATAAGAAAAAAATCATTGGCACCCTATGGATCGAACTTGGGACCCCGTACGCGAAAACATACATTTCTACCCACTAGTTCAGTCCGACCCGTTTTCTACCGTGATTTTCTAATTTTAATATTAGTTTATTCAGTATAATTAGTCACGATGGAACGCCCTTAATTATTATATGATAAATTAATAAAATAATTATTATATTTAATAGTTGAATGCATACATTTCTACATGTATTATAGCTCGCTTATCAAGAAATATTTTCACAAATTTTTAACAAAAAATTAACTTGAAAGTAAAAAAAATCTATCTAAAAACAGAAATCACGGAGGGATTTCTTTATAATTAATTCCTATGAATTAGCTATACTTAACTATTTAAATAACATGCTTAATAATAGCTAAACAAAACTTATTCATATTAAAAATAATAACTATAATATTAACTTAAATTTTTGAAAATGCAGGTTTAAAAAAATTATACTTAAATATGACATAATTAAATTAAACAATGAAGTGTCGTCTCAAATGAAATATGCCTTTGAAGCTTTTGATGTCTTGAGTGATCCTCAATGGCGAGAACTCTACGATCAGTATGGTGAAAATATAAAATCAGGTGTTATTTCCGATATAACCAATAATATAATACGATACGCTTATCATGGAGACATAATTATGACTTATAAGTATGTAAGCTTAGAAGATATCAAGTACAAAAAATATTTTTGAATAAGAAAATGACATAACCAAGGTTGGCTAAGGGGGCTACAGCCCCTTATCCGAAATTTAAAAAATGAATTCAACATATAAAATTTTTATAATAAAAAGTATTTTATTATTTTTAACTAATTATTAATTATTATCTTCATATTGTTAGTTTATTTTTTATTAATTTAATTTAATTTATTATAATTAACTTGCTAAACTTATAAAATATCTTAGTAAATCTCTTTTTCGTTTAAGAATAGCAACCTATCTCCAAAAAAAAAGACATTTCTCGCTACTCTATTGTAATAAGATTTTAGACGAGAGAAGACATTTCAAAGAATGAATATCATTTTTCATGAAATATTTCGTCTTATTTTAATATTGTTGGAAAAATTTCTCTTTAAACAGAAATCGTTTCATTTTTCATTTACTTTTTGAAAAATAACATGTTCTAAATCCAATTATTTCAAAAAATAAATCTTTCTCCTTTCTATCCTCTTTTTGTTAAACTAATACTTATCCTATTATTAAAATCATATTAATATTATAGTAAACCATAGTTTAAAAATAAAGTATAGAGTATATTTTATTTATCTTTTGCATAGGCACAATTTGAAGAAACCGTTTGGCATCTAACTTAATTTCTCCCCTCCGTAATATTTTTTATAAACATTAACATAACATTTTCATAATATTTTCTGTTAGGAGGATGCAACAGAATTAAGAGGACTAAGCTCTCATTGGACTCTTCAGATTGCCCTTATATCTTGTGCTATTAAGATTATAAAATATTATAAAACTTTGATAACATAATGGATATATTCTACATATACATAATTATATATAATGTATATATATATATATATATGTATATATATAATTATGGTCACCAGATTTCAATGTAAAAGTATATTTTTATTAATAGCACCTAGAAACAAAGAAAAACAAATTTAGAAACTCTAAAATTTAAATGAACTATACATTTTGTTCACATTTCTTATAAAAAAAGAATTCATTCACGTTCTTATTCTTAAATTTTTAAAAGAAGCATATTCTAATTCCATTTCTACAAAATGTACTCATTCTAGGAATCCATTATTTTTGGAACGAATTTCATTCCAACACTGATTTTTGATTCAACATTTTATAAATAAATATAGTAAATAACATTTACTTAAAATTTCATTAATACATACTACCTTTTTGGTATTTTAAATATAAAATATAATATCAAATTGTAAAACAACTAATCCATAACAGATAAAATAGTAAAATTAAAATTAGGACTAGAAACCAAGATTAATTTTTAGACTACATTTGGGTTTTAGTATGTTTTCATTTATTATAACTCATGACTTAAACCCAATTCAAGATACTATTTAACTGGCCTCCTTAGCTAATCGAAGACATGAAGTAAACATTCGTTTCCTTTTTACAATTATATCCGATCTAATAGATTTCCATATCTTACAATCGAAGTAGTTCTTCCTCTACTACAAATTATTTTCTTTATTCCCCCTTTTTACATTCAATGCACATTGCAAATAATATTCCTGAATTCAACCTCTTTTACAAAGAGTAGTTGAAATTTTGTTTTAAAATGTTCAAAGTTTTAAACCGATTGACAGGTTAAATCTAACCCTAGTTAATATAAACATTAACTAATAAATATTTTTCTGTTATAAAAGATCTGTTTTTGGGTCCCAAAATCCATTTACACATGTTGTGTCAATGTTATTTTCAATAAATAACCCAATAAGCCATAGTGAGAATTTAGAGACTATAAAGAATCAAACTAAACAGTTTCCATTAAGATTAACTCTAGAAGAAGTGAGTATTTTAAAATACTTTTTGACACATAAGAAAATAATAACTTAAAAAATTTTCAAAACGACAAAAAATTATAAAAGAGATCATAAGTCCATATAAACTTATCACTCTTATAGCTAAGTATAATAATTTCTACACTCTTAAAAACAATATTCGATTTTTCACGTGCGTGTGTATTCTTAGCATAAACAATGCAATAAAAAATGTTGATAAATAGTGATAAAAATATTATATTTATGTACGAATTTTCGTTATTTCGAAATTTTACCGCTTATGTGTAAATTTTAAGTTTATATTAAAAATATCATACTGAGGTATGTAAATGTTTATATTATTAATTATATTTATATTTTATTATTATTTACACTGTAATTTCTTACAGTGGTTTATCTCAAATTTTTTTTAAAAAATTTTATAAAAAGCTAAATGTAATATTTATTTAAGAGCTTGTCAGTGATATGTTTCTATATTCCTATCCTTCAACAAGGACTTATTGAAGGATGTTGTTGATGTGTTTTCTCATTAAAGTGTACTGTCGTCATTGTGGTAATGATCAAAGTTACAACAAGAGTAGAATGAAAGTTAACCCAAAGCATAAAAAACACATGTGCATAATTAGAATCACAATAAATTTTAGTTTTTTTTTCGTATTTTTAATGTTAATGATACTACCAAAGCAATGTATATAATTATTTACTAATTTAGGAGATGAGTGTAGTTTGCACATGTCTTAATTATAAAATGAGTAATTTTACTTATTATAAGTACATTATAGAACTGTAAATAATTGGAGATATTACATAAAAATATAAATTTGAAGTACATCATTATACAGAGTGTCCCAGACGTAACTGACTTATAATTTTTGATAAAATAATCTTTCTGTTGAAATTTTTTATTTTTAATAATTATTGCCTTTTTAGATTATATTTAAAGAATATTTTTTTATTTATTATCAATAATGAAAACGATTATTATTATTTCAACACGTTCCTTGGAGACGAATTAAGCATCCATTAGTATATTATTTAATAACTCTTTAACAAAAAAAAAAAACAAAAAATTATGATAATTTAAATATTTGATTGTATCAATTTTGCGTTACTTTTATTTTTAACCTCTATACATATTTATTGTACATTAAGTCTACAAAATTATCATCATTTATATTGTTATATAAAAAACTATTATAACTTATTAAGATTTAGAAAAGTGTTGTCATATTTTCTAAACTGACTTCAGATTGTTTTCAACTTAAACTTTAATTTATCAATTATTTTTATAATAATATTATCTTATATATAGTGATGGGAAATATCGAATAGTAACTACCGAACTATTCGATAGTTGCACAATATATTCGGATAGTTAATCGATAGTTTAAAATATTTGAAAATGTCCATCACTAATTTTTACTATTATTAATTGTATAATAATTTATTTTAAGTATTCGTTAATTATTTTATTATAATAATTAAGTGTACTGATTAAAAATTTTAGGTAGAATTAATTGAATATTTTTTGAAACCACTCGATAGTCTATTCGAATAGTTTTTAAAACTATTCGATAGTTTCTGCTAATAATAAATTATTCGGTTGTATAAAAACAATTTGAATAGTTATTCGATAGTTTAAAATATTCGAAAATGCCCATCACTACTTATAACGTAATCATTAAGTTACAAAAATTAGGCCAACAGCGTGACACGACTTACGTCGCAAAAATTTGGTCGACACTGGTTTTGAGGGTAAAGACCCTAATTAGTGAGCAACAACAGGTTATTTTAACAAAAAAATAAAACAAAACGAAAAGATTAACACAATAATAATAATTTTCGCATAATATCGCGGCACTTTCGCTGGCGTCGACGACTCGATGTCCGGCGTGATCCTCGGGCGTCATAAGGTTAGCAGCGTTGATGGCGACGGTACGCGGGTGCGGATCGGTTGGTCGACGTTGTCACTCTCATAACGGGAAGAAGACTCCGTATCATTTGTGGCGGGTCGTCGTCGGCCGTGCGGCACTTGCTGGACTTTGCACCGTAGCGTATGGCACGCGGTGTTGGTCAGTCAAATACTCATAAAATATAGGGCGACGGCTGATAAAGGTGGCACGAGTAGCGGGGCATCGTGTATAACGAAGCGACGCTGACCGTGTCAAGCGCAATAGTAGCTTAACCGTTATTCAATAGAATTTACATGATTTGATTAATAATAATAATTTAGTTTTTATGAATTGTAAAATTTACTACGATCCTAAAAATTCTAAAATAATTTGTAATCTAAAAAATACAATGCAATTACATTGTATTTTATCAATTGAATTACATTTATTGGCATTTAAAAAGTTAAATTTCAAAAAGTGGGTTATACCACTTTTACACCAATAGCCTCAAATATAAATTTCAAATATTAAATTAAAATTATGTACTTGATTAATTGATCCATCAAATTTCCAATCTTTCCTATTCTATTAAGTCTACAAAGTTGAATTGGCTGTTATTAAAAATATCATACCATAACTAATTAGTATCAATTTTTAAATTTAATTCACTAGCTATAATATATATAATAATAACGTTTTTAGGGGCGACTTTAACATTTGAATATAACATTTATTCCAGGTATATTTTGGAACATTAAAAAAAGTTTGTATTGAGTTGAACGACCGCAAACAAAAATTGATAGATGTTCAAATACCACGTGGAATACCTGCTAATAGTAAAATAGTAAAAGATATTGGAAATGGATCCATAATAAGTAATATAAAAATATTATCATTATGGAATAATTAACTATAACGAAAATTTAATTGTTGAGTAGTAGTTTTTTAAATGAAAACTAGTAGAACAATTTTAATAATTTATTCTGCGTTAAAATGTCATAAAAACCATTAATTATAGCTGATTACTCTCATTGTGAGCTGATTTTAACTACAACCTATATTTTATTACGTAATACATAGTATCCTATACCGTATATGATACTATAAATATTACCATCATGATAATATTTAAAATTATTTATAAATTAAATAAATAAATAATCAATGAAGAAATTAAGACATCAGAATTATAGGGAAAATATCTATAACATATAAATGAAAATAATCATATGCAACGTGTATTTTGTAATATATGTATTTTTCTAGTGCACAACTTCTTAATAAATATGGCTTTAAAAAAAAATTATTAAAAAAAGATTTGATTTTAACAGTTTGAAATTTCGATTATTATTTCAATTGTTCACTAGGTGTAAACATTTCCTGTATAATTGAGCTTCTTAAATAAAAGTAAAATATAAAAAAATATTGTTATTCTAAATTTAAACTATACTTTAAGGTAATATTTTTGAAGATTATGTTAAGTTCTTAACTTCTTTTCTAAAATGTTTAAATAGCGAATATGAAAAAATACTAAAATAGCCTAGTCTCATATTTTTAATTTAATAGCTTTTATTATCGAAGACTTACCCCACAAAGTTTATTCGCGAAACGGGATGGACTTAATCAGAACGATTGACGTATCCATTAAAGATGTATTGTGTGGCAAGCAATTTATTTTAAAGACATTGGATCATAAGATGTTACGTGTTAATATAAATCAGCTTATTTTGTAAGTATAAATTTAAAAATCTACCCGATGTTGCTAAAATAAATATCCCACATGCTTTGCCAACTACCAAATGAAACATCTTGTTAAGGGCACTTTCAAGATAAAACTCTAGTCTAAACTCCTACGTGGTAAAATTGAATTCAAAATTATAGAACATATTTACGAGTGGCTAAAAACTAAACTTCTACGACCAGAGATAGAGGCACAAAATCCGACATAAAGGATGTACTAAGCACACGGGCCCCAATCCTACATACATTGAAAAGAGGCTCAATTATTATTTTTTTAAATATGATGAAAGAGAAGAGTGGCGTATTATTTTCTTACGAACTTAGTAGTTCCGACGTTGACCAAAATTCTATAAGTAATCAAACTAGAAAAAATACTTGGAATTTTCATTTAAACCAAGACCTATTGAGTAAAAATTAACTCAGTTTTTATCCAAAATTAAAATAGAAAGCATTCTATTATTTTTATGTTTATCTAAATAAAACGGTTTTAACCAAAACCCAAACTTTTTACTCTCTAAATTTATCCTGAGACAATCAAAAAAATTTTACTAAAAAAAATAAAACTAATAATAATAAAATTAAGAAAAAAATTAACATTTTTTGTGAAATATACCTGTTACAAGATTCATTAATTATATTTTCGCTTACATATACTTTAGATGATATTCTCATTTTTATACCTAGGCAAGAGGAAGAGTAGGGCTAAGAAATGACTAGTGATATAATAGCAGCAAATTCTCCTCGCCATCAGACATTTTATAATCTAGTTATATATGTATATTGCCATAAAAAAAAAAATAAAGTTGACACACCAATACATTATAAGGAATTATCCTAAAAAGTATTTATTAGCTGATAAATCAAGAATTATATGTAATTAAAAGAGATTAAAAATTATTTTTCCAGTATTTTATTTATTTTGCGAGTAATCGAGTGGTTTATGTTAAACCGATCAGCCTGTATACATAAGTACATTTTATTTTGAATTTAGCGCTTCTGGTCTTAGTCAGTTTTACCAAGACCCAGCTACGACTCTGCATATACTGTTATATATCATATAATTTGGTGTTAACTCATTTTGTAGTTAAATCTACTTTTATCTCGTAAAATCGTTAATTAATTTAATATTTATTAATATAATTTGATACATACCTTTTTTATTATCATTAATAGTTTATACTTAATAAATAAAATGTAAGTTATAGCTAGGAAATTAATAATCATCACATATATAAGTTTAATTAAAAATAAAGTATTTTAAAAATAATTTACTTTAAAATTGGCTACAAGTAAATTGATAATCATTGATTATTGCCTTTAAATTCCAATAAAACATAAGTCATTATATTACACAAAAAGTTAATGTGATGAATTGTTCCGATAAGTTGATACTGATATACTAACCTTTAACTCAATGAATTTTTAAAGACATACACAACTATTAGTGTTAAAATACTGCAATGATTACCAAATTTAATATGATCAATGGTACTGACCATGGTCTCCGACCTATTTGAAAAAATAATGTTTTATGAATTATAAAACTAATGATCGTGGATAGAATACAAATGTGTATGATTCTCTTGACGATCAATGATATTTTCTTACGAGCTCACAATATTAATACGACATAGATATCAGCACACGTGTAAATACAAAAAACTGTGGGGGACTCATTTGATTTCTTTTTCACAAAAAATTTTTATTTAAATAAAAATACATATAATTTTCTAAATATTTTAGGGGCTAATCCCCTATTGACCCATATAAATATTGGGTCTTAATTTTCTCTATCAAGCTTAAAAAAAATAGACAAATTTAAATGTTACCTAAGGTTTGGTTGGGTTCAGATTAAAACTAATTTGTTTTCAGGGAACTATGATTTTTTAAGAGTTAATATGCATTATGAATAAGTTGTTTTATTTATTAAATATTTAAGTGAATATAAAATTAAGCTTTACCAACATTTAATAATACTACTAACAGGTATAATACTATTAAAAATTTTTAAAAATCAATATTTTTTACAGCCCATCTTTTGAAAAAATAGTTCACGGTCAAGGAATGCCAGGGTACCATGCAAAAGATAAAGAAAAGGGAAATATTATATTGAAATTTAGATTGAATACTCCACAATATCTATCATCGAAAATGATCAAGATGCTTTTAGAAAATATTTCAAACGTTGGATTAAGCTAGTACAATCTAATCCCTACATTAAATTCGTTAATTTTATCATTTTATAAATGATAATTCACAAATTAAAGTAAACATTGAATTATAATGAGGGTCCTGAAAAAAATGTTTTTTTTTATTTTAATCATAAAATTAGTTTTAGTCGTTTTAAACAGAACTAAAATGTTACAAACATGAATATATTAAAATATTTTTTATATATAATAAACAACATTTAAACTCAATTTATTCAATTAAAAAAAAAACGGTAGAACGTGTGGTCGTGGCATAGTTGGGACAAGTATAGATGATATCTGACAGTAATTAAAATTACTATCATAAGAAATGAAACTCTGTAGTGTTTAAATATAAAAAATTTGTTGTTTCTTTCAAAAGCAACATCAACTCTTATTTCCTTAATTATATCCTGTTTAGTAGTTCATTGATATATAAGTATAATAGATCAATAAATAAATATTGATATATTATATCAAATATATAATAAATATATATTAAATAAATATAAATTAAATTTAGTATGAAATTGATATTCAATACTTTAATATTCTAATTTTTACGGAGAAATTATAAAAAATTATGAAGTAGTTATTATTATTATAAAAATTGAAGAGCTTGATGCAATATTAAAAATGGTTTCCTATTTAATAGAATAAAGAAAAAAAATGCACAAAAAGACATCTCAGATNTATGAATTAATTATATTTATTTTAAACTTTCAATTTAAAAACAAAGTTATAGTAAAAATTCAACATTATTTATTATAAACTTTCGTAAAAATCAACTTTAAACATCCAAAAATATAGATTAAACAAGGAATCAAAATTTTCGTAGTTTGTTTCATAATGTTAATGAAGTATTTGCTAATAACAGCTTTGTTAAAAAATTACTTTTAAAATGAAAATAAACATACCGTTAGCTACTTTGTGACCTTTTATGCTCACATGCATATTTAGTGTTTAGTAAGTAAGGAAACAGATCAGTTGTTACAACAAATGATAACAATATAAATGTTGAACTCGTAAACAATATTTAGCTCAACTTGCATTTTATGAATTTATATCATTCAATAGAAAATTTTATGAGGAATAAAAAAATTGTCTTTTTTAAATAAATATGTGATCAGGAACTTATATAATTAATATTATTAGTAAACTTATGAAAAAAGCCCAACATTTCGTTAAAATCACTTATTATATATTTTATATTATAATAAATCATTTCAATAGATATACTAATCATTTTTATGTAACTCTTGGTGTTTAAATAGATGCTACAATTGAAATATTAAGAACTGTATTCCGTATAAATTATATCCTATAGTATTTTATACTGATATTCAAAAATATACTGTGCCAAGTTTCACCTTTGATTTTGTCCGCTGTTGTGTTGTTGAATTTCATTTTAATCTATATTTATTTGGTTATTTTAGCTTCGATGCGAAGCTGAGAAGGTTTTGGTTTTACTATGATGTGTTTTTTTTTTTTTTTTTGTCTGTTACCACTTTTTCTCAGCTCTCACCGAACGGATTTTTTTCAACGATACGTCAAAAGATCACAAATCGTTTTTAGTCGAAGACATTACCCTTAAAAATTGAAAAAAATTCCCCCGTTCCCCTTAAACGACCAAAAAAAAATACAAATTTAAAAATCACTAATTTTTTCAATTTTTTCAATTTTTTTTATTAAAAACTGCTATAACTTTTTTAAAAATAACCGAATCAATATAATTTTTTTTTAAAGATGCATAATGTTTTTACCTATCATTTGGTGTATTTTTTTTATAAATCTGACCCTTTATCTGCCCACTGAGGGGATTTAAAATGACCACTTTTTCTCAAAAAATTTACTTTTACACTTAACTTTTGAAAGTGTTCCGGAAAGTATGACACTTTTATATATATCTTAAATTAAAGATAATGTAATTTACTTTATTATCTAAAAAAAAAATTTCGGACTTTAATTTGTCTTCATGGTGAAAATGACTACTGAATGCTATTTTCGTGTGAAAATTCTCGATTTTATTATTTATATTATATTTAACTTTATAATGCTATAACTTATTGAAAAGTTTATGGATCCACACAATTTTTTTATGAGAAATAATATTTTTTAATAAACCCTTTTTCATTCGACATACTTTATCTTAATCGAGATATTAATAAGGAACCAGCAGATCAAGTAGCTTTTGGAATAAAACACCAATTTTTTTAAAATTAAACACTATCTAAAGATTTGCATCGAAGCGTTTATTTTTGATAGTGATTTTAATCACTGTCAGATATCATTATACTTGATCCAACTATACCACGTCACCACTGTGCCGCGAACCCCCAGTGCTGGGTTTTTTTTATATGTTAATACTCATTTTTAACTAATTATTAAAAATATCAAACATTAGTGGCGATGAAAAAAATCTAATTGCAGATTTAAATTAGTGCGAAAAAATGGGTTAGAAAAGTAAATTTTTGACTCTAATGAAAGTTATCATCTGAAAAGTTTTGTATCAAGCCCTTCAATTTTTATACACAGAGGCCGTAAAAGTAACAGCAACTTTATAATTTCTCCGTAAAAATTGCAAATATTAAACTATTGAATATCAATTTCGTATTACGTTGAATTGCTATAATAGATATTTATTCTTATGTTATATTTATAAATCATAGAACTACTAATTAGGAATAATGAAGGAAATAGGAGTTAATTTTGCTTTTAAAATAATTCACCAATTTCTTAAAATAAACGTTATCTATAGATTTGCATCGAAGCGTTTCTTATGATAGTGATTTTAATCACTGTCAGATATCATCTATACTTGTCCCAACTATGTCACGTCCACACTGTGCCGCGACTCCACTGTGCTACCGTTTTTATTAATATTTGTAGCTGAAATTTTGTCTTTTTACTTACTGATACAACTTTATCAATCATTTGCCGTTTAAGAGGCATATTGATTTACTTATACATTAAGATTAATAAAATAAAATTTAACCAGCAGTTTTCATCTAACATACGAAATTATGCATTAAAGATGCGCTTCCTCAATCTTATTTTATTTAGTTATAGTTATTATCGAGGAGGACATAATGCCAATGCACTCAGACCTGTTGGTCCATTGTGCGCACCTCATACTGAATTGTCTTGATTCGGTTTACCCACCTAAGTGTTATCACCAAAGTGTTAATACATTACCAACCATAAAGTCACCTTTAAAGATGACCAAAGAGTCCTGTCTTTCTGGCGAAATTAAGTATCTCTCTGGGTTTTAGGTTTTTAATATTTTTTTTTTTCAGGCAAAGGTTTATTCAAGTAGTTTGATTTTAGTTTGGACAAGGCTTCACATTCGCACATGACGTGGAATGAGTTTTCCTCTTCTACTCCACACATTTGCACATTGGTGATTCCGATACCCTCATTGCGTTAAGGTGTTTAAGCAGGTAACCATGTCCTGTCAGTAGACCAGTCAGGGTGCTTATTTGATGTCTAGTCATGCTATTAAGATCACTCAACAGTAGACCAGGGGTCTTGATAAACATTTTAGATTGTCTAGATACTACCAAGTACTTCCAGATTTTCCTGTGTTGTTCTCTGTACCAATTCTTGGGTAGCGCTTTGAGCGATTCCTCCCACTGATACTGGTCCATCATAGGTGTTCTCTGCTCTTTTCCTGGCTAGAAAGTCTTATTCTTAAGAAAATAGAAAATATTATTTTATTTAATACCTATCCAAAACTCAGTTAAGAGCTTAACTTTAAAAACTATATAACTATTCACAATTCCACTGGTCAAAATATCAGGGCAAAATATTGAGAATCAAATATTTCAGTTTTAAGTATATATGTAAAAAAAAAAATCACATTTATTCTAAAAAGTTGAAAATTAAATTTACCTTTCTCTTAAAAAAGAAAAGTGCTCCTAAAATTTTGATAAACTTGTTCTTTAATGAAGTCTTAGTAAAAAGTAAACTAATTTTGAAAGATAATTGTTAATTTTTGCAAGATACAAATAGATTACTTAATAGGGAATTTTAGTAATTTACTACCAAAATTTAAATAGCTTTTCTAAATTGTACTTTTATATATGCTCATTTAATTACGACATACGATAAGAAATGTATAATTATTCAATATTAAGTTATTAAAATATTGAACATACAATGTATAAATAATGCACTTAGTTTAGCTGACTAAGCACTTATTATTTAGTTGAACTTGATGCATATTATCAATATAAAATATTTTAAGCAAACAAACCAAATAATATAAAATTTAGTATCTTTACAATAAACAGAGTTACTAAAATTAAACTTTTAACAGCTGTAAGAAGCAAAATAATACATTAAAATAATGGCTTTGATAGATAATTATAAAAATTATCATGTCCAAAAAGAAAGAATTGGGGTAATTGTAAATTCATATTTTCTATTAGAATATTTAGTAGATTTTATTTTAAATTGAAAAGTTCAGGTCCTTATAAGTTTTTCTATCATGTGTCAATGTAATTTCTAAATAAAAACTTGTGAATTTATTTTAAAAAAATGAACCCCTTTGAATAGCCTATCCAGCAACACAGTAAACTCAAAATTATATTTACACCATTTTACTGTAGTTTGAATAAAAAAGTTGTTATATAATGATATAATACATATTAGATTATTTAAATGATATATTCAGACACTTATAATGAACATTGAAAAAAAAAAAAAAGAAAATGATTACAATTTGAACACCTTTAAAGTAAAATATAATTTTATTGACCAATTAATTGAGGAGGAGGAGGCATCATATTGCCCATCATAGGAGGTGGTCCTGGGTTATACATTGGTGGAGGAGGAAACATGTGAGACATCATATTTGATCCAGGTTGGTGCATCATATTATGTTGAGGTGGTGGTGGTAAAGAAGGAGGAGGAGGTTTCATAGGAGGAGGAGGCTTCATTTGTTCTACTTTGTAAGCAAATTGCAAATAGAACTGCTTTGCTTGACTATTCCAATGAGCCCAAAATTTCATTTCAGATTTATCAACTTCACGACTTGGTACTTTGAAGGCAATTGTTTCGTAAGGTTCAGCAGCAAATAACAAATATTGCCATTTCCTATCAGGTGGTTCAATTCTTTGTTCATAAGCTGACATAAATCTATGACGTGGCCTTACATTATCAGTTATTTCTAAAATAATTTGAATTAAGGATTAAAAATTAATCAATTTTTAATTCATAAAATAATTAATAAACAAACCAGGATAGTCAATTTGAAAAAGTAAACTCTGCTGTCCAGTTTCTGGATCTTTTTGTTTTGTAACTCTATATCCAGGTCGACCAATTTTCACAAACTTTTTAGTTTCAACTCTTGGTTTTTCTGGTGCTGGTTGTTGAGGAGCATCTTTAGCTTCCTTGGCAGCTCGACGTGCTAAATTTGCCTGATGTTTTTTCCCTTGAGTATGAGCTAAATAACTTCCCTCATTGTTATGTAAAGTTAAACAAAGTTTACATTCATATGACCCTGAAATTATATATAATTTGAAAATATTTAGTTAATATTTAAGTAATCAAATCTATTGAGTCTTTAACAAAATTACCCAAATGATTTTTCATAAAATAAGGATCTTTCTGAAGATCAATGGTTTCTAAAGCCAGTTGTCTGAGTCGTTCTCTTCGATCTTTATTCGTTTCTGTCCATGATGCAACACCACCACCCCCAGTTTTACCACCGGGTCTGTTTTGAAAATCCATGTTACAGCTATGTTTTTTCCACTACTATATAATTAAAAAATAAATCAATACATTTTTAAGTAAATTAACATAAAAAATTATAATTCTCAATTAAAGTACCATGATATAAAGAAAATTTGTCTAATTTATTATTATATGAAAAAAAAAGAATTATTTAAAACATTTTCAATTTCTCAAAATTTATTGATAAATTTACAGTAGAAGGCCAACTAAATTATAAAAATTAAATTACACTATGATAGAATAAATATATTATAACAAAAATGAACTTTTGTTGGCATAATATAACATTACTAGAATATACAGTTTAAATGAAATTTTAAGTAATAAATAAATTCAAGATAACTTTAATAATTTTTCTTCTTTTTCCACACCTTAATCCCAACTACTTGGGGTCTACAACCCTTATCCTAAATTTTTACTTGATATGATCTCCTACATCATACACGCACATATCAGCCGTCTTCATATCACATTCAATAACATAACTCCATTTCTTTTTTGGTCTTCCTCTTTTAACATTAATTTTTATAACTGATTTTACAGTTTCCAATTCTTCTTTCCTCATAACATGACTAAACCATTTAAGTATATTTTCTCTAGTTACTCTATTCACCGATTTAACCTTTTTCATTTCTGCTACACTCATTCTCTGTTCTAATTTCTTGTCAACCGTATATCATAGCTGGTCTCATTACAGTCTTATAAAACTTAATTTTTAGCCTCATTGGAATTCTTTTATCACATAACACACCAGACGCTTCTCTTCTTTTAACCTCTCTTAGAACTCTATTATATAATATCTCCAAATCTATAGATACCATTTTTTTTCTTTTCCCTATACTTTTCTATTAGTTGTCTCACATAAAATAATGGCTCTATGGTTGACTTACCAGGCATAAATTTAAACTGGTTTTTAGATATTCTTTAATGTCTCTTTAGGATACTTCACATTCAGTAATTTTGAAAAATGTTCTTTCCACCTTTCTTTCACATCATCATCACTCAATAGCACCCTCTTATCAACACTTTTTATACATCTTACATAGTGATAATCTTTGGACTTTTTTCTTTCTTTTGTAAGTTTATTGACTATTTTTCAGCTTCCTTTGTTCCTAGCCTATCATACAACTCATCACACCTCTTAAACTTTGCTTTACTTACTGCACACTTGGTTTTTTTGCACAAGCGTTTATACTCCGTTCAATCTTCTCTCTTTTTGCTTCTACCATACCTTGAACTGTTTTTTCTTAATAAAGATAACTTTAATAATATAGTATAAAATTTAATAATAAACTATAATTTTTTTTACCTAGAAATTTTTTTTTTATTTTGTTATTCTATTATTAAAACTACACATAAAACCAAAATTTGTTAAGTTTTTAATATAAAATAACAATTGTGAAAAATAAAATTAGGACTTTAAGATTGAATACATCTCACAATTTAATCTAGCTATATCAAGTTTAGATGTTGTTTCAAATATTAACAATACATAAGTTATCAGGTAGTACCAATCAAACAACCGCTAACCTCAAAAAAGTATAGGATTAGGTGTCATAGAATTACTAATTTTTCTTACTTATTAATTAAAATAGACAAATAAATCCAATGATTCTGACATCATTTTTTTTTTACTATATCAAATTAAATGTCAAGAATTATTTTTGACAAATTAAGAAAAATTTTTGACAAAAATAAAATATTACACAGCTTGTAACACTGTTTGGATACCAAACAATGTAGAATATCTGCATAAAATAATTACCATGGTTTCTTGACGAAGTGTAGATACTTAAGATGTTATATCGCGGTTAATGTTTAGACTGATGATACCTTTCGGTTTTTGTATTATTTTGTTCAACTTTATGTATTTGTAAATTCATATCTCCTTGTTTCCTTTTTTAAAAATTAATAAAACGCTGTTAGTGTTAATAACGATTGTGTCGATAAATTAATATTATTACTTTAATCATTAATTATGGAGGCTGAAGATAATATACAAAAAATGTACAAATATTTTGGAATTTTAGCTGATGCCAAAGAAAACATAGCTGAAGTAAATATTTCAATTAAGTTTCCTAATAAACATTTATTTTATGTTACTATTGAATATTTGTAGAAAGAACCAGAATATTTGGAAATATTATCTGCAGTCAAAGGGTCAACAAAGGAAAAAAGACTTGCTTCACAATTTATTACACGGTTTTTCAAATATTTCCCTAATTTAGCAGCTCAAGCACTTGAAGCACAATTAGATTTGTGTGAAGATGAAGATATTTGTGTATGCAAATCTTAAAAAAAAAATGATTTACTATTTAAAAGTTGATTTAATCATTGTTTTTGTCCAATACTTTTTCAGATAAGAAAACAAGCAATAAAAGATTTACCCGTATTATGTAAAGAATCCAAAGAGTATTTAACTAAAATAGCTGACATATTAGCTCAATTACTTCAAGCTGATGATTCAATGGAACTGCAAATAGCACAGAATTCACTATTGTCACTTTTTAAAATTGATGCTAAAGGTAAAGCTGTTTTGAAATATTACTGTCTGAAATGTTACATGTTATTATATTTGGTATTTTTACCTTAATAGCCTTTACCTTAAGAATGATACCAATGCTCATATTTAAAACCATTTTAATTTGGAATTTTTTAAAACTAGTTATTTTTTAGTTAATATTTTTGTAGTCTATTACACTTTTTATTGTAATAAAATAATTAATAAATGAGTATAGATTTTTATTTAAACTTACCCTTTAAAAAACAAAACCATTAAAAATGTACATATTTTATAATAGTTATATGCAGAGTATGAAATTTTACCTCTGCTTATAATTTTTAGTGTTATATCCACTGATCTAAGTTTAATTTATGAAGAGCATATTTGCATTGTATTTAGCTCTTATTAATTGTATATGATTCCATTCTCTAGATGTGTTTCCATTTCTTTTTTTTTTTTTTTAGGTGCATTGACAGGAATATTTAGTCAAATGCAATCAAATGAAGAAATTGTTCGAGAACGTTCTATGAAATTTATACTAAATAAAGTAATGCCATTAGGCAAAGATATAATAAAAAAAGATGTCGAAGATTTAATAATAACAGAATGTAAAAAAGTTATGCAAAACATAACATGTGATGAATTTGAAACCCTTATGACGATACTATCTTCAACTCATTTGATTAGTACACCTGATGGACAAAAAGAACTAGTTGAGTTGTTAGCAAATACAGCAGAACTTGATCAATTTTTCAACCCTAAAGATGTTGATCAAGTTAATAGATTTATTACTTGTCTTGATTTTGCTATTCCATTCTTTTCTGTAAGATTTATATTTTCTTGAACTTATAAACTTTGTAGTTATTTTATTTAAATATAAATTGCTTCCACAATATTTTAGGCTCATATTGAATCTACAAAATTTATTGTATACATTTGTGAGTTTTTAAATCGTTATACTCTTATTAATGATAATGACAAACAGTTCATAATTTTAAAATTGTTGGCTGAATCAGTTTTGTACTGTGGGAAATTACAAAATCCTGAAGCTGTTTTAGGACAACTTTATCAAGCCCTCATTGTAAGTACTATTGGTTATGAAATTAAATGTTATTTTACAGTTCCTTAACATTTTTATAGGATATGGTGACTGTTCCTGAAAATGATGCTAGTAAAAAAGTAGAAGATATGGATTTGCACCGTGTTGAAGCTCTATTATATACCTTTCATAAATTGGGGAAACAGTGTCCAGATTTCTTAAGTAAAGATCCTGAAAAACAAAAGGAATTCAAGAAAAAGTAATTAAATTTAATATAGTTTTTATCACCAAAAGTAATGAACTATGTAAATTTATAGGTTGCTTTATATTGGTACTTGTACTCAAACATTTGTGAAAATTGTTAGGCAAGAATTAAAAGGACGAGGTGAAGATGATGTTAAGACAGATCCAAAAATAGCTACAAAATTAGAAGGATTACGTTTGGCGTGTAATATAAATACTCTGATAAAGGAATTATTCAATATTCCACCTAGATTTAAAGCTATAGTTACTTTGTCCTGGGTTGCAGGAGCTACAAAATCAAAGCTTGTAAATATCTTTAAGTTAACGTAGTATACATTATGTACTAAGTACTTATTTATGTGTTATGTAGGCTCAAATTGTTCAAGAAGGAAAAAAACATGAACCCATTAGTGTGGATGGAAAAACAAAAAGAGTTGATGGTTCTACTGCTAATAACAGTCAGCAATTGTACCAACCACCCAAAGATAAATTTAGTGCAAAATTCTCAAACAATACTAATTCAAATAGTAAATTATTTACTTACTAAAAAATTATTCTTTTAACTTACATTATTTATACCATTTTTAGATTCTAATCGACGTAGTGGGGGCACTAACTGGAACAATAAAAGATCATTTGATTCAAATAATAGTAATCGCCGTTCTTGGAGACCTTATTAATCAATAGAAATATAACATGGTATAAGTTTACTTAGCACTTGTGTTCTGTATATTTTAAGGAATAACCTTGATTTTTATTTGTAAAACAATGTTTTTCTACCAAAATTAATAATGATACAACTTTTTGATTTGCTAGTTATTATTGTACATAAATACATTTCTAGTTTATTTCTAAGTAATTTGTATATTTTCCACAATTTCTTTATGTAATATTATAAATTCGACAAATATTGACATTCTTATATTTCAAATGTTATGACTGAAAATAAAATTAATCATTCTTATGACAGCATTTAAGTTCATCAAATTATTCAATACAGTTCAAAATAATCAGTATCTTTTGCTAATATTTGCTAGTAAGCAGTGTTAAAATTTTGTCAAACATTTACATATTAAAATAATTTTTTATGGCTACAAAATCTTGCTCAAGATCTTTAAAAACAGTTAAAACGTATCCGTCATCACAACGAATAGTAACATAGCCAAAAATAATAAATAATCTTATACCTATTTATTAAGTTAAAATTGAGCTTTTTAATTATTTAAAGGTATAACAAAAGAGTTTATCTGATTTACAAGCACAAAAATCTAAAATCATTGTAATAAATAAAAACGGTAGAAAATTTTTAGTACAAATTATCAATAAATGAAAAAAAATGTATAATTACAATTATATTTATTAAGCAAAAATTTGCGTGGATCAATTATTTCAAATTTAATTTAAATTAATATGTTAATTTGATGTTACATAGATTAATTTATTTATTATAATCCACTCAATTACTCGCAATATAAATAAAATATTGGAGAAAAAAATTTTTACTTTTCTTAGCTATATATATATATTTTGATTTATCAGCCAATAATTACTTTTTAGAATCATCTTTATAATTTATAGGAATATTATCTTTATTTCTTTTAATTCCGACATACATATTTAACTAACTTATGAAATAGAAAATATTCTAATTAAGAAAATGAATGATTAATAACAACTTTTGAATCGATACTTTGAAAGTTATTAAAAATTTAATGCAAAGGCTTGAGGTGAGAAGTGGTTGCTGCTATTTTTATCATTAGTCATTTCTCGGTCATACTCCTCGGCTAGGTATAAAAACGAAAATAACTTCCAAAGTAAGTGTGCGTGAGTAGACTGTTTCCTGTACTTAGGTTTTTCATTGAATTTTCTCAAAAATAATACCAAAAGAAAACGTATTTCTCCTAGTTTATCCTATTAAAACTTCATTAGAATATTGTTTTATAAAAAAAGTTATAAAATGTGAAAAAAAAATTTGGGAAGTACTATTTTTTACAGTAGCGTAATTTTGAGATATTTTTCTAAATTTCTAAAATTGGTTTTCCGCAACGATGGGTTCAATTAGATTAAAATTTAGTTCATTTGACGTATTGATCATTAAAATCGGTTTAATGAAAGCTAAAAATTGTCATGGACAGACATAATAAAACACACTATCACAAAATCTGTACTCGCTCAGTTTTACTTCGGAAATTAAAATAAGAGACTGAAATTTTTTTCTTTTAATTATATAAAAACTTGGGATAGTCGTGGCGCGTAGTTTTGTAGAAAACGTGGAATGGTTTGTCCATCGAGGAGTACGTATATTTACACATTTTCTTAAAATAGAACTAATAAATGGATAATTTGGCTCTTATAATAAAATTATGCATGACATGTAAATTATACTTTTGTAATTTTTGAAAGCATTGGTTGAATAGTATAATATATATAAGAAAAAATGTTCAATACTTTTAAGGAGCAAGAATATGTTCTATTTGACACTTATAGTTATTTTGTTTCACATATATTGATTGTAGAGCTAAAGACCGGGTTGGGTTACTGGCAAATTGGTTAGAACCTAGAACGCTAGCTATCTGCACTATGCTCACTTTACGTATTTGTCCTTTCTCAACAGAGTAGTGGTTGCCAGTTTTTATTTATTGAATAATTATTTTTCTTAATTGTTCAATAAGTTATTTGATAAACGAAATTTTTTTTTGATAACACATGTTCATACTAATAAAATAAATACATATTTAAAAATTAATAATGAAGTGTCCTAACACTAATTTTAAATTAAAAACAATATTATTTTAAACTAAAGAATATTTAACTGAAAACTCCAAAAAATTACTAAAAACTGGCGTTTACGTATTTCGAAAACAATGTGCACCATCATCACCATTTTTTAGTAATTTTTATGGGTTTTTGAGTTAAATATTCTTTAGTTATAAAGTAATATTTAATCATGTTTTTAATTTTAAATTAGTATTAGCCACCACGAGTGATCATTTCTTATTATATCCTAGTATTAAATTTAAAATATTTAGGATTACATTACATAAAAATAAAGTCTCACTATGTATTGAGACAGAATAATAAAATGATAGTAATATTACAATGATACACAAAACAAATATATTAAATTTGTATTAAGTAATTTTGCGTTACTAAGGATAAAAAAAATTCATTTTAAAAATTGCACTACCTAAAATTATTTTTCATAAGGGAATTTTCTTTATCATCAAAAGAAAAAACAGTAATATGACGTATTTTTTAAATTAATTTGTACATAAAGATGTGTTTTGATACACTTTTAACTATTAAAGTACTCATTCAATGCTCTCAATTTAATTAAAAGGGTTTTTTTGTGTAATATATTTATGTACTTTTTTATGTAATATGAAAAATTATTTCAGGTACGTAATATTATAATTTATGAAATAAATCAAAAATATATTTACTTAGTGAGACTTCATTTTGACAAATTAATATAAAATGGGCATGTATTTTAACACTTCAAGTATTAGAATGAACCATTCTAATTCTAAATACCTTATATTTAGTATTAATTAGAATATAATAAGAGTTGATCAATTGTAGCTAATACTTTTGCACAAATTAATTTTTACCAAATGGAACAATTCCATGGGATATATTGAATGAATTTTAAAACTATATTTTTAAGAACCACCTTAGTATATATATTATAAAAATTAATTGTATTACACATTTTTTAAAATTATTTACAATAGATGTTATGAAAAAAATAATGGATATATTACTAAAGCATTATTAATATTTATTTACTTTTCATATAGAATACTGTTTAATGCTATTATATAAATATTTACAATTACATAATTAATAGAATAACACTTAAAAAATGTAAACTTAGTAAAATTAAAGTTCATATTGTATGTAAATAAATATATATACCAAAAATTGATAATGAAAAATTTCACTTTTTTGTATGCATATTATCAATTAAATGACACATTAGTTTATCTTTTGGTATACATTTGTCAGTTTTAATTTCATCATTATTGGTTACATCCATTTTTTCAATTTTAGCTGAACCTATCAATAATTTTGAATCTAATTCGGTGTCTGGCAAATTTTCTAGCGTTTGTTGTAAAATGTCACTTACCTGTAAGAAATTTAAAATAAAAGTTCAAATTTGTATAGTAGTTGAATGCATAGGTTATACAATAAGTGCATAATTTGAACAAAATAGTTTTTGTTAAATATTATTTCAAACATAGACCGGGCACTGTATTAGATTGATTGGTTATTACATGCAATACTAAAATTAATATAAGTAATGTGAAATTGATATTAAAATATCAAATTTAACATCAACATTTTGTATTTGTAATGAATTTAAAATTTACAAAAAGAAAATTAAGGAGTGAATTGGACCATTTTCATAGAAATTTATATAAATTTCTAATACATAAATAACTTTAACAGAATATTTTCTATACTATTCATTATTGAATTTAATTAAAAAAAACCCAGCACAGGGGGGTCGCGGCATAGTGGTGACGTGGCATAGTTGGATCAAGTATAATGATATCTGACAGTGATTAAAATCACTATCAAAAATAAACGCTTCGATGCAAATCTTTAGATAGTGTTTAATTTAAAAAAAATTGGTGTTTTATTCCAAAAGCTACTTGATCTGCTGGTTCCTTATTAATATCTCGATTAAGATAAAGTATGTCGAATGAAAAAAGGTTTATTAAAAAATATTATTTCTCATAAAAAAATTGTGTGGATCCATAAACTTTTCAATAAGTTATAGCATTATAAAGTTAAATATAATATAAATAATAAAATCGAGAATTTTCACACGAAAATAGCATTCGGTAGCCATTTTCGCCGTGAAGACAAGTCCAGAGGTCAAATTTTTTTTTTTCAAATTAAAGTATATTACATTAGCTTTAATTTAAGATATATATAAAAGTGTCAGACCTTCCGGAACATTTTCAAAAGTTAAGTTGAAAAAGTTAATTTTTTGTGAAAAAGTTGTCATTTTAAATCCCCCCCTATGGGCAGAAAAAAGGTCGAATTTACAAAAAAAATATACCAACTGATAAGTAAAGACATCAAGCATCTATATAAAAAAAAATTATATTGATATGTTCATTTTTGAAAAAGTTAGAGCATTATTAAGTTAAAAATATAAAAAAAAATTATTTTACAAAAATCGTAATTTTTTATTAACTTTGATGTCAACTTTCACCACGAAGACAAGTCCAGAGGTCAAATTTTTTTTTTTCAAATTAAAGTATATTACATAAGCTTTAATTTAAGATATATATAAAAGTGTCAGACCTTCCGGAACATTTTCAAAAGTTAAGTTGAAAAAGTTAATTTTTTGTGAAAAAGTTGTCATTTTAAATCCCCCCCTGTGGGCAGAAAAAAGGTCAAATTTACAAAAAAAATATACCAAATAATAGGTAAAGACATCAAGCATCTATATAAAAAAAAATTATATTGATATGTTCATTTTTGAAAAAGTTACGGCAGTTTTTAGTAAAAAAAATTGAAAAAATTTCGAAAATTAGCGATTTTTAAATTTGTAATTTTTTTGGAGGTTTCCCCCATTTACGGGGAACGAGGGAAATTTTTTCAATTTTGAAGGGTAATGTCTTCGACTAGATACGATTTGTGATCTTTTGACGTATCGTTGAAAGAAATCCGTTCGGTGAGAGCTGAGAAAAAGTGGTAACAGACACAAAAAAAAAAACACATCATAGTAAAACCAATACTTTCTCAGCTTCGCATCAAAGCTAAAATGAAAATGTTTGAAATTTATAAACCTACACACTAAACTGTAATTTATCCAAAACATATTTTAGAATAAAATATAAAATTTTATAAACTGTTGAAACAATTAGTTTACAATTAGTACTACCTAAGTTCCTTGATATTTCAAGTTATTATTCTTTCATCTTTAAGTTTTATTTAATATAATTATACATAAGTAATTATTTTATATTTATATTTTTAAGTTTTTTTGAAAAATTTCTGCAAAATTTTCACAAATTTTTGAAAACATGTTAACTTACATCACTGATATAACATCAGTGATACTAATCAACAAATCATAAATAAAAAAGTGTAATTTAAACAATATATATTTTTTTTATTACTTTATCTATATGTTTTTGGAGACGAATAGTTGTTTCATTTCTTTGTCTTCTTTGTAAATCCAACATTACACGGACGGTTTCTCGTGCTTGGTGTGGACGAAATTCATTTAATAAATGGTGTATGTGAATAAATAATAAGCTGATATCCTCAACTTTTTCTGCTCGTCTTGGTGAATCAGGACACTGAATTAATAGATCTAGTAAATCTAAAAAGTTTACTAGTAATGAATGGTTTAATTTTCGTAATTCTCGTCTCCTATCAAAATGTTGAGGGTATAGACGTTTAAAACCCTAAATAAAAAATCTAAGTTAATACATATTTTTATAATATAACAATGACAAAAGTAGATATTAATAAAATTTATTTATAAAAAAATTGCTAATTAAAAATGAATACCTTTATTTAAGTTATTAAAAAAAACAAAAAATAAATGTGATTACTGAATTATTTTTGAAACATAAACTTAAAAATATTAAGCTACATAATAATAAATTAAATAAAAAAAAATTGTCATGGTTTATTCTGGAAATAATATATGGTAACACCTTTAAGTATAAATATATTTTTTAATAAAACAATATTCTTTTAACCTGTATAAATAATTTTAATAATGAAAAAAAAATTCATTTTAATACTAACTTGACTTTCTAATGGTCGAATAATACTGTCTTCGGCATTGTAAGGGTTACCGAACATTGTGTATGTTTCTTGTATAATTGGTGGAGGTTTTGGGGCTCGACCTCGTCTAACATTTTCATCAGAATAATTTTGAAAATATTGAACAGGAGGAAGTGGTAATGAACATACTTGCATAGGTTCCTGTCCATTAGCCATTTTAGTCTATTGAAAATAAATTAATAAGATTAATTCTTACTAAAATATTCATAGATGTATTGTCTAAAAATACCTTAGGTCAAGTGCCTACGAGAAATATGGGGATTATGATATTATTTTGAAAACCTCTATTTTTTTATTTAACACCTTTGTAAAATTACCTCTATTAATTTAATTTTTTTTTCAATTAGTGCCCCGGCTATAGAATTATATATGGAAACTATATTAAGTAAACACTTAAATGATTAAGTATTTTTTTTATATAAAAAAAAAAAACAAAATAATTTTATTAGATGTGTAGATAAACTTTTCTAAACAAATATTTCATGCTCGTTCAAATCTATAACTAAATTTTTTAGCACTTGAAGTTTTTATGATTATTAAGAATTAGTAAAAGCCAGATAAATACATAATTAAAAAATTCACAAAATATAAAATTTTTTTCAAAATTTATTATGAGCATAAAAAAATATATATTTAAATTATTTTAAATTGAAATGCCCCTTCAAAAAATGTTTAATTATATCAATAGTGTGTACCAAGTATACAATACAATTCAATTTAGCAAAGACATTTTTTTTTGAAAAGTTAATAAAACAGAGATAGATTGTGTTGCATTTATAGTAATGATTAATACTATATTTGAGCTCGTTCATGTTTAAATGAAAAAAATAATTAGTTTCTACTATTAAATTTATAAAATTATTACTTGTATACCTGTAAATTTTCAGTAATAATCTAAATAATTTTATTTCATACACAATATTTTTTACGTAGAATTTTAAACATGCAATTTTATTCGAATTATCACTGTATTTTCATGACTTGACTAAATAAACCAGTTAAACACATAGTTACTTAAAAAAAAATAGTAAATACATATGAAAAAAAATATTTCATTAGAAAATATAAAAAATTGCGTTGCTAGTAAAAAAAATGTTAGTTGAACTACCATTAACTTTTTTATTAGAAGGATTATACTTTGGTTTACTAAAAATTGATATTAGCATTAAAATAAATCTTATCAACTTAATGATTACCAATAAAAATGTTAATAACCATGTTGGTGTTCACCTGTTTGATGATAATGCGGCAAACACACGTACACCTCTACACCCGTCCCTTTCACCGTTAACAGACAAAAACTGGTTTTATATTTTGTTTTTTTTTTGTGTGTCCTTATTTTTTTTTAATTTTATTTTTAAGTAAAATATTTCATTTTATCACTATTACTTTTAGTTAGGGTGATTATTGCATAGCTTAGTTATTTGGTTGTCTTAAGTCGTTTGATTATGTGTTAGTACTGAAACTTTTCTAGTTTAATTTAAACAATGTTCATACATTTTAGATAAAGTCAGTAAGTATCCTGCTGTTATGAGTAATATATATTTTTTTTTTTTATAAAAATGAAATTATATTATTTTAGTTTTTTAGTCATTATTGATGCAATAATTGAATTATATTAACATTTTTATTGAAATGTATTTTTAAAATGAAACTGTCTAGATATTTGCTAAAATAGTCTATATAATGGCTGGAAAAGACGAGTTAGATGACTGTGACATCATCAAACAAGGAATGATGGTCAAACGTTCTCAGAATAAAAAAAGATTTATGCCCATTAACTATAAACAGAGGTGGTTTGTGTTGACTACTAAAAACTTCATTTATTATGAATCTGAGTCTGATGTAAGTATTTTTTTTCATATGCTATTTATTAGAAATCATGATATTTATTTTTGAGTAATAAGTAAATGTTTTGAAAAAAAAAATATCAAATAAAAACAATAGTATCTATTGGTATTGCAGCCCTATATTTATACGTGAAATAGTTAAATATACTAAAATGTATAAAAAAAATTTAATGAATTTAATGAAGTCAAACTAATTGAGTGCATATATCTATGAAAAGTATTCTTATAACTTGACAAATGGATTTAATTCATTAAAACAAAAAAATAAAAATTTCAACCTGACTGGTACTTATTGAAAATTAAATATTGTATTAATTTTAATGAATTTACATATTAATATATATATAATCACATAAATTATAATTATGATATTGAATTTATTATCCTATCTAAAAAATAAATTATTTCAAATTTATTTTCTAGTAGTTTATTTAATAATAAAAAAAAACATTTTTAAACTAATTAGAATGCATTTTATTCTTGGGCCAAAAGACAATAGATTTTTTTTATAAAATTATATTTATTAATTGATTATTTTATTAACTAAACAGATTGAATGATAATTTTACCTTTTTAATTAAATAAGTATTCTATACTGTGGCTTTATAAATAAATTTCTGCTCCAGGTTATGCTGGTACTTCGTTATTTCTATTAAAGAGAGGATTCCTTTTTAACATTTTAAAGTGTGAAAAAATGTTAACAAATTATTAGGGATTATGATAAATACCTAAGTATTACCTACTTAGGAGCTGTTGCTATTTTTACATTTATGTTTGATAGAATGACTAGTAATTGTTTATTATCTAGAGAAAAAAATGTGTAAAAGAAGGAAATACATCAAATATACTTTAATAATGAAAAAAAGTTTACTGTGTTAAAGTTGAAATTTATTTTTTTCAAATTTTGTTGAAATAAGTTTGACAAAGTATTATAATTATTATTCCCAATTTCCTCTAAACATTTTTATAAACCTTGTGTATTTTTTATATAGCTCCCATATGTATATATAGAACTTATTTAATTTTTGATTAAAAATCTCATTACTTAATATGCTTAATTAGTAAACTGTTAATGAACGCATGATTAATTATTGTATAATGTACACTATGCTATGCAATTTTCTGTATCAATTTTATAATCACTCACTCTATTAAATAACCATTACATTTAGCACTTTTTGTGGATGCATGATAAAGATTATTAAAAATACTACAAAAAATTAATTAATACACTTTATATTGTAATATTTGATATAATATTAATTCAAATCTAGGGTTTCAAAATTTATTAATTATAAAAATGTAATACTTATTATATTAATATTAATCGAATAAACAAGAATAGTTTTATTGCAATTTTATAACTTGATATTTCTACATTCCTCAGGAAATTATTGAAAGAAGCTCATTGCCGTGTCTTCATAACATACATCAACTGCTTAACAGGGTACATATGCTTTTATTTGTTACTAACATTAGGATTGATTAATTAATAATACTAAGGATTACATGAATATTAGTAATTTTTATTTTATTATATGTCAGTGTATAGTTGAGTAGTCCATATTTATACTCAGTAATTTTTTTTTTTAATTTATATCAGTTACTCGGAATTTTATTTTATGTAATAAGTAAATATCTTTGGTTGAGTTTGAGTACTCTATATCAATCCTTTCTTGTTCCTCAAAGATGTTGAAAATTGATTAATAAGGTTAGAATTGTAGTTTTACATATGTATCTCTTTATATATTACAAAGACACGAATATTGCAATATACCAAATATGTTTAAAAATACATAAGTTAAGAAAAAATGTTTTTATAATATATGTTAAAAACAAAAAAATCTATAAAAATCACAAAAATTATAATTGATGCTTTTAATTAGTTTTAAATTCTACAAAAAATTTACCTAAATACTTTTTTATTGTCAACATTATTTACTATAATAATATGTTGTTACAATTTATTTACTAATTTTAAATACTATAAATATAATAATGATAATAAAAGTAAGATAAGTATTACTATAATTTTAAAACAAAATAAATATTAATTACTAATATTGATATTGGTATCTTTTGATACAGAAAAAAAATTATATTTACAAGGAAGACACTCTGTAGTGATATTTTTAATGAGCAATAAATAAATTCTATAAAAACAAAAATATATACTGTAAATACACATTTTAAATAAAATAAACATGAAATAAATTTTTAGTAGTGTCATTTCAATTTTTAAAAGAGGAACAAATTTATTATTTCAAAACTTTATTTTTCCAAAAAAGGATTAATGTTCACTCTACTTCCTCAAATGACACCATTGATAATTTTATTGTATTTTTATTATGATTAATAAGATTAAAAAAATTAATCTCTTGCTTAGTTCTTAATTATCTATAAAAAAATTATAATTCATAAAAACTTGAAAATGCATGAAATTATATAGTATAATGTTATTTTTACCAAATAATAAAAAAAGAATATTATAGTTTTAAATCTAAAATTTATTCTTTAATTATTTGCTCATATAATGTTTTAATGAAAAACAATTTTTCACTGCTTAAAATAAACATAAGTAAACATTTTTTATTTATTTTTCAGTTTCAGAAATGATAATTGAATTTCTTATAAGAAAGGCTAATTTATCTTTGTCGTATGTATATATTTAAAAAAAATTTCAGTTAAACATCACTTAATAAAATATACATTTTTTGTGTAAACTTAAACATTAAAAGAAAAGTATAATTCTTAATGATGAGATCAACTAAAAATTTTATGAATTCTTAATTATAAAAAATATAATTATCTTCATTATTTTTATACAAATTCATTCTAATTATTAAAAAAATTTTAGGACCTAATAGTATTCTGTATTCAAAACAGTAAAGTAACTATAGAAATTTATGTTAAAATCATTAAACTTTAACGAGCTATAACAGATGAGTAGTTTATAGGAAAAAAAATTGTAAGAACAAAGTTGTTTGTAGGTTTTTTTCTATTAAAAAGTTAAAAATAGGGGTTCTTACTAAAGAAAATTATAAATAAGGTTTTTAATCTTGAAGGGAAGAAACCAAAATAATTAAACTACAATTTATCTAAAAAATTTTGAACCTGATATTTTTTCTCTATTCAAAAATTTTAAATTCTGATTAGTTTCTGAGAAAATGAGAGTCTTAACAGATTTTTTTCGCTTTGTATGTATATATTAAAATAGTAAAGAATTAAATTTTTTTTTTAATTTGAACTAAGGTTTTGATACATTTGTGATGCTATTGTTCAAGTTCTATTTAAGTTTATTTATAACATAATAATAACTAGGAATTATGTTAAATTTTTCAATAATTAAAAAAAAAAAAGTTTTGAATTAGATAAAGTGTATAATATATAATATTATTATATACTATTAATCATATTTTAATAGCTAAGGGAATTTTTGATCAAAATACAAAAAATATGTATAAAAAATATGCGACCTGTAAAAATTTTTTTATCAATCTCAAATTTTTAAAACATGTTTTTTTATATACTTAATAAATCTAAGGGGTGTCTGATAAAAATATTATAGGTCAATTTTTTTTTGTGCCATCCTAGTGTAAATCTTTCATAAGTATAAGCTTGTGTGGAAACTCTTAAAAAAAAAAATATGTTATTTAACTATGTCACATATTCTATAAAAATATTCTAAAATTCGCCTTTTTATTTTGCGCCTTTAAATAACAAAAAATACTCAATTTTTAAGTAGAAATACTTCAAATATTATAAATACCTAAGAATTTTTCAGTACCATCTATCAGCACAAATAGACAAATTCTCATTATTTATTATTATTCAATATTCATTATTTTTTTTCAAAAATATTAAGTATATTATAATATATTATGAATATTTTTATAAAAAATTTCATACTATCTCTTCAATTGAATACATTAGTTATAATCATAATTTAATTTCCTAAATTATAATACCTTTTTATGTCAATAATTTTTTTATTTATTTTTATTAGCGTAAAAAAGAAAGAGGACGCATAAAATTATCATCAATCACTATAATAGAAACTGCAACAATAACACCATCACCAAGTATTTTATCTCAACAAGATGCAACCAATAATGAAAGTGAAAATGGATATGCATTTCAAATATCCTATAGTGATATTAACGAACCACAATATACATTGTATTTGATAACCCAAAAACTTCAAGAGCGGACGGATTGGCTTCAATCTCTGAGAACAGGTATATAAATTTAATATTTTAAATCTTCATTTTATATGTTAATTAAGTTTATGAATTTTATTTTAATCTACATTAACTCTTTTTTCCTTTTATTAAGTATGTGTTGACAATATGGGAAAAAGTGAGAGGTATCATTTATCTATATGGGGTGGCAAAAAGTGGCAATGTTGTAGAGCACCTTCACGAAACTCAGAAGGATGCGAGCCATGTTCTGAATGGAATGAAACACCGCCTAATTCACCTGTGATAAAAAATGGTAACAACAATAGTCCTGTATTATGTGAGTATAATGTATTTAGTACATACATTTTATATTTTGAATGTTTTTTTTATATATATTTTCACAAAATTTAAATATTTTGGTTTGAGAAATTTGAAGATCTTCTTAAATTAATGATTTCACAAATTTTCAAGAGTCATCATAAAATTTAATTTTATTTTGATAAAAATTATATTATATTTTATTATAATATATTATATTCAAAATCATAGTAAACCAATTAAACTTTAGCTATACAGTGTGGTGGTCAACAATGTTTTGACAAATGTACTATATTTTGATCATTAAAATCATATTTTTTATGAAATATAAACAATAAAGAATATGATTTTAACATAGTCTAAGAATGCATAAATAATTTTTTTTTAAGTTATACAAAATATTTGCTGCATCCAACAATTATTAGATTTATCAAAACAATGTGATATATTAAAAAAAAGTCTATTAGAAATTTTAATGAGAACCATTTTAACTTTATTACATACATTAAAATAGACAATTTGTGAAAATTGGAGATTTTTAAAAAAATTTTACTGGTGGCTCAACGTGTTTTTAGTATTTTGACCACAAATATCCCCCCCCTCCAAAAAAAAACGCCCCTGTTATTCAATTTTTTGTCAGATATTAGTATATCAAAATAGTTTGATTTTTACTGTAGAATACAAATTTTTTAGTTTCAAAATTAATGAATACATATTTCTTTTTTAATTTTCACAATTTAAGATAATGTTATTATCTTATATATTAATAAAAAGGTCTATGATGATAATTTATTAAAAAAAAAAAAATCTGTTCGGAATAGTTTTTAATTACTTTCATTATCTGGCTATTTTAATAATCAGTTAAAAGTAATCTCGGAGTCTTAGATATATTATATTAAAATTGGTAATTCTGATTTATTGAATTATTGAAATTGTTTATTGTTAGTGATATGTTTTCATTTAACACATATCCTATAATGAACTCACATCATGAGTTTATAAAGGTAAATAATTTTTGTAGAAATTAAATTTTATTTTGAAATCTTAAATCTACACAACACATTAGTAAAAAGATGATTTAAATGATTATAGAAATTATTGAATGATGTCAATAGATGACATTTGGATTTAATACTTATGTAATTTGCCTTTAATTAGTATTAAAAAAAATAAAAATAAAATTATTATCTATGTTTATATATAAAGACTTATACATGTCATATCAATATATATTTAAACGAGGCGGCAAGTTTCTATGTTAATGTACTACCACAATTAAGATTAAGCTTTATTTATATGTGGTAGTACAGAGACAGCAAAAAATGTTAATACATCTTAAATTGTTTATTCTTTCATTTTAAAATATTATGACTCTTTTAGTTTAATTATTGGTATATTCAAATATGGTAGATAAAACACAAATATAGCACTTAATTATGGTGTAATTAATATTCTTGATAAATGGTCACACTGATAAGTAATAGTGCAGTTTTAAGCCGGTCAATACAATGCGCTTCCGTGCGCTTGGCTTGCATGCGTTCTCTCCCTTCTCAATCAGATAGTTGTTTTTACTACGTTAGTTTTCTCCTATCTTCTCTTATTGCCATCGTTTACCGTTTTGTTTTTCCTACTCAATTACACTCCTTTGCCCTCACGGTTATTGTCGTAGTTCTTTCAATGTTTTAGTAGGTGCGAGTGATCGTAGGCTGTCTGTCTACGGTTGTTCAGTATGCTCATTAATAGCGTAATCGGATATTTTTCCAATTTATATTGATAATTAATTAATAGTGACCTAAAAATTCATCTGAACTTTGCAACTTGCAATCTAAATGTTAAGGCGTTATTTTTAAGGATTATCATTGAGGTGCGTATCATCAAATTGTGTATTTTTCCGTTTGTTAATTATTATTTGTAAATAATTTTCATTTGTATTTTATTATTAGACTGTCAAACCTTCATTCGGGGTTGATAGCAGTAATAATTGGTGATTCGTCGTATATTTTATATTAAAATTTAAAGGGGTCTTCGAAAGTATTTATTTTGAAAGGTTCTTTTTAATTAAATAAATATTTGTAATAATCTTCAATGATTAATTTAAATCTATGGTTTTCAACCATACAACTTTTCAACTTTTCAATCCACCATCTAAAAACGCCTCTTATTATTTCTTATTTTTATAATTAAACTAACAAATTTAATTATTAAAACTAAAGGATTTAAATGATTGCGTTTTAATAAAATATTAAGATTAAGTTCTGTTAAATAGAGGTAAATTTTTATCATTTAATATTTAAATTTCAGCATTATTACTCAAAAGTAAATATTTTTTTCGTGCGTTTCGTTACCTAGTCGTTTCTGTAATAATGTTAATGATGATACTACTTGGGTAGTTCTTTGATCGTGACTTGTTGTGAAATAATTTTTTTATTATACGATACTTGGTTTTATATTATTCTTATATTTCATCCATAAACAAAATTACTATGGTAAATTACATATTATTTCTGTTTTGGAAAGAATATATTAGTTAAAAATACATACGTTTGCATAGGTAGCAAATAAAAAGTTCAACTTTAAGCTTCGATGTAAAACTAAACACTATAATAGTGACTTTAATTTACTATTAATCTGCTACGTCATAGCTACCCCTAAAGAGTTAATTTACATTATTTCAAAGTATTCTAAATTAATTGCAATGTACATTTTTTTGCGATGCTAATATTTATTTTTGACTTGCATTGTTAAAAAATAACTTTAATATTTAAAGTCACCCCTAAAAATTTTAAAAGACGATTTCACTGCAAAGGGTAAAATACATTACATTTATCAGTAATATAATTAATTTTAATTTATTCAGCGTATTTATATTTGTTAATTATAATAGTAGTAATAATTTTATATTCATAAACGAATTCGATTACTGTAAAAAAACTGCTATTACTTATATTAGGATTGATCTAATGTCAATGAAGCAATTTATTAAATGAGTCCTTTAGGAGTGTTTTTATTTAGTTCCCTCGCATTTATTTATTGTACTGAAGAGTAATTTGACACGATAATGGGTTTTAAAGTCATTGACGGGTAATATAATATTATGATGTTGCTGATATGGTAGGGAAAATGAAGGTTTTAATTTATCTGCGTGAGCCTTAAAAAGTATATAATACCATTTATCTGCCATTTTACTCTATTACACCGATTTAAATTGAAAAACAATCATTAATTTTTTGTTGCATTTTTACGTTAATATGGATTTTATATTTTATTATTTTTATATAATAGATCTCTGAATTAATAATTCATAATTTTAATAAACATAACTTATTTTATATAGTTAACTTTTATTTGATGACCAGTTATATTATATTGTTTTCACGTGTTTTGAGGTTTATTTGATAATACACTCTTAAAAAAATGTCCGATTTATCACATACATATATTGTAAGTTTTTAACGCATACAATGTAAGAAAAATGTTATATTTGTGTACGAATTGTTGACATTTTATGTCAAAATTACATTATTCGAGTGTAAAATTAACACTCTTGTATGATATTAAAAATGCTATACTGACCTTTGAGAATTAGAAGACTGTGTTTAAGTTTAATTGCGCCCATAGCAAATTTTCAGAGTTGCTTCCAAAAAAATATCGTTAATTTTTCAAGTATTAATATATGCATACTTGATAATAATAATTTTCTAGAAGAAAATTGTACAATTTGCATCTCTTAAAATTACACCGCTAGCTTAATCCTCTTGCCTTAAATACTATTTTGAATATATACAATGTATAGTATAATAAATATTGAAAAATTTGATATAATATACATTTATTTTTGATATTTTAATATCTGTTTAATAATAGAATATAGGTCTTACGAGAAATAAATCGCCTACAAATTTATTATTTAAGACTTTTTTTTCTATAATTTCCTTTGTTTAATTATAATTTTTAGTAAACATAATTCCGTAGTCTAAATTCTTAAAAAAAATAATAATAATTAACGAACATTTTTTTTAATCAGTGTAAGCTTACGATTAGCTTAATCCATTCACGTTTATACCATTTCGAAAAAATTAAGAATGGAACAAATATCAAATTACTGTATCCAAAAATCTCATAAATAATATCGACTTATTTTTAACAATTTTATAGCTGTATGATAAAACTTACTAGATAAAAACTTAAGCCTTAACAAAAAAACGAAAATACTTTTGCTAGGAAGCTTTTATATCATAAGCCCAATATTTAGGAATTTTAGATTAAATTAAGATTTTATGGAAATCCTAAATTAATTTTATTTATTAAACCAGCGTTTTACCTGTTTTTTTTTAATTTAAGAAATAATAAAAGTGGTTGGAATTAACTTTTTTCTCACAATACCTTTGTGGTATTGAATATATATGCGTCATTTAGATACACAAGATAATGAGCATACATGAAAGCATATTATACACATAGTACAGACTTAAATTGAAACAATGAGCACACGGTTTATGTTGATGGGTTTGTCTACATAAGTCTTCTTTGAAATCTTAAGCACTATACAAATATTAATTTAGTATAATACATGTGTGTGTGTGTATATATGTATTCTTATACATACATACATTAGTATATATTTTATTAGATTATATTGCATGTGAGAATACATTTACGGAGAAATAATTTAAAAAGAAATAGTAATTTTTGTCATCAAAAGAATGACTGGCTATTTTTTCTAGTGCACAAACATGATAAAACAACAGAACAGTTAAAAGAAATCATTGAGTTGATCCACAATTACTTAAAATACTATGATTATAGGAATGTATAGGAACCTAAACAAAAAATGTGACATAGTTTATCTTATAGGGTTCCTGATAACTTTTTTAAAATTGCACAATTTTATGTCTGGTTTTTAGTTTTTTATAATCACAAATTGTTATAAATGTGTATCTAAATCTTTTAATACGACAAAAAAGTTTGATGTTGAAATTTTTCCTAACTCGCTCACAATCATAACTTAAAAATTAAAATTAATTTAACTATGGTAATTATATTTTAATTATTAATAAGTTAGATTGTATAATTCTCATTGAACGATTGAAGGTTTTGTACAAAAAACGGATAATCCATTTTTTTTTTTAATTTTACAAGAAGTAATTTTATCAATATTTATTAGACAATTTTTCTTGACTTCTTCAATGTTCAAAAATGCTTTCATCACAACTGTGATGCAAACATTTAGTGATGTTATAAATCATTAATACGCTTGGGACATGTTACAGCATAATTAAAATAATTTTTTTTTATGGTTTATTTTATTAAAATTTTAACGTATAAAATGCATTTTTGAATTCATTTAATTTTAATTTTAATAAAAAAGAATCCTTGATGTAATAATAAAATTAGAATGCGAGTGAAATTGCCATAGTTGTCACTTCTTACTATTAGTTAAAGTTAATCCACCATGACTAATAAATAAACCTGATATTTCTGACCCTTTGGTTTTATAATATTCATCTGATAACTATTATATTTAATGATAATTTATGTTTTTTTTTTATATAGCTTTGACTACAGTCAATCAAATAATGCCTGGAAATACGCCGACTGCTAAGCTTAAAGTAAGCAAAAATATTCAAGTAAAATTTTTTGTACTTCACTTTGGTTTGGTAGTATTTAGTTTTAACATAATATAAAAAAATCAGGTCAAAAATATGTTTTCTGAACAAGGATGAAATGTCTTATTAAAACTTACTTTTTCTTATCAGGTTGTACTTGCTAATGAATTAAACTTAAAATATAGTTAAAATTCGCCCTGCTTTTTATAATATGCCTGTCAGTCTGTTTTTTATTATAATGATTATAAGTTTGGGTGTGATAAATTTTTTTTCCTTTAGATAAAATGTGGGACGGTGTGGCCGAGTCCGTAACGCGGCAGTGTTTGACGCACACTGCCTCGGGTTCGAAACTCGGTCATGGGCAACTTCATTTGCCAAACGAGAGATCAGTTCGGTAATTGAAGTTGCCATCCCTCTCTCCGGTGACGGACTAACCACCCATTCCGGAGTTTAAATGGTTAAGACACCTTCTTTGGTGGAAGCCGCATGGTCCTTAATGTGCTGATAAAGCGATAAAAAAAAAATTAGATAAAATGTATTGTTAGAAAAACCCCATGGTTACATTTATTTTATATAGTCTAAAATAATTTCGAACTAAATTAAATTAATTTTTCCTTTGAGTCTAGATTTATAGGGTGATCGAAATCTGATAAGACTCATTTTCTCAGAAACAATTGAGAATTTTAAATTCTTTTAAAGAGAAAAAATCTCTACATTAATATCTAGTCAAATCATTATTTTTTTCATCCCTTCAGGGATAAAAAGCCTTATTTATAATTTTCTTAAATGGGAACCCTTATATTTAATTTTATGATTTAATAGAAGAAAAAAAAGCAACTTTGTTCAAACGATTTTTTTTCCGATAAACCGTTCGTCTGTTACAGCTTGTTAAAATTAAGAGATTTTAGGCCAAGTTTCAATTGTTATTTTACTGTATTAAATACAGAAGTTATTATTTTTATTTGCTGTTGCATAAACAAAATTATTTGATCAAATTATGACATATAAATTAGCTATAAAAATTTACGACCCACTAAATGAGTGATAACAATAATTGATTCAAATGGGGTTTTCGGTGTATTATTACTAGCAAAGTCTATGGATGTGTAAGACTTACAAATAATGTAAAAATAATGACTTCTGTATTTAATATAGTAAAATAACAATAGAACTTAGCCTAAAATCACTTAATTTTAACAAGCTGTAACAAACGAACGTATCGGAAAAAAAAATTGTACGAACAAAGTTGCTTATAATTTTTTATTCTATCATATTATAAAATTAAAAATAAGGGTTCCCATTTATTAAAATTATAAATAAGGGTTTTTATCACTGAAGAGACGAAAAAAATAATGTTTTGACTACAGATTAAAGTAGAGAAAGTTCAAAAACTTGATATTTTTTCTCTTTAAAAAAATTTAAAATTCTCAATAGTTTCTGAGAAAATGAATATCTTGCCAGATTTCAATCACTATGTATGAAATCTTTTATCATTTTGTTTTAGAGCTTACACAACACATTGTATCGGAACTAAAAATAAATTGAGAATCTCCATAATATTCCAGAATTGAATTACAAGGCACTGTGAACTAATCTCTCCTAAAATTAAAAAATAAATGACTTAAGCTTTCTTAAAATTTTGAATTTATTTTACCTCTCTACAAATGTATACAAAATTTCTACTGTAGTTTCAGGATAAATTCAAGAGGACATTGACTATTTTTGTCTATATCTTTTTTTTTTTCAATTATTTTGGTATATCAGATTACTTGTATTAATAGAAAAAAATGTTAACTTATGATTATTTTCCCAGGATTATACAAAATTGTTAACCATATCATTATTCTTTGGGCTGCAGAGCTAAATTTGAATGGGGGTTCCATTCAAAATGAAGTCTTTATGTATAATGTTTTGCTTATAATTAAAAAAAAGTAGTTAACATTTGAGAATGAGACAGAAAAAGATTATTTTGAATCTTTTTGTTTAAGTATGGTTAGAACCTAAGCTATCACATTTTTATATTTGAATATATTACCCTGATAGTTATGCTAATGGTTACTGAAATTAATCTCTAGGTGTGTTTAGTAAAGAATTTTTTTTATTTGTAAATATAGTATTAAGTTAAATAATTGAATAAATCACTATTTGGAGTAATTCCTGCTTTCAGTTTCTATTGTTAATGCTTAAAAAATTATTTTACTATTGAATTCTATTTTATGTTATATTGTTATTAACAAGGAATTAACATAAATTCTAAAATTCATTCATACTTGTAGCCTTGATTATTTTATTTTTAAATTAATAAAGTGTTAATTAGGAATAAAAAATATCTTTAAGATTTTTTACAGTTAAATTAATACAAAATAAATATCCTATTGCTTTACATATTTAAATTTGTGACAGTGTGTAATTTTTGCATTAAATTTTATTTGAATAATAACTATTCATTATCTTCAGGATAGTATTTTGTAAAAATTATAAAGCTATTGTGTTATTAAATAGTGATTTACTAGTCAGCTTTATAAAAATTAATTTTGTTTATTTAGGACCAAGTTCCTAGGATTAAAGTAGTAACTGCTCTTTATCCATTTAAGGCAATTGAACCAGGAGATTTAACATTAGTCAAAGTAAACGACATCAACGATTAATATATTTTTAATTATTTTATTTATTAATTTCAATATATTTTTAATCTTAAGGGATGTGAATATGAAGTTATTGATGACTCACAAGATCATTGGTGGAAAGTGAGAGATGAGCACGGGTAAATAAAATATAATAAAATCATGTTATTTATAATATTATTATTATTTAACTTATAGTTTTGATTGTATCATTTATTAATTTTTCAAATTTTAGGGCGATTGGTTATATTCCTAGTAATTATGTCAAAGAAAAGGAACTTCTTGGGCTACAAAAATATGAGTAGGTTTTTATATTATAATCAATCTAATCAATTTACTGCTAAATTTTTTTGATGATTATTTATAAAAAAATATTTGCTGAACATTAATAAGTAATTGATAAATGTATTAATAATTATTAGATGGTATGTTGGAGACATGTCTAGACAGAGAGCTGAATCTCTATTGAAACAGGAAGACAAAGAAGGTTGTTTTGTTGTTAGAAATTCTTCTACTAAGGGACTTTATACACTTTCACTCTTTACTAAAGTGTAAGTTATAATATGAGAACCATTTTAAATTTATTTTATACATTAAAATAGGCATTTTGTGAAAATTTGAGATTTTTAAACAAATTTTTACTGGTGACTCAACGTGTTTTTAGTATTTTGACCATTAATACCTCAAAAAATACAAAATAACCTCTGTTATTTAATTTTTGGTCATATATTATGATTAATATATCAAAATAGTTTGATTTTTACTGCAGAATACAAATTTTTAGTTTCAAAATTTTAAGTCAAAAATTGATAGCATGGATGTCATTATATGGTATATTTTTAGTAGGTTAAAATTAAAAATAAAAATTTTGTAGTGTGGCTGATATTTATGTATATTATAAGTGGAAAAAAAATTCTTTACTAATCTTAAAAACTTGACCCTTTTTTAGTTTCGATGCGAAGCTGAGAAGGTTTTGGTTTTACTATGATGTGTTTTTTTTTTTTTTGTGTCTGTTACCACTTTTTCTCAGCTCTCACCAAACGGATTTCTTTCAACGATACGTTAAAGATTACAAATCGTATTTAGTCGAAGACATTACCCTTAAAAATTGAAAAAAATTCCCCCGTTCCCCGTAAATGGGGGAAACCTCCAAAAAAATTACAAATATAAAAATCGCTAATTTTCGAAATTTTTTCAATTTTTTTTAATAAAATGTGCCGTAACTTTTTCAAAAATGAACATATCAATATAATTTTTTTTATATAGATGCTTGATGTTTTTACTTATCATTTGGTATATATTTTTTGTAAATCTGACACTTAACCTGCCCACAGGGGGGGATTTAAAAAGACAACTTTTTCACAAAAAATTAACTTTTTCAACTTAACTTTTGAAAATGTTCCGGAAGGTCTGACACTTTTATATATATCTTAAATTAAAGCTAATGTAATGTACTTTAATTTGAAAAAAAAAAATTTGACCTCTGGACTTGTCTTCATGGCGAAAATGGCTACCGAATGCTATTTTCGTGTGAAAATTCTCGATTTTATTATTTATATTATATTTAACTTTATAATGCTATAACTTATTGAGAAGTGTATGTATCCACACAATTTTTTTATGAGAAATAATATTTTTTAATAAACCCTTTTTCATTCGACATACTTTATCTTAATCGAGATATTAATAAGGAACCAGCAGATCATGTAGCTTTTGGAATAAAACGCCAATTTTTTTTAAATTAAACACTATCTAAAGATTTGCATCGAAGCGTTTATTTTTGATAGTGATTTTAATCACTGTCAGATATCATTATACTTGATCCAACTATACCACAGCACCACTGTGCTGCGACCCCCCTGTGCTGGGTTTTTATAATTAATGTATAAGCTAAAATTTACTTATCATAATATTTGACCAAAAATTGAATAACAGAGGGCATTTTTTGTTATTTGTGGTATTTTTGGTCAAAATACTAAAAACACGTTGAGCCACCAGTAAAATTTTTTTAAAAATCTTAAATTTTGACAAAATGCTTATTTTAGTATATAAAATAAATTTAAAATGGTTTTCATTAAAATTTCGAAGATCAACTTTTTTTGATCCACCCTAATATATATGTATATTAAAAAAATGTAAATTCTATTTTTATCTTATTTATGTGTTAATTATAGACCACATTCTCATGTCAAACATTATCATATCAAACAAAATAGTAGAGGAGATTTTTTTTTAAGTGAAAAACATTGTTGTTCAACAATTCCTGAGCTAATCAACTACCATCGTCACAATAGTGGTGGTTTAGCTTCAAGATTGAAAACTTCACCGTGTGATCGTCCTGTTCCGGCAACTGCTGGATTAAGTCATGGTATAAAATCAATATCAATGGTTTTGTTTGTATATATTAAATAATGATAAAAATCCTGTATTAAAAATATGTAGTGTTACTAGTATTTCATTAATTAATTTATAATAATTTTATTATATATTAGATTTTATCTATTATTATTTTTTAACATTAAAATTAACTATCTTAATTTTTAAACATAAAAGTATTTTCTGTGATATTAATCATGGTGTGCTTTATAAAAATTAACTTGAGGGTTATAAACATATTAAAGCTATGCTTACTTTGTCTTATATTTTATAGATAAATGGGAAATTGACCCTGCTGAGCTTATGCTACTGGAAGAGTTAGGATCTGGTCAGTTTGGTGTAGTACGTCATGGTAAATGGAAAGGATCAATTGACACAGCTGTAAAAATGATGAAAGAAGGTACTATGTCAGAAGATGACTTCATTGAAGAAGCTAAAGTCATGACGTAAGTGTTAATGTCAAAAGTAGTAATATTAACTAATTTTATTAAATTTAATCATTTTTTAATAAGGAAACTTCAACACCAAAATCTAGTCCAACTTTATGGAGTTTGTAGTAAACATCGTCCAATCTATATAGTTACTGAATATATGCGACATGGTTCATTATTGAATTATTTAAGGAGACATGAAAATAGTTTGGGGGGAAATAATGGACTTTTACTTGATATGTGTATTCAGGTAAAATAATACTATTACTTATATTTTTATTTTTACTTATTAAATAAATTTTATTTAACAATTTTGTATAGGTGTGCAAAGGAATGGCTTACTTAGAACGTCATAATTATATTCATCGAGATCTTGCTGCAAGGAATTGTTTGGTAGGATCAGAAAATGTTGTAAAAGTTGCAGATTTTGGACTAGCAAGGTAACTAACAATACTTCAACTAATTTTTAAGTATTTAAAATACATCTTAAACCTCAAAAATATTTTATTTCCTAAAAATATGGGATCTATAATATACATTAATACTTTATTTAGGTATGTGCTTGATGATCAATACACTAGCTCTGGAGGTACCAAATTTCCTATTAAATGGGCTCCTCCAGAAGTATTAAACTATACTAGGTTTTCTTCTAAGTCTGATGTTTGGGCTTATGGTTTGTATAAAATTTATTTATAACTTAACAAAAAGAATTATTGTACATGCATTTGTTTATAACAGGTGTTTTAATGTGGGAAATATTTACATGTGGAAAAATGCCATATGGGCGACTTAAAAACACAGAAGTAGTTGATCGAGTACAACGTGGTATAATTTTAGAAAAACCCAAAATGTGTTTTAAAGAAGTATATGAGGTGAATATTCAATTTAGTAAAATACAGTCTTGATAGTTAAAAATGTATTTACTTAATATTTTATAATATTTTCATATAGGTAATGAGAAAATGTTGGAGTCATTGTCCAGAAGATCGTCCATCATTTAGGGTGCTTAAAGATCAACTTGCCACAGTTTCTCAAGTAAATTATTTTATGTTCTTAAGTAATTAATATGAATATTTTCTTATTATTTATTGTGGTTCTAGGGTTTACTGGCTGATTGACGATCTTTATGGCAATCTTGTGATTGTGTTATTTGTCTATTGCTTGATTTTGGTTATGAGCCGCTCATAGAATTGTGCCAGTTAGTGCTTGATAAAAATCTTTCTGGCATTTAATAACTTTTAGATATTTTTATATGTCATAGTTGACAGTTAATATTTTTTTTTAATGAATTAGTATGTGATCTCGTATTCCATGATTAGTATATATATATAACTCATTGTAATTTTAGAAAGTCCTTTTTATAATTTTCTTGAACAAATATTTTCTAACTAGAATGTGATTCAAATTTTTAAATAGGATAACATGCTTTAAATTCTATTTTTTCATTTAATTTAAAATACTAGTAGATAAAACTAATAAACTGTAAATTTTCTGAAATCTGTTTGTTATTTTAAAAGACTTCTGCTATTTTTAAATGAATAATTTGTTTTTAATATTTTATATGAAACTCTGAATTACATGTCTTCCAAAGTTATAACTGCCAAATATTTGTGAGATCAAAATTAAATTAAATTTTTACTGTTGTATTTTTGATCTTCATAATGTTTAGTGAAACTGTATTTTAACATAAAAACCATTGTGTAGTTTTGCTTATAGTAACCTAATATATTTCTTAAATTAGGGTTTTTTGTTTCTAAAGAAAAACAATAATGTCCTCATATTGGACATAATATCTGTCTGTGAAATGATGGTACTTCATAGGAAACTTTCTTTTTTACCCTTTAAAAATAATATAAATATATTATTATTGCCAATAGTAAGTTATTATTGTAACTTTAAGATCTAAGTTTTTTACATAAATTTTAATATCCCAAAATAGTTGTAAAACTTATTTCTATTTGTATTAAGAAATTACTTAACTGTGCCAATTTTGTATAATTTTATTTTTAATCAACTAAAATTTTAAATTTAAAAACATGAATATTTTAACCATTCCAAATGTATATATAGTACATTCAGATTTTTCAATTTTGATAACTTAATTATTAATATTAATGAAGTATTAAGTTTTATTTATTTATGTATTAATATTACATATTAATTTATGTACAAATACAAATAACTAAATTTTAAGCAAACTCTTACATATATAATAAAAGTATATTTTAAAAAAGAATATTAAAATTAAGTTTAAATGATAACAATTTTTTTTAAATATTACATAAAGTGTACAATATTTAAAATTTTTATAACAATGTGTAGTTGATGTATTTGTATTATAATGAAAATTATATCTGGTTACTGAGTAAAAAGATAAAATTAATATATTTTACTGATAAATACTATATTTTATGTACTAAATTCAACGAAACAGCATATTTGTAACACTTATTTATATTTATTTGATTATGATATAAATAATTACCATACTAGTTTTATTTACTTACTTTTTTACATAATATTCATAGATTTAAAATTTAAATGCTTATTTGTTAATCCATTCTATGGTTAGCCATACTATAGATTTTTATTTTTAAGTTGAAATTATGTATGATGAAATTAAATAATATTGAGTATTAAAAAAAAAAATTATCATACATATATTATAATTTGTTAAGATTAAGACTGATTTTTCTTTAATGACCTTTGTATGAACAAATTAGGGCCTACCTATTGAAATAAACAATTTATTGTTACACAACATTTGATAATTATATGAATAATTAAAGCAGTTTGTAATATTTTTATAAGTTATATTATAATCATTTACTACATAATTGTGTTTTATATTGTATAGTTGATTGATAAAATAGAACAATTTCGTCCACATTATATATTTTAGTGTAGCCTTCTTCAAATTCTGAATGACATTTTTTTACTAAAATAGGTTCTATTAACAATTTGAAATTATGTGTATCGCTTGCAAAGTCAAAATTAATTTTAGTAACACAAATTTGGATTTCTCATCACAATTAAAAATTAACCAGAGGAATCTATATAATCTATGAATAAAGTCAAATAAATTTGTTTTCACGGTATGGTTTAAATTGAATAGAAAAAGTTATTATTTCTGAAATACTTATGAAAGCAGCAGGAGACACCATAGTTCAGTGTTAATTATCAGCTATGTTGAAACCTGGCTATGATTCAAATCTGAAACTTTCCAAACATAATTCTAAAATGATTGGCAGTTATTGCCATTTTAACAATTATAAATATTAATTTTAAAGTCTATCAAAGTATTCTAAAAAAGGAAACTAGATCTTCCTCCCGTTCGTTATCTGAACAAATTTAATCTTTTTCTTTACTCCTAAGATAACTGTATAAATCCCTATCATCATTCTAGTTTTGAATTCATTATGTTTATAATACCAAATACGATTAAGTTTTTTAATACTTCTTTTTTCATGCGAAAGTATTGTATAAGTAAAATGTATGTAGCAGCTTCAATTTTTTTCTTAATCTTGTAAGTTAAAAACAAACTAGTGACATTGTTTTTAAAATAACTACAAAATTGAATTCAATCGATGGATTATAATTTTTAAAATAGATATGAATTATTCAAATTTAAAAAACTTCATGGGTTATCAGAGGCGAATTAAGACTACAGATAAGTATCATTTACATATCATTTATTTATATGTTAATGCCTAAAACTTCGTTAAATACGATTTGTAGCTCATTACACAATAATACTGTTAATATTACACTTTTATTATTTTTAAAAAATAATATATAATTAAAATACAATACCAAAATACCTTATTATTTGGTATATAAGTATTGTATTATTATCATTTAATTTCTTAACATTTTGTCTTTATCCATATTATTTGAGTATACACAAATTTTACTGTTTTGAACTCTTATGTGTATGCAAAATATTAAATTTTCAAAAAAAAAAAAAAAATGTTCAATAAAAGGGGGATAATATGCCTTTTTTATTTTATAATACTAAAGATATTATATTAAATATTATTAATAAAATATTTTTGTTTTAATTCATACATGGTTTGACAAATATCAAAATTGACTGATTTTAAAATTTGTAGTTTCTTGGGAATTTTTCTTTATTTACAGAGAACGAGAGCATTTTTTAAAATTATGGTTATGATAACTTCAACTAGGTAAATTCGTGATATTTTAACGTATTGTTGGACAATACTAATTCGATAGCAACTAAAAATTTGATCCATAAACACAAAAAAAAAACATATTTCAGTAATATTTATAGATTTGTAATGTTTTACTTTGTTTAATTTACATTAATCTGTACTCTTGCCCTTTAAGACATAAATTTAGTAACAAATATTAATCGAAGCACAAACTCAAGTTTCTTTAAAAAGTCCTAAATATGATTTAAATATTAAAATAATAGTAACATTTTAAATTTATTATTTATGGATATACAAAACTGTAAATTAAAAAACATATATATTCTTTATCTGGGTTTCGTAATTTTAATAAATAAAAAAAAGACAGTTCATTCTGACAATAAGTCATTAATTCTCAAGCTAATCAACAAATGGATTATCTATTTATTTACGTTACATTAAAAGAACAATTCTTCTTCAAACTTGCAAGCGTCTTCTCTAAGTTTAAATGGGATCAGAGAGGTTTGACCTGAGCATACCGTAACAAGTTTAAGGTACAGGCATCTCCATACAATAGAGGTAATCCTATTCATCACATCCCATTTGAATCTGGAAGAATCAGAATACTTAAGAAAAATCGTTTCCCTTTAATTGCAAGATTTCCATGTCAAAACAATAGACGTTAGTTACTGGTAATATTTATTTATTATATAAATTGCAACTATGTTCAGAATGTGTATTTATAAAAAAATATGTTTTTTTTTTTTAGAAATTAAAATGAGTAGTTATTTTATATAATATTGTTGTGTTTTAACATGCCACTACAACACTATGAAAATATGTCTTAAAGTATAAGTTTAATACTAAGAGTGCTTTACAGCGATATCCATTGGGTTAATTTAGTACTACAAATTTACAATGTAATTTCATAACCACAGAACTGTAGTGTTCATATCCTCTACTTTATTGATAAAAAACCTAAGGATCAGTTGTTATTAAAAAAAATTGTAATTTCCTATAAGATATCATAGAGGACACCGCAAGATGGATTTACTTATGAATCCACCTTGGAATACTTATTAAATAATTTTCAAGTTTATCTTACATTTGTCAGTTATGTAATTTATCAGTATCATTATCAATTATAACCAATTAACGTTTTACCGGAATGAATTTTTCTAAGTCAATAATTTTTTATTATACATATTTGATTATTGGAAGTCATCCTTGATAATTATAATTTGACTAACTATTCCTGATTATCTATTACTCGTTTTTAGTTATATAGTTGTGCAAAAAGTTATGGATTTTAATTTTTAATATTTTTGGAGTCATGTTACATGTAAATATATTTAAGTTGAAATATTATTGTTAACATTTTTTTATTAATTCTAATATACTTAATTCAGATATATTCCAAGCGTGTTGGTGGTAAACTTCAATTGTCAGGTTGTTGTGCATTTTTTAAAACTTTGTCTACCAAAAAAAAGAAAATATATGGGTATCCAACCCAACTGTTTCACCTGGATAATATATTGCTAATGCGATGTTGTTCAGTAAACAATAAGCTATTTATTCATCAACAAGGGAAACCCATTGAACAGCCAAAGAGTCATTTGATGAGTACTATTTATCCTTATTTAGAATTGATGCGGTTTTCTAAGCCAACTGGTGAGAAAATCCATTTGGTCACATTAACTATAACTAATTTATTATAAATCAACTTAGGTTGGCTTCTTTTATATTGGCCTTGTACATGGAGTATTGCACTAGCTTCAGGAGCTGGCGAACTTCCAAATTTTGAAATGCTGGGACTTTTTGGACTAGGAGCAATCATGATGCGAGGAGCTGGTTGTACAATCAATGATATGTTGGATAAAGATATTGATAAAAAAGTATGTGGTGTTCTAAAAATTTGATTAGGAAAAAAATTGTTATTAGTTAATGATAATACTAGGATCTGGAATTTTCATTCTCAATTTGTTTTTCATCATTATTATTTTTGTACTTTTATTTTCTTGAAAATGGTTTTTTTTTTCTTCAAATTTTTGCTGTTGTATTTATTAAAAAAAATTCTTTATTATCTGATAGTTTGACGTTAAATAGTTTCTATTAGATATGATCTTTGTATACTATCAATAATTATTTACTAGTTGTTTAATTATTTAAACAATTAGAGATTAAAATCACTCAATTTGTCAATGAAGAGTCTTGTTTTTTTAATTTTTTATGATATATTTCTAAGGTATTAGAGTTATGTAATTGTTAGTTAAATAATATCTTATTAATTATTTATAAAAATATTTTATATGTTATATCAGTTAACCCATATATTTAGTTTAATAGATTATATTCTACTTGGTTATCCTCCTTTATCTGTTTTTAACTATGAGCCTGCTTACTCAAGTAATAATAATTTAAATTAGTGAAATACTTACTTAAATATTTACTTCATTAATAAACATTTTAAATAAAAAATTATCAAATTTGTTTTATCTGTTTTCAATTATTTACGCATTTTATGAATTGTTAGTTTCATCTTAAATAAACATTGAAAATGTACTAAATAATTAATATCAATAAAAATATTGGTTATTAAGGTTTTGCTCGATTTATTTAATATAATTTCTACAATATTTTATTATTATATTGTTATATTTTTAATTATATATTTGCAATTATTATTAAATTATATTTTTAGGTAGAAAGAACAAAAAATCGACCCCTTGTGATAAAATCTTTAAGCATGTTTGATGCTTGGGTTTTTCTTGCAGGCCAATTAGGAATAAGTCTTGTTATATTATTACAACTCAATTTATTTACCATAATGTTTGGTGCCAGTTCTTTAAGTAAGCCATGCAAAATTCTAAATTTACTTACATTTAAACAAATTTAGTTGTGTTACTTATACTTTTGCTTCATACAAATAATTTTTTTGAATGTTAGTTTTTTATAAATAATTACTAAATAAAAATTAAACATTTATTGACACTAATTTTTTTTCTTTACTAGATTCAATTCTAATTATATTGAGAAATTCATTTTTGGAATCAAAGTTTTATTTATTTAATTTTGACGAGTTAAAATTTTATTAGTCTTGTTATGAATATACCCTGTATTTTATTCATATCTTGCGTAAACTCTTTAAAAAATTATTTGGTTTGGTTCTATTATTGAATTTATTATTTATTATTAATTTAAATTTTATAATTCAATTATCATTCCATTTCAGTGTTAGTGACTATTTATCCTCTCATGAAGCGTATAACTTACTGGCCTCAATTTGTGTTAGGCCTTACTTTCAATTGGGGTGCTCTTCTTGGTTGGGCTGCTATACATTCTTCTATCGATTTAACAGCTTGTTTGCCACTTTATACAGCTGGTATCGCGTGGACTCTTTTTTATGATACTATTTATGGATTTCAAGTAATAAATTCAAAAATAATAAAATTGATAAAAAATTAAACAACTGATGACATATATTTTACAGGATCAAAAAGATGATAAAATTCATAATATTAAATCAACAGCTGTTCTTTTTGGAAATAAAAGTAAAGTATGGTTAAGTTCATTTGCTGGCGTATCTCTCAGTAATTTCATATCATGTGGTCTTCTCACAGGCCAAACATGGCCTTATTATCTGGCAATACTGGCATCTGGTGGCCATATGTGGAATCAGGTATGATTCCTGAACAATGATTTAGTTGTAGTATGGCAGGACTGTATTTTCTTGGAGCTCTTTAGGCTGGGAATAATAGATGGTAAATAATTTACCCGATCACCAAGCCTTTTAAACTGTAACTCAGAGTCTTGATATACAACTTAAGGACCGACCAACCTGTTGGTGTATAGTGGAATGTATGTAAATAGAATCACTGGAGGTAAGAGAGGTTGCCTACGCAAAATCAGTGATATATGTAGTGTTCAAATATGTGTATGTAGAAAATGTAGGTGTATAATCCTTAAAAACTATTATAATAAACAAATAACTGTAGCTTCTATAATAATTACTTATAATATTTTCAATGAAACAATAGTATAAGTTTAGCCCTTTTGACTCATCAACAAAATAAATAAATTATAAAAAAATCCAAAATAGTTCCTTTGGCTCAAAATAATAAATAAATATTAACTCTGAAAAATATCAACAAAAATAAACTTCAATAATAAATATATATAACTTTTTCAATACTATGTACAACTTTCAACTCGCTTCTAATAACAACTGTATAAAAATATTTACTATAATTTCTAAAAACAAATTCATTATTAACTAATATAAAAATGACAACTGAATAATAATAATTCACTAACACTAATAAAACTATAATTTCTTAAAAACATTGAACAAATAACAGAAGTAATAAATTATTAGAATTAAAATTCACCCTCTATATAAAACAACAATTAACCTTCTGACTCTTGACTATTAATTAAATGTATACAAGGCCATTATAACTGTCACTTCGCTTATTTCAATGCTAGTGATGGAATAAATATAACTTAATAACTAAACAAAAAAACTAAATCTGTTGGATAATTCACAATAATAAAAAACAAAAACTAGACACTTAATTCAATTGATAATAATGTACTCACAATAAATTGCAACTGGCTAGCCACTCCTATAACTATGAGACAGTGTACAATTAATATAATGATCACAATATACAACTTTTTCAACATAAATCTCAATAATATTTTCAATTAAAAATCACAAATCATTATAAAATATCACAAGAAAGACTAAATAAAATAACACTATAGGCAATACTTAATAAAAAACAATTTCACAAAAAAAAGTTATTATGTATTCCAAAATTATTTTACAAGTAAAATAAAAACTAGCATTAAAAATCTACGGTGATATGTGTTGTGAACACAACAGGTGATCGGTTGATTGATAATGTTACTTCATGTTATCAATTGTGGTATATATAACCATTGCACAAATTATAGATGGAATTCAGTATCATTGGCAATGTTATAACTTGTATTCTATACAGCCTCTACAAGAGTACTAAATTATTGCTCAAAATCTTGTTAAAATTATACTTTCTTTTTGAAAAAATTCTTGTGGTATTTTATACTCTTATAAAAACAAGTTTATAAAAAACATGTTTTTGAGATTTAATGTAACAAAAATATCTGATTATTAATTCATTTAATAAATTTTTTTCTTCATTCCAAGAGAATACTTAGTGTAATACACTACAATATTTTCATATCAATAAAAAAACTTAATTTTTTAAAATTAAATTGAAATAGTATTCATATAGTCTGGCATTAAAAATAAAATGAGTTTTATTCAAAATCAATTATACAAAGAATTTTTTTTATAATAAAAATTAATCACTTGTGGCTAATTAATTAAATAAAAATAAAACTATATTAAAAATATTAAACTCAAAAGCCACAAAAAAATAATAATAATAATATACGTGACTTTTCAGTAATTTTTTGTGGCTTTTGAGTTTAATATTTTTTAGTTTTTAAATTAATAATGTTTTTAATTTTATATAATTTTTTTTTTATTAGATTTATTCATTGGATATCAAAAATTCAGCTGATTGTGCTAAAAAATTTAAATCAAATAACCATATTGGTTGGATTTTGTTCCTGGGAATTGCATTTAGTACATTATTAAAGAAGTCTAACAAGGAAAATGAAAATGAAAGCACAAGTCTCCTCTTCGACAAATAGTCATAAAATAACTGTTACCAAATGTTAACTTTTTTTTTAATGTTTAATTTGGGTTCCTAAATGTTTTATGGAAATAAATTACTAGTCTATAATTTATATAATTGTTAATATATATTTAACTGTTCCTAACATTTTGTTTAATTACAATAGGCATATTTAATTTATAAGACCCTTTCTCTATCTTGACGCATTTCTTCTAGAATTTTTTGTCTAACAAAATCTTGACGTTTAATTGCATTTTCATTGTTATGAAGTTGTTTAGCTTTACGCTAAAATATATAAAATAAAAATAATATTAATGGTGCTTAAATAGAGAGAGATTAGTATACTGATATTTCTGTTGTACTTGGATAAAAGGTTCAAACTATAAAAATTTGAAAATTAATATTTGTTCTAATAGTCCGATAATTTAGATTGTAGCAAATAATTTTATCAGTTTATGTAGAATTTAGAAAATTAAAAAAAATGTTGAAAGAAATTGCATGAATTTCATGTATGAATACATAGTTGTTTATCAGCAATACTTTATACATAAAATTAAAAATATTTTCTTCATCATGGCCAGTAAAGAATTAAAATAAATTTTTACTATGATTATAAAATAAAAAGAGTATCATTTTTATATTATTCAACAATAAATAATCAATACCTCTAAATGGAAGCAATGTACCATTCGATCATACACCTTATCACATCTTCCAAAAAATCTTGAAAATTTGTGCTGAAAAAAAATATTGAGAATCAAATTAATCATTATAAAACAATACATATAATCTAAGTTGATTAAAATATTTTTAAACCATAAATATTTCAAAAAAATATATTAACTTGATACAACTTGACCTGTGTAAGAATTGTCGGTAATTTGCCAACCATTGATTATAAACTAAAGACTTTAGCACATTTTGAGGATGAAAGAATATTTAGTCTATTTTTTAATTTTAATATAATCTATATTAAAATATTATTTGAACAAATAAAATAATTACTTATTAAAAAACCATTAAAAATGTTTAACTTATTAGAAATCAAAGTTAATAAGTTCCTAATTAATATTCAAGAATCATAACAGTAACTGTTTGAAATTATTACAATTAATTAAAATCAACCAGAGAATAAATATGTTTCAAAAAATATATAAAGGGTAATATGCTAAAGAAGGATATGATACAATAATTCTAATTCTGTCCTCTTAATATATTGTTATTCTTATTGTATATGTTACAATTTTATTTAATTTTTGGAAAAAGTATCAAAGTTACCTATTGAACAATTTAACACTTAGATGTTTTTTTCATGACATATTTTTAATATTTTGTATATGTATTACTCACTTCAACATTACAATTCATAAATTCTAATGTTATATCATTACATTCATCGGTGTGTAAATGAGGTGACAAATCTGGATGCATTATAGGTTCTAAAATGTCTGTAATTGATTAAGATAACTTGAAATAGTTAATTTTTGCATTATATAAATTTCAAAAATTCAGTAGTGTAATTAATATTTGAAAAAATTAAGAGTTGATCAATATACTCATTTTTTAAAAATAAGAAATCAATGTAGTAAATAGATAACGATATAATGATATCACACTCATATTTTGATACATGATAAGGTTACGGAATTAAAATATGTATTCAATTACTCACAGACGAGAGTTTAAACTGTAGATTTATATGAAAAAAAGAATTAGCACGATAATAAATGTATTATTAAATCCTACTTATCTTATACTTAAGACAATTGCAAAGGGTGTAAATACTTGCCCTAAGTGCTCCTTTAATTTCATTCATTTTTACAAAATAAATTTTTTTTTTTTTTTATATTAATAAAAGAATTATTAACACACGTAATTTTATTTTAAATACATTTAAAAAATACAAAAATATAATAATAAAAATTATTTTTGTTTGATATAGATGTAAATAATTAGAAAAAATGCCTAACTACAGTTCCAGGGANGTAAATAATTAGAAAAAATGCCTAACTACAGTTCCAGGGAGGTTTACATTAAGCTGGTTGCCTTTTAATATGAGATTCATCATAATAGTTCTTAAATATATCCCGAGTAGCAATTCGAGTTCATACTGGGTTCATTTAATATAGTAACAACGGTGCTGAACTCAGTTCAAAACCCGTTCACAGCACGGTTCAAAATGAGATTTGAATACGGATTTTAACATGGGGTGAACCGAGTTCTACAAAAGTTCAGAAAGAGTTCAAAGACCGTCCCTCGGTTCAACTATAAAACCCTCGATAACAGTTCAATAATCGTTCATTAGTTCAATAAAAGCAAGCTCTACGACGATTCATTAAGAGTTCATTAGTTCATTAGCAGTTACGGTATTTTAAATTAAATGTATAGGTTTTGTAAATATTCAAACATTTTATAATTTTAAAATAATAAATTGTATTACTATATACACAATGTATAAAATAAAATAAAATATATTATATGTAAATATAAAATAAAATAGTTAACCTTCGAATTTTAGGTTTATTTTATATTAAATGATAATTAGTAAACAATCCATTCATACAATTTGATAATAATTAATATAAATTAATAACAATAGTTAATTTTAAATAAAAATAATGATGTTAGCAATGTCAGCAATTTATTTACTGTAACTCAGTTTGATTTATTGTTGTACAATATATACCAAAAAAATCCAATAAAAATATTTTATCATAATAAATTAATCACTAAGGTGTTATAGAGTTTAGACAAGAAATATATAGTTAATATTAGTACAGTATTAGTAAATTGTGAAATTGCAATAGTTGATATAACAAAAAATATTACTGTGGTTATAAAAACAATTAGTAATTTTAATTTAATTTCCATGAAATTGAATAAAAGAAAATCATTGCCATAAGTACAACAAAAGAAGTAAAACATATAAGTAGCATTCAATAAAATGGCATAAAATTACCATGTTTTTTTTTTTACTGTTTTTATTTCGTTTCCTAAATGCTATACTTTGTTTTCACTATTAATAAAAAAACTGCGAAATAATCTAAGTGAATAAATTTTAAAAATCATTTACAAAAAAATGAAATGTTGATTGAATAATAAAAAAAAAAAGGATTTTATTGCTGTGATGCTTTATTACCAGAATGCTTTAAAATATTAGCTATTATTTTGTTAAATGTTCTTTCGTGTTCAGGTATTATGATTTAGCCAGACATAGCATCTAAAAAATAAAAAATAAACAAACATTAGTACATATAATAACTAGTAAATATATTTGTATAGAACATACAAGGATTCAAAAATTAAGGATAAAGGATTCCCATTATTCGTAACAATTGGCTTGTTTTTCTTTATTTATTGAACATGTAGTATATCTATACAACAGATGGACGGAGCACAGGCAAAACATGTTGTATAGAAGGGACTATTTCATAGAAGAGTGTGGGGAACCCCAAAGTTTATTAAAATCATAAGACGGCATTTTTAAAATAATTTGTAGAATTTTGTATCCATGAAAGTACTTTGTCGGCAATATTCACTTCACACCCCCATAAAATTTACTACTAGGATCACTCCTGTATACAGGTTGTAGCATCATCTTCATTTCTTTTTATACAATGATTTTTTAACTGCTATTTAGAAAAGAATAAAAATACTAATTATACTATGATATAACCAGTATTTTTTCTCTGTAATAAAAAGAAGTAAGTCTGTTTGGGATTTACACCAACAATCTTTATATTGTTTGAAACCTTATGGCTTCTTCAATGACAGCATTTTAACCAACATAGCATGATCTGTACACACGACACCCCAAAATCATTCAAGTTTTTCTATGAAAAATGTAGTATAAATTAAAAAGTTATTTTTTCTTTGTAGTTTCAAAATTAGTCTTCCAGACTTAGTTTGATTTACTAAGGCGCTACCAATATATTAACATATTCAATTTGCATTTTTATTACAGTTTAATGTTCATACCACGAATTACCTAAAAAATGTGAAGCTTATTAAAAGCTTGTTTGGTGTTGTCACAAAAACTAAAATTTGCGGCCATTTCTCTTGTCATACAAAAATCAAATGCTGTTCTCGTATATGCACTGAAACTTTTAATGGTACCCACTTTAAGCAACAAAACATTTTTCTGGAAAGAAAAAAAAACAATAACTCATCAATTATAATAAATTAAATTATATATATATATATATATTCATAAAAATAATAATATTATTATTATTATTTTTATGAATATACAATGTTACAATTATAGATCAATCATTATTAAAATAGTTGGTATCTTACCAGTATTAATATAGGCTCTAGTAATTGTATCCCAAATAATATAAATAAGAAGGGAAGATAAGAATACTTCAATAGAACAACCTTTCAAGTTAAATAAAACATGCTCCCAAAGAATAATTTTATTTAAAATAATATACCTATAAAAAATTAATAAATTATATAAAAATAATTAACAACTATGCTTTGGGTATAAAAAATTTTATAATTTACTATTATATAATAGTAAATATATTATATTTATTATTTTTTATTATTTTAAATAAAAATATTTTAATACAATAGAGTATAAAGTTTTAAAGTTATTTCATAAATGTCAATAGATATTTATTCAGATTTCTGGAGAAGAAAGAATATAGGGAGTTCAAATATTTTTGTGTAAATGATAAATTATTATTAGTTATTGCACTTCCGGTTAATATGAACTCAATGTTCAAAAATGTTTATTGAGTTATATCAATTTACAATTAAGCGCCAACACATAAAGTTCAGTTAATAAACTATACAGAAATTAACCTTTTAGTGTTACAGTATTCAAATGTTTGATCAAGTACATGGCTATGCTTTGTAAAATATTTATTATACTTATAAAAAAGACATATTTTTTAAATATTGGAAATTAAAAAAGCATGATATCCATCAACATTTATTTATTGTAACTATTTGATATAGTGAAGTAAAATTAACATGATATTTCATAAGAAGTATTTTATTTTGGTTATTATTTAAGTTATAAAATAATTGTGTTTTGGATATTGGGTATTTTAGACAACTTAGGTATATAGATTTCTGTTTTGGGAAACTACTGTGAATAGTTTTATTTATATCTTAAAATTATTTAGGCTACATGTAAGCCTGTTCCTCATAGATTAAAATGTGCCTTTTATAGGTTGATTTGTATAAAAATCTTGTTGATTTAATGGTATAAAGGTTACAAATAATTACAAAAATGAGTCTGATGAAAATCTTGTTTAATGTAAAACCCTGTTAATTGTTAAACGGTGAAAACCTTTATACTTTTCATTTATTTAAAATTTGAATTATTGAAATATAATTTTCATTCAAATAGATGCAATTCTTTTTAACTTAAAATGTTTGATAAATTTAAATTATTGAGTAGTACAATAGAGGGATTTTCATTAAAAATCAACAGTTTTTTAAGAGATGGTATTTCAATGTATACAATTTTGAGAAATATATAAAATGCACCATTTTAAATATTAAAATACAGAAGTAATTTGTATCACATGTATCAATAAATAAGAAGATCTAAAATAAGCTAGAGCTGACCCCAAATAGTTGGGATAAAGGCTTAGGATATGATGATAACGACAATGATATATGATTAAAAACATTTTAAGCTCATGGAAAATCTTGAGGTATCTGTTAATAACTTCATAACAACATAACTAACGATAGTACTTTATTAAAATAAATAATTTTGCATTATAATTATAATTAATCATAATACAAAATGTGAAAATTTAATATATAATTTACCACTTGTATCTATTACAATTACAATAAATGTAGTTACTAAAATGTATGATTATCTTTTAAAAAAATAATATATGCTATTATTAAAATTAATTAAAATAACTATTTATTATTTTAGTCCTAAATTTAAATTAAATGTACTTACATTTTATTGAACTTTTCAGTTAAATATATATGTGAGAGTGAACAGGGATAAAGAGCAGTCTTGACAAGTTATCTAGTCGCTGTGAAAATGGCGAATGTCTCAAAACATAATTTGTAAAGAGAGTAAAACGATCGTTGATAATTTGAAAAAATGTCACAGTAAAAATTAAATAACAAATAAAAATCGCGCGAACTAAAGCTGTTGGTCAACGGTTACTGACACGTCTGGTTATTCCGCCAAAAGTTCGTATGTTAAATTTGCGCTATAGTCTCAATGAAAATAATTTATAACTATTATTTTAAAGTTTTTTTTATTAATGTACTAATCAAGGGATAATATGTTTAATAACAATATAAGTGAATAAAACTATTTGAATGGCTATAACCGTTACAACGATTCTTTCATTATAATGAAAGAACTTTGATGAATCCGTACAATTATTTTGAACATTGAACGGTCCCAGCACTTACTAAAAATTGTTCGGTTATTTATTGAACGCTGAACTTTCCTGGAACTTATAAAAAATTACACGGTTCATTATTGAACATAGAACTCTCCCAGCACTCGTGGGTCGCTTGAACCGACCGTGAACCAAAATAATGCTACTCGGGATATATATATATATATAAACACATATACAGAGTGTTCAGTAAGTAAGGAAACAGGTCAATTGTTCCAAATAATGAAAACAATAGAAACCCGTTTCCTTACTGAATACTCTATGTATATAAATAATAATATCAATAATTCAAATTGAAGATATATGTAAAAATACAACACATTTATTGATTTTTTTTCATATTAAAAAATGTTTAGTTAAATTAACTAAAAAATAATGTTAATATAATTAAAACTATAATGTTTATAAAAAACTAGAACTAATATAGAAATAAAACAAATTTAACTAATATTGCAGTATATATATGATATTCCTAAATAAATAAAATAATAATAAATATAAATAACATGAAAGCCATTTTGGATCCTAAACAAACGTCCACTTGGTTATATATAAAATGACTGAGTTCATGTTACTGCGATTTTTTAAAATTAAAATACTTTAAAACACTCAAAAACAATAAAAATAATGATAAAAACAAATTTAATTCTTTAAGAAAAATTTCGTCTTAAATATGAACTTAGATAGGTATTCTATAAAGACATAATTATAAAGTTGAATTAATATTTTTTTAATTATTTAATAAAATCGTTTTATTTTTGTTTAGAGTATAAACTTCTTTTTGTAATGACCGATATGTTAAATATGGTACACAAATCTAACCGAGGAAGATTTTTTTTTAAATCTCTTTTCAAGCTTTAATTGAGTAAGAACACCTTTGGCCTTGTACTAATATTTACCTGTAAAAAATATATATTTACTATAGATAATAGTATGGAAAAATGATTTTTATGCGTAAAAAGAAAACTATCAAACTACTAAGAAGACTTAGTAGACTAAACTTTTCACTTGCATCAAAACAAAAATCAAGCTGTTCTTGGCGCATAGTTAGACTAGTAGGAGAGATTTCTGTGGTACTATAAATATATTGTATATAATTATTCTTGTACCGAAAATATTGGCGAGTCTACCGAACGTTAACCGACCGTCTCTTATTTTGTTTGGTCATTACCGTTGCAGATGGAACGCGTTTTATTTCTAGACCATATTTTACATTAACACTCGGCTACACACCAACACCCGACACAGCGGAATTTCAGTATAATATTGTTGCGATGACATTTGTTTAATATCACGCGGTTTGTTCATTTTCGGTAACAATGTAGATAACATTTCGGTTGTGCGATTCTGTTACAAAGTGAATAACAATGCTTATGGATATTGACTATGATGACACACCTAATCGGTGTACAAAACTAGTGTATTACGCCTGGAAGATATTCACGTGTCTGTTTTTGCATGTGCTTTTAGTTACTATGGTCGCCTTGTACTGTTTGTTGGGAGCCTTTGCATTCGAACGACTAGAAAAAGCTCACGAGATTGAAGTAAGGTTAATTTAATACTACTAAACGATTGCACAAATAAATATTTTACATAGATACTCACAATTATTAGGCCCAGTTTTGCATACACCACATTAACCATTGAATTACTATGGAGTTGTCTTATAAAAAAGTATGCAGTGTCTCAGATATAATCGACAACGTTTATAACTTTCAGTACAATTATCAATTATTGAATTATTTTTCTAATTATTTAGAGTACCATGCTCTTAGACTACGATTAAACCGTATTTTATTATTTATCACAACTAAAAAATAAATAATAATAATACATTTATTTTTATTTTTTCAAACACTTCAAAATAATGTTTTTGAGCCCTTTTCTTACAAAAAATTTTGGATAAGTACTCATTGATATTTAATTTTAATATATAGAATGGGGATGTATTTAGGGTAGGTGCAGCTCTTACTGGTGTATGTATACTTTGCCCGCGTTCCTTACCCACTCTAAACATTAAAATGCTTATAACTAAACGAGTCTTTGTGCTAAAAATAAAATAATTTAATTAATTTTATTTCCATTGGTAGCTTAGTTGTTATTTTTATTGTGATTTAAATTAGAAAAGTCCTGTTTACCACCACCTAATTATATTGGAATCGGTTATTTAGAAAATGAAATGTCCAGAAATTTAAATCGCCATGATTTTATTTTGATACGAAACATATTCATTAAATATTCCCTTTTCAAAATAATCAAAAAAAGATCACGTAAGCTGTTATTAAAAAAACACGCAGATATGTTTATTTTCACACTAAATAGTGAATTAATGTACAAACAACATATTTCCGTAAAAATCCTAAAATGTCAAAAAGTTATACATGTTTTCTTTTTGAAATAACCGATTCGTTTTATATTTTGTTTTCTGAAAATTTAACATTTTTGACTTGATATTTGTTTCATAAAAACAGTCCACATATAATATATACTTTGAATATAGCATTTTAGGGGATGAGTGTTATATTTTTTGTAGTTTTTAAAATTAGTCGTTCAGCTATTTTAATATTTCTACTTAGTAAAATCAGCATATAATGAGTTATAAAAATAAAGCAAAAGTGATATAAGTAAATTTTTGAGTAAAATAAGTTTGATTTAAAAATAAGTATATCAAACGTTACAGTTTCTTTAATATCAACGATAGCAATAAAATCATGTTATGAAACAACATCATAGCGTATTTAAAATAAACATTTGTATTAGTTCTTATAAAAAAATTCATAATAGCTCAACCCTACTAATTAGTTATATTATTGTTAATATTGATATTTAAATAAAAAATAAAATAATTCATAATTTGGATGATTTTACAGCAATTAATACATAATTATTTACGCTTAAGATATTTTTATACTTCTTATGTTAACAAAATGTTTATATAAATTTAGTGGTATGTTATCTAAGTTCAAAAAGATTCACCATTGTGGAAACTATTTTTGAAACAATAATAAATTATATCGTGATTTTTTTTGTGGAGGGGGGTTGATAGGGGGCAAGAGAATATTAACTAAAAAATAACTGCTAACTGATTTTCCAATATAGTCAATATCGTTCAATATTCGATACCGATTCATATCGTAATATCCTTAGTAATACTGTATAAAAAAATTAGATTTTTTTAACATCCCAATACCATAATTTATGGGTTAAATATCTTGTACAAAATACTTTTTCTCATTTATTAATATATTAAATCTTGTTTTCGGTTTCTAAAACGTTACTCATCGCTAGTAAAATATTTTTTCAGATCGATTTCAAAAATACCAAAACGATAAAAATAAATTTATATTTTATATTTTTTTTGTTTTTGTTTTTAAGGTTAAGAAAAGTATTGCCGTAATGCGGTACAATGTAACTTCAGATTTGTGGAGATTTACAACAGGCTCGTTGGTGCTTCATCAAGAAAATTTCACAGCAAATGTTACCGATCGATTGTTAACATTTGAAAAGGATCTAATATTTGCAATTAGACGAAGTGGTTGGGATGGTGAAGAAGACACCGAAATAAGACAATGGACATTTACTGGTGCTTTGTTTTATTCAATTATAGTCATAACTACCATTGGTAAGCTTATATTAAATCTATTAATACATTTTTAAGGCTTAAAAACATTTCAATTGAAATTTATAACTTTAATAAAATTGTACACAGATACTGTTTAATACTTGAATAGTTTATTTGAAATAATAATTAAAAACAATAAAACCAGAAAAATTAATATTTTTAGAGTTTTTAGATTAATTTTGTAAACTGTTATTAAATTTGATTAATTTAAATTAAAATAAAATTTGATTACCGAGAAAGTTCATTTATTTTGTTTACATATAAGTTTATTTGATTTAAATCTTTTCAAACAACAAATAATAAGTTTTTTTTCAGTAATTAATTCCCCGGGGTTATGTATATTTATACAAAAGTTTTGTGCTATATAAAGAGGAATGTTTATCTTCTATTATAAACTTAGATGTGAGTGCGAGGCAATTATAATAACTTAAATAAAAATAATTGTTAGTTGTTCAGCACTAAAATGATGTTGGGTTGTTATACTATGTATTAATTAAAATAATATATCTTTTGGAGTATGAGTATAAGGGTTATATAAGATGATGTAATGATAGATAAATATTTAGTATGAATATAGGTGATCAATTATCAATTATCAATTTAATATCAATATGATACAATATTAATTAAAGCACTGACTGTAATCTATGACAGGTTGCATGGAGACACCTTTAATATCTATTAGACACTGTTTGCTCAGAATATTATATTCACTATCTTGATTCCTTTGAATTTGTATGCAGTTATACCCTGAAAAAATCTCTAAAAAGAAAATTATGTTCTATAATTCTATTAAAAAGGTTATGTTTTCATGAATTCTTGTTGACAAAGAAAACTATAGTTGTATTTGTATTATAATAAAATTTAAAATTTTTCTTAGGGTTTTGTAGTTTCATAGAATAAAACTGGAAAATTCATTTATTATTTATTTATTACTTTTGTTATAATTAAATGTTATTTATATATGTTCTTTATATAAAGAACAGATTTTTCCACACTTTGATAGTTCGTGTTCTTTTCGTCTTTTCATGTTCTCTTTTTTCTGTTGCAATTGTTTTCCCGTTTGTCCATTGTATGGTTTTCCACATAAAAACGGTATTTCATAGACACCTGGTGTTAGCATTGTCGGTAATTCATCATTTTGAATATTCTTGCTAGTGACTTTTCGCTATTCGGAGAGTTTACGGTACTGACAATCGGTCTGAGCGGTACATCTTTGTTATGTATTATTGGTACTCCGTAAATTTTTTAATGGTTATCTTGGTACTGTTATTAATAGTTGTTTTCGGTTTTTTTTCTGTTATTGCTTTTTTTTTCGTTGCTGGTTTGTGTCGGTTCAAATGATTTCTTTATGTAGGGCTTCTCTTCCAGTAGTTTCTTCATCCTGTGTTGTAGTCCGTAGAGTTCATAATCACTGTGGCGTTACCTTTGTCAACTCTATTAAGAGTTAATATTATTAAGAGTTAGTATTAAGAGTTAACTCTATTAAGGATGCTGCTGTCATTTCGTAATTTTTTAAATGTGGTTACATCATCTTTGTTGTAATTTGATTTAGGTAAAGTTGGCTTTTCTTAGGATTTTACAACTCTCTTGCTAAATGATTCCTTTTTCCTGGGTTTCAAGCTTGCACAATGAGTTTTCAATGATGCTTATTATGTCTTCTTTTGGTATTTGTTTTTCGGGAACAGAAAAAAATTAAAACGTTTTTCCAAAATGCTCAACTAATGATCCGTCAGTTAAGTTGACAACTACGGTTTTCTTAGTGTTGTTGGCTGTTTTTTTTTTCAAACAATATTAATAATAAATAGAAATCCTTCGTAAACAATATCAACAACAACAAATAATCATATTGATGTTATCTGTTATCAACTGATATAAATATAACAAAAAACAAAGTTAACAGTTGACAAATAGTTATAGCCTCGGACCTGTAACTATCTCTCTGAAGATGATATTTGCAATTAGTTCGAAATGTTTGTACAAAACTGAAGATCTAATTAAGAAAATAACTGGTCGGTTACAACTTTTGGACCAGTATTTCGGAAGTTATCAACATTTTTATATCTTAGTGTGAGGAGAGGTGCATCTGAAAAATGTCTAATAATAAATATTGTGCCTTACCGTTAGTATATATTTTAAAATAGTAATAACTTCCAAAAAAATAAGCCAAAAGTTGCTATTGACCAGTTATATTCCTAATAAAAGCAAAATATTTTATTTTATAAATGGGTCGTTGTACAATTTTAAGTAAGTCTCAAAAAATGGTAGGACACCAAATCTCCGTAAACTCAAATTTCCAGTTCATCCATGCAGTCTCACCTTTAAATATAATAATGTTTGATGATCTTAATTTTAATGATTATTTTAAACACATTTTTTTTGTTCATTCATTTTGTCAAAAATAAAATAAGAAAAACAGTGTTTATAAATTGGTTGGTAGCTTACAATTTGTTTTGATTAAACTAAACATTCTATTTTAGTTAATAATATGGGCTGTATTTATACAATATAACTTTTACATTTCACATACGAATAAAACTTTATATACTAATAGCTATCATTTTTTACACTGTATTTTAATTTCAAACTACATATGATATATTATTACTAAAATATTCTTCTTAAATAAATAATGCAATAAATTATTGCAAATAATTATTTGTAGTTTTACATTTAAAAAACAAAAAAAGTTAAATAAATAAATAAGAAATACATAATATTTATGTTATAAAATATCTAAATTGAATGCGATTACTGTTCAAAATTACAAGATAATTATATCATATTAAAAAATGATAGTAATAATGAAAAGAATAGTAATACACATAGTGTATATTAATTTTATAGCGTAGTTTTATATATTAGACATACGATATTAACATATCCATACAGATACGCAGTGATATTAAATAATATTCTAGAAATATTTTACATAGTAATTAAAAATATTCTACAGAATTAATTTTCATGAAGCGTCTTAATTACTTGAAATAAATTAATGTCAAAATAATATTTTCTTTCAAAAATGTACTAGAAAACAATGAATACTTTTATTTCTAACACAAGATAGAAGCCTTATTAAAACTCCCGTGGAATTATAAATGGTTTACTTCCATAATCAAATGGTCTTTGGTTGATTGAGAGTTCTTCTGAAAAACCATTGTTGTTCAAAAATCCTTGTCGATTAATAAATTCCTATAAAAATAAAGAGCTTATAAGTAGCTATTGACATTTTATTAACTGTAATTTTTACATTAGAATCTTTTTTTTTTTAATGAAGACAAAAAATTACCCACTTTTTTTTAATCAATAAAGATTCTACAAAAACTCAAGGAAAAAATGTTTGTACACATTTTATTAACATTTTCTTGAATTATTTCCATAGAAATCAAACAAATATGGTTTAAATTATACATAAATATATATTCACTAATAATTAAGTGTAATTTCTTAGTTTAAATTGTATGTTAATAGCAGAAATATCCGAGTTAACCTGCTTAGATTTTACATATTTTTATATCATTACATTATTTATAAAATTCTAAAACTTTTATTATTTACAAAATATTGGCAATTCCAACCTTCAGTGAATTAAAAATCTCCGATTTGAACCCGATCCGTAGACTATTTTAAAATACTCAGTTGATCCTTATCATCCATAATTTAAAATATCATATGAGTCCAGATTATTACAAAGGTACATTTTAGCTTTTGGAACTTTTTTTAAAATAACAAAAAAATGTAATTTATTATAATTTCTTTTATAACTTCATTTTTGCATTTAAATTATATATTTTTTCTAAAATTGGAAAAAGTATTTTTGTTTGTTTCATTTTAATCTCATATTATATAATTAAAAGTAACAGTAACCTAGTAGTAAGCAAAAATTCTAAGTTCGTTAATTTTCAAAATTCTTTGGTATCTTTTAAAAATATTAATCTGGGTAGGTTAAAAAACTACAAAAATATTTTTTTTTTCTTAAAAATTTAAAAATTATATAGTTTTTAGATTATTAATAATCTTTTTAGAATTTATTTTAAGCTTCTTGTACTTAAACTATTTTTTTTTAATTTTATTTAATTTAGTTGGGATTAAAGTGAGGAAAAATAAGAATTTAGTTGTACGCTTTTCGGCGACATATTATTTCTTTCTAGCATAAGTTATTCTGAGACCATTCGTTTAAATAACATAACTAATGCATATATATTTTAAAATTAAAAATTAAATATTTTCATTTAACACTTTTAGGTTTAAAATTAAATCAAAGCCATTAATTTAAGAAGTATATATTTTTTAGCTTATAATAATAAAATAAATTGTAACCGACACATAAAAAAACAGCTAGATTATAACATTAATATGATTTAATTAAGAAAATTACAGTCGATTCAATTTTTTAAACCAGTACTTTTAAAGGTTTTTTTTGTAGGACTTTTATATTAATGCGTGAATAATAGTGCAATTCATTAATGCTTAGAGAGAAAAATAGACAGACCCACTTTTCAATGACAGTTTTTATAGTAAAGTTTTATTAACTTTCAAAATACTAGTTCAAAAGTTATTAACGACCGTTAAAAAATGTTATGGTGGAGAATGAGAGATCAATATATTTTTTTAATTGCAGAACGTGGGATATAATTAAATTTTGAAAAGGTATAATTATTTTAAGCTTTAATTTTTTTTAAGATATTGCATGATTCATAGTTAAACCATTATTCTGTAATTTATTTATTAATTATTATAATTGTTTAAAATATAATTATTATCGTTTAGTAAGCTTATAAAATGTAAATCATATCATTATATATATTTATGTTATTTCATCAGTTAAATATGTTAAAATGATGTTTTTAGTAAAACTAGTCTATGGTGTTCGGACAAAAGGGAAATAAGTGTATAATTGAAAACTGGAAAAATGAAATTGAAACTCACATAATACACAATTTTTTGTTTTAAAATATTATTTTGTATATATTTTTACGTGTGAAAAATGGGATTTAATGTAACTTAAATATAAACTATAAGTTTCAATTTAATTTTCCCAAAAGTCGCTATTTTACACTCATCCTCTATTACACCCAAACGCCACAGAAATATAAGACTAATGCGGATTAATTTGCGTATTCCATGCACTTACATTTATTTTTATTTCTTACATTGTTGTTGGGCACCTGACCGTAAATACCTGGCCTTAAGCCAGGCCTGTTAGCTCCTGGACCTACTAACACTGATGGTACTGGTTCGCTACGATCTCCTCCTACGTCTTTGATAGCCGCATTGAAATCGTCAAAATCATTGTAACAGCAGTATTGTTTTCCTTGGTCACAACTTCCCTATAAAATCGTGCTATTGATATTTATTGCGTTTTATTATTTAATGATCAACAAGTGTAAATAAAGTGATTAAGTAATAATAAAAATTGTAATTATTGTGATTAGAAATTATTGTTCAAGTGTCTAAATCGAAAAATGCATTTTTATTGACTATTTCTAATTAAATATGAATATATATTTTACCGCAAGAGCCATTTTACAATAAAATTAATTATTTCACAATAAAAATTTAAAACTGTAATGTTTTAAGTAAACTTGTTCAAATTAGCGCAAACGATTTATAATATTATTTTAAACATAATTTATGTTTGTTGGAAAAGTTAGACAAAAAGTTTTCTGACGCATAAAACCGTATAATCGTTTAAATTATGTTTTACATTATAGAAGACAAAAGTAAAAATAAGCAGAAGTATTACAACTGACTTAAATGTATTTCGTTGAATATATTATTTTAATTGACCATTTTATACTTACAAACTTTATACCTGGTGATTTACAATTAAATGAAAACGAACATTTGCATTTTTCGAAGTTAGTCGGGTCTCCATTTCTGTGTGGCACTGGTCCTTGCCACGATGGTACAGGACCAGTGAGTATCCCAACGGTAGCTCCTTGTGGCTCACTTGCTCCAGCTATCGGTCGTCTAAGAGGTATGTTAGCTAGTTCTAAAGGTCTTTGAGGTTTTAGTGCTGGAGTTGGTTGGTAAATGGGTCCTGCTCCACTTAATGGTCGGACTGGTCGATTAGCAAATGCTTCCGATACGTGGTTGGCAGGTTGCGGTATTAAAGGTTCTCTATCAGGCAAAAAGTCTTCATTAACTTCATACCTCGGCCCTCTTAATGGCTCATCTCTGTAAAAAAAAATTTTAGTGATTTTAATAAAATAATTTTGTTAATTTTTTGTTACATGTAAACTTAATAATTTCACTTATTAATAAATAAATGAATAAAGATTGATATTAATTAAAATGTTAAAAATAATTTAATAGGTTTTTCATAATAACTTTGTGAATATAGCGTTTAATTATATTTGCATTTATAAAATCTAATACTTCCTTACCTGTAACGCTTATTTTCGAGACGTGGATTGTTTGCTGGTTGGAAAAGTAAATTTGGTCTACGACCGTTTGGATCGCGTAAAATAGGCCTGGCCACATAAGAAACGTCACCGGATGGTACTGTACCAATTCTTGAGTCTGCCCGCGATTGATCATTCGATCTACCCCACACCCATTTGTCATCGTCACTAACCGTTACGCCAATCATTAATAAAATTAAAAGTGTTAAAATTAATGGTGAATTCGTTTCTGTAACAAAATTTATTACCATTGTTTATTTTACCATTATATTTGACATTATAAAGCAACCTAAAATTGCGATATTTTTAGGTGAATCTTTTCAAACTAGTAAAGATAACGGGTAAAAATATCAATTTACACATTAATACTATGATTACAACAAAAAATTTCGTGGGTGGCAATTTGGTATAAAATTTGAACGGAGGACTAAAAAAAAAATGTAAATTTTGTGTCAAAATTTATTCTTCATTTCACTTCATAAAGTAACTTAAATCAGCAAAAAAATTGTTCTTAAATTTGATTAAAAATCTTGACTAGATTATATAAATAAAGGCTGCAACCTTTAATTAAAATGACAAATTTCATGAATTTGTAAAATGCTACTCTTAATGAACCCATTTCAAATTACATATTTAAAAAATCCTAGCTTTTCTTCATAGATTCGACTCTAAATGAAAAGTTTATTCAATTAAATTCCTTGATATTTATGATGAATTTTTGTTAAATCTACATATTATCATGTATTACTCAATGTTTTATCCGACCTACAGGAAGAGGTTACGGTACACTGCTTTTATTACTTTTATGATTACAACATTTTCTTTAATTATTTATGCATACAACCTACTTTTTCACGAAGATACCTTTTTTTAATAAATTTAATTACATAGGATTATTATTATAGGATAAGGTGGAATCATAAAATATCAATATGAATAATGTTAATGGTTAATGGTTAAAAAAAACAAAATTTCGAGAACATAAATACCATTAATATTTGATAAATAACTATGTTCAACTCTAATTGTTCCAATTTGTACGTTTTTTAAATCATGCAACGAATACGTTGCATGATTTGAGCAACGTTCAAAACTGATGTTTATTTAATAAGACATTATAAAAAAAATAAAAAGATATTCAAATTAAGCATTTCATGCATAATATTTTTTGTCGAGCAAAATTAATGATTCAATGCAAAAATGGAATATTATCTCTGATGTTCTAAAATAAGTTCTATGACATGTTTTTGCTTGTGATATAATATGAGTCTGAAGGAACTAATGGCCTCATTTTTAAAGTAGTGGCAAAAAAATCATTGTTATTTTTTTTATTTAAGTTTTTAACTATCGTAATGACACTCCAACACAGATTACGCCTGTTAATATGTATTTCTGTATTGGATTTATAGAAATGAATGTGTTCCATTTGAAACGATTTACATTTACTTGTACTTATGATCAATGTCATAAATGATATTATTTCTTGTCTTGTTATAAAGTACGGTAAAATTTTCTTTAAAATTAATTTAAAATATAGATATGTATGTCAATATGAAATTTTATGCAAATTTATATTTTTACAAAAGATACGTCAATTATAACTTTTGATGATTAATTTTGGCATATTATGGAAGACATTTACCAGTCAAACTTGCCAAAATGTCTAAGAAGTCTCAAACAAATGACGTGCTTGATGTATTGCAAAATTTCAAAGTCATAAATTAAGCAAGGCCAAATATAAATTACTTGCTTGTGATTCAGAACGTTATCGGTAATTAAATCTCTTTCAATTTACTATAGTTGCTGATGAAAAATTTATTATTACGAGCGGTAATATATTCAACAACACATTCACACAATACATATGTATGCATAATAACACATATGTATAATAAAAAGTTTATTAAGTGAATAAATGCTGCGATTTTAGGTAAAAACAGTATTATGATGTAACTGATGAAAGGATTGATTAATTGAGTCTGATTGTTAATCAAGTTTTGTTAAAAAGAAGTTGTTGGAATTTCGAAAAATACCCAGTTGTTCAATTAGTTAAGAATAACAAAATTTTTCTTAGTTTACAATTATACTCATTTAGCTATCCTATAAAAAATTAAAACTTATTTAAAAGCAGATTTGAAGATGTATTTTAAATTAAATTAGACAATATTAAATTTACTAAACACCTTATTCTATTTGTGTACACGGTGATCAATTAATCATAACACACTAATTATATTGGAAACTATTGAACATTATAAATTTTTGAAAGGAAAAAATTGTTTGATTCAAAAAACTACCTTAATAAGAAGTTAAATAATTTTATTTTTAATAATCAAAGGTTAAAAATCTAAACTTTAAATTTTTTTTAATAATACGATAGAAAAAAAATCGTGTTAACAATTTTATTCTTGCTTCTGGTATTAAGAAAACCAAATTATAGATGAAATTTTACTTTAAATTAAAATCTCTAAACAATTTTAAAGCATAATTGGTTGATTGGATAAAACAAATTGTTAAGAATAAATTTGTTTGTAATTTTAAAGACTACACTAAAAATAAATTTCATTGAATATTTTTGATACTTCAAGAAAAGACTTTAAACAAATTTTTTTACGATCTGTGAGTGTTCCAAATTAAATCTCTGGTGCTGACGTTGAACGAAAAATGTCCGTTAAGATCAGCATTTTATTTGAAAGTCGTAATAAAAGAAATCGTTGATTTTAAAGCAATTACGAAGTTAAGTAATGCAACAATCTTTATCCAAGAGGGAAATTAATTATTTATTGCTAGTAAGATATATTATGAAGAATTATTAGGTGATTGAAAGCATTTTAGAATATTTACTGTATAGATTGTGTAAAGCATCTAAGATTTAAAAAGTTTTAAAATCACTGTTAAAACTGAATAGTGTTTAAATACTTTCTTATTAATCAAATCATAGTAATCCATTATTAAAGCGCTATTGTTATGCGTAACTGAAATTTATTTCCGTTGTAAAAATATATATATATATAGAAATACATGATGCCATTGTTATAATGATAGTAACTGGATGGATTTTTCACATTATCCTTGACACCGAATTACCACAAAACGTCTGTCGTACAGTAAGTCATTGATCATTACAACTACACAATATTTGCTATGTTATAGCCATCGTTAATAATCCTACGTGTCCGTTCATTTTACTGTAGAAAAAGCGATCTAGTAAATCTTTGAATGTCTTCCCACGCATCCAAAAATCAAATTCGGTTTAAAGTGCAATCGAGGTCAAGTCACCCGCGACCTTGTCGGACAGACGAATTATAGTGTCCTCGTCAACAGTAGTTTACTTGTTGATAGTTGAATTACATAATTTATTTATGTTCGTGATTTGTTACTAGAGTAACAAATTTAACTAATTTAGTATCCTACTAAATTAGGATTATCCAAAAAAATACCGTCAGCAGCACATTGTTGTAATAATAATCAATAGTTTTCAAATGACAAAAGAGTAGTGATCATTAATTATTTGTCAACGAATTATTTATCTTATGTTGTATTAAGTCAAATTATACAACTTAAATGTAAAGCAAATAAATTTAGGGGAATCTAGAAAAACTCGAATAGTCCTAGACATGTTTACAGTTTTATTCGTTTCTCCAAAACTTTGAATTTTGAAACTTTGTCTTTCTGAAACTTCTGATATACTCGTCAATGAATCCAATATATTCGGTCACCATAAGGTTTAAACATTAAGTTGATTGTTACTTCACTCATTTTTACATAAAAATTATACTTTTTTAAATACGAGCAAAATAGGAAATTTTATAAAAAAACATTTTCTAATAAAAATTATTCTTTTTTATGCAAGTTTATGTAAAGGCTGTGAGTAAATACTACAAAATTTATGTGTAATCATATTTCTATTAACTGTGCTTTTTCTTCTTTTACAAAAATTAGTTTTAACTAATTTATCTAAACTGCTAATAATTATTACCAGTTTAAATATTTGAGAATGATTAATATTTTTAATATTTAGATAATAGAATTGAAAAATGTCATTTGCTGAAACTTAAAGGAGAGTAGAGATAGTTATAATTTCTATATTTTTATTTTTATACATATTTGCTCAATAGTTGCATAACATTTTTATTAATTAATTTTAATTTAAAAGGTTTAAGTTATTATAAAAGTATAAATAATTTACAAGTTTTTATACTATTCATATTATAAAATATTATAGTTAAAACAATCATTTGTATTAATATATATATATAATAAATATTAAAATTTAAATATTATTTTATCTGATTTTTAATTTTTAAATATTTATGAAAAATCCATCTGTAGCTGCTTTGATATATTTTTAAACATTGCACTTTTTTTTTTTTGCCGTTTCAATGAAATAAATTATATTATTAATAATATAGTAATATATACCAAATTATATAACTTTTTATAACTAAAATTAGTTATTTTATTCAAATAAAAAAATAAACCTTTATTCTTGTAATGAAATTTGTGATTAGAAATTAATTTTATATTGTAATCGTTTGAGGAATAAAAGATATATTATTTTTTTAGATAATTGAGTATTAAAAACCTTTTTTCATTGTTAGCTATATAAAAAATGTTTATTTTCTTCCCTCTGAACAATTTTGAAAAATGGAATTACGCAGTTTTGCTATGAAGACGACAATATATTATTAATATATAAATATAAAAATATCTGAGTCAAACCGTTTAAATTTAATTAATGAAATGATATATCAAGTTTTTATTTTATATAATATTCGTATTATTTTGTGTCATATCAATTGTATTATACAGCAATTCTGAGCAATGCTCACGGTAGAGAGGATTAATATTGAAAATATATGATATTTTTTGTATTAGAATAATTCCCTTATCAGTTGATCGTATTAAGTTTAAATGTTAAATGTGACAATTCAAAATGTCAAAGGTAATATAGATAAAATAAGCGATCCTCGATGTTCTAACATATCATAACTATCATTTGACTTAAAAAAATAAGTTATAAAAACATCATGATGTCTAAAATAGTAGAAAATTATGGAAATTGAAAATTAAATTGACCCATAAGATCAGGACACCCTGTAGTATTATTATAATAGATATATTATAATCATAATATTATGTAATAAAAAATACACAAATATAACATCATAAAACTGACATCTTAATAAGAGATAAACAAAATTTACCTAATTTTGATTTTTAATTTCAATAAAATTAAATTAATTAGTAAACCTTTCTCAACTGTATTGATTTAAAACTTGTAACGCATTTAAAAAACTTAAAAAAAAGGAAAGATAAATTTATACGTTACTTACTAGTCTTCATACTTATTTTCATAATTTCACTGATGTTTTTACTAATAATTGTGAACACTATATTCGAGTGGTATCCGAAAGAAAAAAGACTGAAGAAACAATATGAGTTCGAACAGTTCGACTTATACAAAATTAGTGAAGCGAGTTCAAACGCGCATATTATTGTTTTTATGGAAAAAGAGAGCGTTAAATCACTTTGAGACTTTGGTGAGAAGGGGACGACAACGATAGTGAAAATTTTATGTGGGTTTACTGAAGATTGTATTGTAGTAACACATGTATAAAATTTGTTTTTAATTGGAAGATTCAAAGGTAAACTTAAAGAGAACTACCTAATCGACCTCGAATGACGTCTAAGACGTGTGCAAGAAAAGTGTTGAGTTGCTTGATATGCACTCATGTATTTTTGGAGGTTAAACGAGGGCGCTTATTACAAGGGCATATAAAACATAATTTGTAACAGCAAAACTTTTTTTCGTTCAATTTATTATTAAACATTGGAAAATCCTACATACGGTTATGTATAATTTTCAAATGGGATTATTAATTAAGCGCTAAGGAACTATTATGCATAAATAGTCATTACTCGCAAATTATATCTAAGACATAGAAAGATTAGAGGTCGTCCATGAAAATAAAAAGTTATAATTATTATACAATTATCAGGGCTAAGAAGTGAAATAATTTTGGTTTTGAACAATTTGTCTCATTCCTAGTAAATTAGTTTTATATAAAATTTTTTTTTTTACTATTCGTTGAAAAAATTATTACAGAAACCAAAAATATTTTGATGTTACCTTTGAAACCTTAGCTGAACTTAAAATTTAAACTTTATAAAGCCAAATTTTAGGTTTGGTTAAGGTTTTAAAAGTGATTTAAAATTACTATCAGTTTTTACAACTATTAACCTTACAAATTCTTGAAAAAATTTCGATATAGTTCAACTAACTTATTAGATATTGTATACATATTTCCTGTATTTTAAAGCAATACAGAGTGATCCGTTTAATTACTTAAATCAACAATTTTGTTTTCTTTTAGTTAAATATATTTTTTTATTATTTTTTAGCATTATCAGCTAAAAAGTAGTACTTCTAGACCAGTACTTTAGAAATCATAACGATTATAAAATGTACAATAAATATAAAACGGCCTTATCTTCAAATAAATTACTTTAAAATTTCAACATTGAAGTAAACGAAATTTTATTTAAAATGATATTAATCACAGCTTAAGGAATCCGATTATTGGACGATAAATAGAAGAATCCATTATAAAGTTTGCGGAAGTTCAATAGTATTTACATACTATTAAAAAAAAATTATTTTTAAGAAACGGTTAAAGGTTTATTACATCCTTTCATTATTTTGGATATTTCTAGTTTTATTTTTAAGTATAGTTGAACTCATTTCATTGAGATAGCGTAATATAGTAACATTGATACTTTTGATGTTTTAAATAAACACAGTCCATGAAATATGAATTCTTTGAACCCTATATCCTGGAACTGCGGTTTAACTCATTAAAACAATAAATATGTTTCCATTTTCATTTATTGATACAAATCATAAAATGAAATTCCACCAATCTAATTTTATTTTTAGGGCAACTAAAAGCAATTTAGTATTTTGATTGTGTTACAAATTTTCTCGGTCTATTTATTAATTAGTTATTTTTCAAGTAAATAAAATAAATTTTGTACAATATAAATAATTTATAGTATATAGTGTAATCCGTTAATCATAACCCATTCATTACCTCTCAAAATAATTATAACATTGATAAAAATGTGTTGGAATTTTTAATTATAAATTTTTTTTTTTTATTTGTCAGTTATTAATTAATTTTTGGCAACATCCCTTCTATACTATAGGAGCGTCAATTTTAATTTTTTTTAAGGCAACATGCATAATTAACTAACTAAAAAAATTAGTGATTGACAACAACTTTTGGACCAATTCGAACGTTATTAATAATTTTATGACTTAGCGGATGAAGGGTTTAACTTTTGAAGTACTGTCCTAAAAGTTATTATCAGTTAATTATTTTTTTTAATTAGATTATTTACTATTTATATGCTGGTTAAACATGTATGTTTTTTAAATATTGTTTTTATTTTGTAAATAGATGAATGACTAAACTGATCACTCTGTAAATAATCATTAATATAACTTCCCAGAGGGATTTTATTATTTATTTTTATATCAAAGACGGTTTATATAATTATATAGGTCTAATTCTCAATAAATAAGTAATATATAAGACAAAAAAAATATGGCGTTTGACATGAATAACAAATATCAAATATAAGTAAAGAGGTATATTTATTTTTTTATTACCAAGCACGCCTTGAAATTAATTTAGGAATATGTTAGTGTATTCTAAAAGATCAAAAAAAATTGATTTTTTGAAAAATACACTAATTTAATAAATAATATCAATGTAATTATTAAATAGTATTCATAGTGGTGAATTCTATCCCGAAGGTCTAGATAGATAAGTTTTCTGCATGTCCGTTTTAATACCTTCAAGATATTTTATTTTTACATTGCTTGAATCTTTAACTGTTTTTATGTGTTACGCGTGGCCCAAGTATAACATTTACAGAAAGTTCAAATGGCGATAATCATTGCCGAACATATCAATCGGGATTAACCCAATTATGCCTGAGTGTTGGTATTTTAAACACTATTAAAACTATTCGGTATGTATTTAATTTAGAAACAATAATACAGTATTTCATTTTTTATCTATGAATTTTAAAACTCCAAAAATTGTTCTAATTTAATAAATCTTTATAAAATAAATATTTGTTTTCATAGAAATCGTTGAGATACGATTTTTCAAAATTATATTTCAAAACTGATTTCATTAAGTTATAAGTATTTGAAAACTTGAATTTTTATTATCTTATTTTATTAAACTTGTTGGCGTTTACACATTTCCAAGGAAACTGTTGTTTCTATACACGCATACATGAGTTTCCGGTTAAATACATTTAATGTAAATATGAATTATGTAATTATGTTCTATCTCTAAATATAGAAAATAGATATCATAAGAAAAACAAAAATAAAATATGAAATGGAAAATCAAGAAGATGTATGTATTATATGAAAAAAGCACTACATTTATGTAACATTTGTTTAGTATTGTTATACAAAATAATAAAAACTTCCTTGGTTCGCGAGGTCATAAGATCGGTCTATTTGTAAATGTAACTATATTAAACATAATATAGCTGCTTGGGCGACCAATAATCGACAGTTTTCCAATATGGAGTTTATTAAGAGAAGGTTTTATTTTCATTATACGCGTATGCGTATAATAAATGCAATGTGTAAACATTGCCTACATTTAAAATTTTTACATTATCTATATTTGTCTTGCACGCATAACGTTGAAAAATTTTATGGCAAGAGAATGAAATTTCAAGGTTCATTGTACCTACTGTAGGATAAGGAAGAGGCGGTAAAGTAGTCGATAAAAAAAACATTTTTAGTATATAGATTTGTAAATAAAAAATTGGAATTAATTTGGAAAAGCGTGCATTTCTTGGAGAGTATCGTTTTCTCTGTTAATGTTACCAGTGAACCATTTTTTTATTGAGTCTAATTTCGTTACGTTGCCATGATAAGTAGTTATCATGGCATACGGTTTTAATTATCCAACATACTAAAAATAATATATGGTCGATTACATAATATTTCCCGATTGAAAACAATGGTACAAATCGAATAGTATCTAATCGAAAATTTATGAATATTTTACAAAAATATGTACAGCAAATATTCACTGAAAATACATATCCCTTGAATTGTAATTCATTTAGTAAAAAAAAAGTCACAATGAGAAGGTTACCAAAAAACTATTTTAGTATACGATTCCTCGTTTAAAAAATACTATGTACTCTACTGATAGGTAATATCAATCTATATATTTTATCGTTTACAATTTTTAATGTATCACATGTAGTTATAATTCATATTTAAAAACAGAAAATAATTGATTCATGAAATTTTATAAATATCATGGATATGTAGAAGATATTCTTTAGTTTTAATTTACACAAATAATTTTATTTTTTAAATAATATCACTTACGAGTGATTAATAATTTTTATTATCATTTAAAATTATAAACCTTTAAATACATTTGTTTTTATATATAGGCGAATATATTATTAGGATAGTAACATTTAATTAAAATTTCAGGTTATGGCAATATTGCTCCCAAAACACTGAATGGTAAGATAGTAACCATATTTTATGCCATTGTCGGTATACCTTTAATGCTGTTGTGTTTATCCAATATCGGTGACATAATGGCTCACTCCTTTCGATTTCTTTACTGGAAAGTATGTTGTTACACGTGCACCAGACGTCAAAAGCGCGTGCAGTCTTTAAGAAGATCACGTAGCCAGAGGTCGACAACAAGATCTCACGGGTATGTTTTTTATTTTTCGGTTCAAAATTATTAGCTAATGTAAGTTAATTTTAATTATTTTCTTCCGGTACTGGCATTCTCCATTTTATTCCCTCTGGACTGTAGAACATAAACTACCCCAATTTGATTATTTTAGAGAATATCCCTTGTGTATTTATTTATTTTTAACAAACAATTTTTTGACATGACAAAACTTTTTACATCTTCATGAATACTTAACTAAAACAGTTCATTAAAAAGAATAACATCTAGTAGCCGCACAAGATTTATTCCAATGGACGAACTTTTCTACGTCTTTGTAATAAATGGTTAATTTTTAATTCAAATAATAATAAAAAAAATTATTTATCGTTTTTATTTTCCATTATAAAATTATAATTATACATAAAATATGTGTAGCATTAAACAAAATTTTATTTTTAAAAGAATTTGAATAGTAAGCCAGCAATACTGAACAATAATAGCAGTCGTGTAATTTAGTAGGCAAAATAAATGGTGCACGGGAATGTGGATAGGGAAAACCATTTTGTATTCTTAGAGTATATCAAACCTTTTCGTGTAAAATTCTTAAATATGTTTAATAGATTGCATAAAGTATTATAAAAATGATTTTCTTTTAATTGTTAATTATATATCTATCTCAAGTAACAGATATTCTTATACTTTGAAATAAATTTATATCGATGGCGCCGAACGATGTCACAACTAGTTTATAAGTAAATAACGAGAAAACACCAATCAAAAGCGTAACCTGTCTATCTCTGTTTTAAAAAAAATAAAATTTTATTAATTTTATAATTTAAAGAAATAATATTAATTATTAAAAAGTAGAAAGGTAACAAAATAAAGATTAAACATTTGTGACCAAAGTAAACAATTAGTTATAATTACCTAGAAGCAATATAATATAATTGCTTATAATATTAACTATTACTACTCGGATTTTATTATTATTACGCCAATTATAATTGTGGTCGATAGAATTAAAATTTATTTCTCTATTAACCGTCATACATTTTTATATAAAAAAACATTTACATATTGTTATTTTTTTTTGCCATTTAATATTAATAACGTTTTTGTTTATTTTTAACTGTATAAACGCGTTATATTTTTGTTTCATAAAAAACGTATTTTTTATTTATTCACACATTTTAACCTGCGTTTACGGTAACTGTTTTAGCACCTTTCTGTTTTAACGCGGTTATTGAAGAGATTACGGTAATGTAAAAACTGAACCATAAATGAATGGATATTTATTAGGAAAAAAGTCAACTTTTTTATTTGAAACTCATATTAGTTGCCAAAATAGCATTGTAGATAAGTAGAATAATTTTGAGAAAACATTATTGTTTAGCATGTTTAAAGCTTTTTCAATTTAAAATCAATCTTACCATTATATAGGATAATAATAATAAAAAAAATTGTCCTTTGCAATATTAGATAAATCCCATAAAGAATTTTTCTTCCAATTTCAAATTAGATTTCAGTTTTTTTCTAATTTATTCGAAGGAAGGTCATTTAAAAAAAAATATTACCCCTTATAATACTTCCATGACTAAATATTATCTATAAAATGTTTGATGGGGGGGGTTCATATTCCATGTCCCTCTTTAATACCTGTCTCTCTCATAGTTATTTTTCGAAAATATTTTAACAATCTTTGTACATTTTTAGGTAAAATTGCTTTTGACTTTTTAGCTCAAATGGCTTAAATGAGTAATGTCCTATCTCCCTCTCGATACAGATACAGATGCAGTTAACTGATTTCTGTTTCCTTGCATACTACTTTTCCATGTGTATTAGTGATATTTTATTTTTTTTCATTCGTTTACCATTTGACATCATATTAAAATCTACATTAATTAATATTTCTTATTCAGATCTCGTGCTACGTCTTTAAGAAGAACTGGACGAATATCACAAAGATCAGCCGATAGTGCAATTGGATTGTCAGATTGTTCAAAATTTACAAGATCATCTCATTCAGACACAGAATGCAGGTATTACACAGTAAAGAAACCCTATTATTACATCATAAAATTTAAAAATCTAATTAGACATATATATAGTTTTTTTATTAAATTTAAACACCAAAGTGAATAATTGAAGTCTTGAAAAAATGGTTCTTAAAAAATAATTGACTAACTGTAGTTTATTTTAGTTTTTAAACCAATCAAAGTTTACTCGTGTTCACTTGCCAAACGACAAAATAATAGCTTGATTAATACTATGCACTTATTCATTAATGAAATATTTTAATCTAATAAATAAATAACTCTTATAAGAAATTTTTGAATTTTTAGTATGTTAAGTATTAAGGAAACTGACTGGTCCGTTTTATATACGTGTGTTTTTTCTAAGGTACTTTGATAAAATGGAACGAGAAATGTATAGAGGCGTTTCACCAAGTAGACAACGACCAAATCGTTATTTGCCACCTTCCAGATATTGTGATACAGTACCATTACGAAGACATTCTCCTGCCATAAAGCCGAGATCTATAAGTCAAAATAGTGGACATAGAAGTTCATATAACTATAGTCGATATAGAACACCAAGTATGCCTTCATTAATTAATTTACTATTAAATTATTTAATTAATTGATTCAAACTTACTTTATGTCAAAAAGTTGATAATATGGGTTGAAATTTAGAATTAAGCAAGTTAATTAAACTTAAAGGTATTTTATTTTTGAAAATATAATAAATGTTTCATAATTTATGTTTAAATTATATAGTCCATTAAAAATTCTATATATGCTCTTGTAATAATATATCTGTTTCAAAATAAGATTACATTAAAATTTAGTCAATTTCATTGTAAATTTTTTAAGCAGCACAATTTTTAAAAAAAATAATAGCGTGGATAGCGTATAATCTTGATGGCTGCAAAAATCTTTTTTTATTCACTGCTTTCCAAATTGAGGTAAATTAAAACAAAAAAACTTATTTTCATGCAAAATAGCATCCATAAAAATACTCACAGAACGAGCTCTTTTGTACGGACTTGTTTGTTCTTATTATTTTTGCCCGAGATTTTCAGTACAAATTTTATAAAATAATATAATGCCAATCGTTTGATTTTTCAACAAATTAATTAATTCTGACCAAAAAAATATTAAAAATCGATTTTTAATCGTAAAATTATCGCAAATAAAAATAATTATAGATATCAATTTTCAATTTAATTTTTGTATTTTATTTACCTGGATTATTTTTATTAATATATCTTACGTTGAAATTCTATATTATAATGTATTTTAATACTTTCAATTTATTCAGAACAGCATTTGAATGAGAGTTGCCAGTTGTCGGCCTTCTGACTATGCCACTACAATAGTAATAAAGCTGAAATGTTGTTGCCAAAATTTTAAGATTTAAAAATAATTGCTTTGATATATAAAAAAGAACCGATAAAATCTTAAATTGTATTTAGCTAATTTTGAGCGGTTATCATTTTGCTAACTTATATCTTCCTTACCTTAGAGTTAGCACAAACTAAACATATGACAGATACTAGTAATCCATTACAATTTATAAATGCTTTCCTACTTGAAAAAAATTCTGGCTACTTCACTAGGTGTTATCCTCTATTTCCAGGACAACTTTTTTGTTAAATCAATTATTAAATAATTGTTAGGGGTTGTAAAATAATCTTTAATTTGTCAAGAAAACACTTACCGAATACTAACATAATGCAAAAATGGTTTAATTATAGCATTAGTTTTAAAATTAAAAATTTGCTTTCACTTTTCTCATCCCATGTTATTCTTCAAATACTGTTTAACTTATTTTTCTCATTATAATTTTGAATGAAAAATTTTTCTTATTTGAATTAAAAAATATTATTGTTTATGAAAATTATTGTTCGACTATTAGATAACGATTCTCATGTATTAAATTTTATTAGAAATTACAATATAAATTTTAATGATCAATATTTAGCGACTTTTATTATTTTTCCAATGTTACCATTTATTATAACTAAACATTTTAAACAAAGTTTTAAACTATTATAGACTATTATTATATCATTGGGTAATTTTAATTCAGTTTGAAATATTTCAGGTCATAAAAACCTAATCTATTTTTATTTTTATTAAAATGAACTAAATTCGTATTAAGATTATTTACTTCTAACGCAATCTAATGCTTCAAAGTAGTTCAATTATTTTAGTACTATTGAAAAGGGAAAAATATACAGGAATAGCACATTAACTTACAATTGCTTAGTCAAGAAAATAAAAAGATCTTTATTGCCGATGTGTAGTACTATAAAAAAGGTTATTTATAGCAGGCAATATTAAGGATTTACTGATCAGGAAGATACAAAAATACAAATATTTTATTCGGCATTCATTATACCAGAAAAATATTATTATTTTTATAAATAATTACATCAGGAATTGAGTACCTAGATTCTATCACTTTATTTATCTAGATAGTGAAAATGAGATTAAGAGTGTTTTTTAGGATTTAAGTGTACTTATATTATAAAAAATAAAAATAATCATAATTTATTCTATTAAAAAAAAGGTGGACAAATTTTAATTCTATAATATATAAATGACTTTAAATATTATTTAGTAGACCTTAATTATTCTGACGGCGATCAATTTAATGGACCAGAAATGAAATCAGTTGTACCTGCCATCTTATTTAATAAATATGCTCTAGATAGAGATGAATCTCTAAGAAGTAAGTAATGAATATTTTTATTAAGGTTACATTTTTAAGATAATGAGATAAAAAGATATTTGAATCATTTTCTTTGTTCACTTAAAACAAAGTAGTGTAGACTATGTTGAATGAATCACTGAATATATAAGATTTTATTTATACGTTACCTCGTTATATTAATATATTATAAAAATAGTTTGAACTTATAAAAAAAGAGTAAATTAAATACCATCATATTTATTCAATTAATTTTTTTTAATCATTTGTTAGTCAAATTATAATGTCGATCGAAAAAAATTCTTTTTTTTAACCGTCTTCATTGTATTTTCATGTTTATGTAGAACTTATATAATATTATAACATCAATATAATATTTTTTAATTCGGATTGATATAATTAATGAAGTTTCTGTGATGCGATATTCATAACTTGGGAAAATATTTTCTGTTTTATTTAATCTTATTAAATGAAAGTGTAGCTAAATATTATATGGTTAAAACTTAAAATATATATTTTTTAATAGAGTAACTTGTACCAAATCATTTAAAATCAATATTATAACATAATACTTTTGTGATTTTTTAACTTTTATTTGATTTGAAAAAAATCTCAATAACTTATTTACCTGTTACAAATGTAATTAATTTGTAATTTGATTTTTAAAACCTATTGTTTTCTATCTATTTTAGTGGGTAAGGCATTATTATAGATTTTAATTTTTTGACACATACTAGTTTTGGAATTAAGGTCCCCAATTTTTGAAGTTTTAAAAGAAATTTATTCAGTGAATGTTTGAATACATTTCTTTAAAACTTTAAAGATTTGACTTAATTGAAATTCAGCTATTGTAAGTTATGTATTGAAATTTCAGTTAATGCCAAACAGGGTGAAGAAATCAGAAGAAATATTCGTGGTCATTCAGCGGCTCCTAATTTAGCTAGAGAGACGCCTACGAATACACTACGAGTTAATAGAAGTAAAACACCACAGCACTTAGCAGTTGAAGTTTCGCCGATAGATGATCAGGATTATAATCAGAAACCTAAATACCGCCAACGACATCGAAACTCTAATCAGAGTAAGTTTAAACCAAAAGTTTTATTATTTAATGAAATCCAAAAAAAGAGGAAAGAGAAAATATACTAATAAGATCCCAAAAATAAACTTTCAAGAATGTTCCTTAAATCGAATAATTTCCAAATAACCATTTGACTAGTCTTTATTATTTCCCGACTATTAGTTTTAAACAGATTAAGCGGTTTAATGGTGTTAGTTTTGGGTATACGTATTTTGTTCCGGTTGATAAAGAGAGATTTGCATTTTCACAAGCTTATAAAATATGAAGAAATCCAAATGACTTAGTACGATCTTATTAAACTTATATAGACCTATGGTTATAACATTGATTAATTAAATATTGTCCTAGGTTTTAAATTGGTATTTATTTTTTAATTAATTATAAAATGCTCGAATAAAATATTAAAATATGTTATTTTAATGAATTATTATGTTATTATTAATTGACATTCCTGAATTTTCTGAGAAAGTCTTATCATTATCCAATATACTGAAGGGGTTTAAAAATTACATTAAAAAAATGTCTTTTTCAATATTTGATAATTTTCTAAAAGCCAATCATTTTCATTAAATGAATGCTAATGAATACAATGTATTTAAGATGAAAAACCATCCGAAAATCTTATCATATAAATTATTAATAATTAATGACAAAAATCATGACGGTAAAAATGGCTGATTTTGAAGTGTTTTACATAGCAAAAAAATATCTATATTATTCAAAACTATAACAAATTGTGGCTTATATAAGTTTCAAAAACTTGTTTTCAATTAGTTATCATCCTCTATAGTTTATTATGATGTAATTTTTCGTGGATGTGATACATTTTATTTCAATTTATTACAAATATGCGTTTGGGTTGGGTTTTTAGTTGCTGTCGGATATTAACAGTATTTAGAAAATTCCTTTTACAAATTTAAGTATACCATCTCCTATCCCGGAATTTAAAAAAACAGAATGCATTTACATTCATCGAAAATGTGAAATGCATATTCCAAAAAATTATTTTTTATTAAAAATTGGTTTTACAAATCTTATATTTTTTATGTTAATTCTAAAAGGTTGAGTTAAGTTAAAATCTTCAAACGCTTTGAAGTTTATATTAAGTTTGGGTGAGATTTTTTTTCATGTAATTATATTACTTATGGAGTTATTAAAGTGAGTAGTAACAATCTATAATCGAAAGTACCTGTACTTCCTCTACAGATTACTCGATTTGTATAAAATGTGAGTATTTTTAGTTTTCCTAATATGTTTGAAAATACAATTTTTATTATAGCTAAACGTTTAGAAGTTATGGCACCCAGTCCTCGGATCATGTCTCCACTTGGATTCGCTGTAAATAGGCAATATCCTCGAAAATCTAGATTTAGTGATTATTACGATGATTCAGATGCTTATGAATTTGATGATAATAATCCGGATCACACGAAGCCAGTTCCCATATGGTTATGCGTTTTGTTAGTGGTAAGCTACATTATTATGGGAGCATTTCTTTTTAAGAGCTGGGAACAATGGGAATTCCCCGATTCTGCTTATTTCTGCTTTATTACACTTACTACAATTGGATTTGGTGATTTTGTGCCTGCGCAAAGAGTAATGAATAAAGGCGAAGATACCAAATTACGAATTTGGTTCTGTTCATTATACCTTCTATTTGGTATAGCTTTATTGGCCATGAGTTTCAACCTTGTTCAGGAAGAAGTTATAAGCAACGTAAAAGCAGTAGCTCGACATTTGGGCATCATTAAAGACGAAGACGAAGAAGAATCTGACTGATATTATTTTTTATTATCACTGTGTTTAAGTGTAATATTTTACTATCATTCTAGTTTAAGTGTAAAATTGTATCAACATTTTTTAAATTAACATAACTACTACTTATATAGTATTTCAATAAAATTTATCTGCTTGTAAAAATTTTAAGATTATGATACTTTATTGTTTATACCTTATTTTAACTGAGAATTTGTGATATTTGTTGTAGGCTAAGCATAGCTTATGCTTTTTTTCTAAAAACTGAATATATTTTTTTAATTTCCTATGTAAATAATTTATTCTGTTTGCTCTAAATTCATTCTTAATTAATGGAAAACAATCATATTATTTTATTATTTCTGATAGCTTAACAATGTTATTCTTATTTTTTTTAATAGTCAATTAAATCAAGCATAATTTTCACATAGAAACTAAATTATTAAATTATATTATATTATAAAACTTGTTCTAATGAAACAATTACATTGAGATAAATATGTTCTGCATTATCAAATCTTTATATTTTCACCAGAATATTGTATCTTGCAAGATAATATTCATATAAATATTGACCAACAGGAAAGATTTTTGCAAGTTAGTTTAGTAATTAGAGTTGTTCAAGAAGTCAATTTGAGATGAAGTAATAGATGAAAAGTGAACCAAACTTTATTGTTTACTAAGTTAAGTGTTTGTTGCTCAACCAGCAAAAATTGTAACATTATACTTCTAAACAAAAAATAGGTGAGTGTTGCTTTTCACCTTAGATATTGCTTTACTATAGAAAAAAATAAAAGTAAAACATTCCATTACGCGGTGGAACAGATGGGTTATTCGATGGCTTAATGGAATTAAAAATAACAATTTTGAACTGTACGAATTTCTTAAGACATGAAGGGATATTAAACTGTACCACATATAGCAGGCAATTTACCGTAGGTATCTTTGTGGTCAATATTTTACGTGAAACTAGTGTAAAACGGTTTATACCATAATTTCGTCTATAAATAAACATTATTTAGGCACGTAGCTACAAGGTAAATTTATCTCACTCCAGGTCCGACTCTCCCAAATATAAAGTAAATTTTTTTTTATGAAAAGCACAACGTTTTAGGGTTTATGCAATATGGTTATGTTAAGTTGTTGGTCAAAGTAGTGAAAGATAATTCATTTTAAATATAGTTTTTAAATATTGATTTGTTTATCAATAATTAAGTAGGATACAAATATTAATATATGAGTAATCTAAATTGAGGAGAGTCCCTCGCAACGGGCTGAGGGACACCATATTTGTTATGTTAATGATTTTATTACTACGCATTTTTAAAAGATCGTGTATTATTGAATGTTTTTTAGTTAACTGCAATGTCATTGTAGAACTTGACGTCAAAAGTGTGTTTTCCTGTTATTTTTTCCCATAAGTCTTTCAGCAAAATATTTTCTTCCTACTTTGAAATACTAGAAACTGTGTGTGTGTGTCTTGTCGTGCTGTAAAATATACAACAGTGTAATGAAAAATATATAATAGAACGAAAAATACTAGTATTATTTTGAAATAAAATAAGCTTAAAATAATAATGAACGAAAAATACTAGTATTATTTTAAAAAATATTTTTAACTTTTTAGTTCGATGTGCTTTAAAAGCGTGTTTTTTTAGGTTTTTGTTTAAACTACAATAATTTTTTACTTTTTAGTCTCATATGCTAAGGAAGCGTGTGTTTTAGTTTTTTAACTATATTTTTTTTTCATAGACAGCTACGGTATGTATGTTTTTGGTTAACATATTATATAAAACATACAGGTGAAACTAATGTAAGCGTGTTAAAAAAAATAATTTAGTGTTTAAAAAGTGTCTGTGATATTGATGTTATTTAAAGTAAAGAATTGTTCTATATCCACCTAAGCTGAATATAAGAGATCCCAATTTTATGCCAACACATATCTTATTCAATCATTTTTAAACACTCAATGTAATAAGTCTTTTTTTTTAATTTTCCATTAATAATTTTAGTTATTTTAGCGATATTTTTAGATCATAATATTTTCTTGTACAAATAATACATTTTATTAATTTTGTCATATGTCATTATGAAACATATAATTGTTATTGTAAGCTTTTAAATAAACTTTTGAAAATTATAAGATGTAGTAAATTGACAATATCAATTTAATATAGTTAATGAAATATTTGGTTTAAAATTAATACTGACATGATCCAATCAAATTGTTAATTTAACGAGTACTTAGTGGAGTATTTTAAAGTCAGCCGATAATAGTAATGGTTTAATTGGTTAGTCTGATATTATTTTTATAAACTTGTAGTTTAAGATTTCAACGACCTACAGAGTAATAAAGTTTTTGATAACCTGATATTATAACAACCTTATAAAGGTTTACTTATTAATTATTTTGTACGTTCATATTTCTTCATAAAATACTAAAATGATAAAAATGATTTTATTGAGTTGTATTTAGTGATATAAAATGCTCACAAACTAGTTTCATTTAAAATAAATAGTGAATTTTCAATGATAACTTTTATGAACTTTTTAAAAAATATTTAAACAATATTAATTTTTCATCAAAAAGTTATAACAAAATATTTGTTTATTTTTTTTTACCAGTATTGTCAGAAGTCATAAAGTTATGAAAAAATATTTTTAAAAACCCATTAAACATTGTGTATTNTTTACTATAGAAAAAAATAAAAGTAAAACATTCCATTACGCGGTGGAACAGATGGGTTATTCGATGGCTTAATGGAATTAAAAATAACAATTTTGAACTGTACGAATTTCTTAAGACATGAAGGGATATTAAACTGTACCACATATAGCAGGCAATTTACCGTAGGTATCTTTGTGGTCAATATTTTACGTGAAACTAGTGTAAAACGGTTTATACCATAATTTCGTCTATAAATAAACATTATTTAGGCACGTAGCTACAAGGTAAATTTATCTCACTCCAGGTCCGACTCTCCCAAATATAAAGTAAATTTTTTTTTATGAAAAGCACAACGTTTTAGGGTTTATGCAATATGGTTATGTTAAGTTGTTGGTCAAAGTAGTGAAAGATAATTCATTTTAAATATAGTTTTTAAATATTGATTTGTTTATCAATAATTAAGTAGGATACAAATATTAATATATGAGTAATCTAAATTGAGGAGAGTCCCTCGCAACGGGCTGAGGGACACCATATTTGTTATGTTAATGATTTTATTACTACGCATTTTTAAAAGATCGTGTATTATTGAATGTTTTTTAGTTAACTGCAATGTCATTGTAGAACTTGACGTCAAAAGTGTGTTTTCCTGTTATTTTTTCCCATAAGTCTTTCAGCAAAATATTTTCTTCCTACTTTGAAATACTAGAAACTGTGTGTGTGTGTCTTGTCGTGCTGTAAAATATACAACAGTGTAATGAAAAATATATAATAGAACGAAAAATACTAGTATTATTTTGAAATAAAATAAGCTTAAAATAAGCTTAAAATAATAATGAACGAAAAATACTAGTATTATTTTAAAAAATATTTTTAACTTTTTAGTTCGATGTGCTTTAAAAGCGTGTTTTTTTAGGTTTTTGTTTAAACTACAATAATTTTTTACTTTTTAGTCTCATATGCTAAGGAAGCGTGTGTTTTAGTTTTTTAACTATATTTTTTTTTCATAGACAGCTACGGTATGTATGTTTTTGGTTAACATATTATATAAAACATACAGGTGAAACTAATGTAAGCGTGTTAAAAAAAATAATTTAGTGTTTAAAAAGTGTCTGTGATATTGATGTTATTTAAAGTAAAGAATTGTTCTATATCCACCTAAGCTGAATATAAGAGATGCCAATTTTATGCCAACACATATCTTATTCAATCATTTTTAAACACTCAATATAATAAGTCTTTTTTTTTAATTTTCCATTAATAATTTTAGTTATTTTAGCGATATTTTTAGATCATAATATTTTCTTGTACAAATAATACATTTTATTAATTTTGTCATATGTCATTATGAAACATATAATTGTTATTGTAAGCTTTTAAATAAACTTTTGAAAATTATAAGATGTAGTAAATTGACAATATCAATTTAATATAGTTAATGAAATATTTGGTTTAAAATTAATACTGACATGATCCAATCAAATTGTTAATTTAACGAGTACTTAGTGGAGTATTTTAAAGTCAGCCGATAATAGTAATGGTTTAATTGGTTAGTCTGATATTATTTTTATAAACTTGTAGTTTAAGATTTCAACGACCTACAGAGTAATAAAGTTTTTGATAACCTGATATTATAACAACCTTATAAAGGTTTACTTATTAATTATTTTGTACGTTCATATTTCTTCATAAAATACTAAAATGATAAAAATGATTTTATTGAGTTGTATTTAGTGATATAAAATGCTCACAAACTAGTTTCATTTAAAATAAATAGTGAATTTTCAATGATAACTTTTATGAACTTTTTAAAAAATATTTAAACAATATTAATTTTTCATCAAAAAGTTATAACAAAATATTTGTTTATTTTTTTTTACCAGTATTGTCAGAAGTCATAAAGTTATGAAAAAATATTTTTAAAAACCCATTAAACATTGTGTATTATTATGTATATTCTTTATTTAATTCTTCTTTTTTAGATATTAACATCGATATAAAGCTAAGGAGGTATTAATTTTACCATGATGTGTTTATTTATTTTTTTTTTTGTGTGTCTGTCACTACTTATTCTCAGCTCTCTCTGAACCGATTTTTCTTAACGATACATCAAAAGATAACAAATTGTATCTAGTTAAAAACTTACCCTCAAAATTTAAAAATTTTCTCTTAATGTTCGTAAATGCTGAAAATCATAAAATATCAGTAAATTTCTACATTTTTTTAAAACTTTATTAAATAATTATATTAAAAGAATTGGACTACACTTTAAAAAATAAATGTCTAGTTACCAATAATTTATGATAATCACAATTTTAATTTCATAAATGAAATAATAATTAAATAAGAAAGATCATATTCTTTTCTCTCATTACCTGTATTCATATCTCCACCTATCACCACATCTTCATTACTAAAATGCCTTGCATCACCTCATTCATCTCTCTATATCTAATATCAAAATATTTCCTTGTCTATTTCATCACATCCTACTTGTATTTTACTAATTTTACGAAAATAATTCTGTCACTTTTTCTACTATTTTACTTTTTATCAACATTTAAGTAACCATGGGAATGCATAAATTCTGAGAAGCTAGAAGATGCAAAAAATTATGATGCGATAGGTGATGATGAAAAACTAAGCAAATAGGATGTTAATTTGCAATACTTGTATTAATTCTGATGTTAACCATAATATTAGTATCTATTCCAAACCAACCATTTGTTATCAGCTCTACTATATTGTTTTTACACGATTTTTACATCGCAACTTCACTATGGCTAAGAGAACCAGTAAGAGAGCTAGACATGCATCCTTGTTAAAGTCTCTGTACCCATCCAGGTGTTAACGGCAAACAGAGCATTTAAATGCTTTCTCAATTAATATCTCATAAAATTGGAAATAATGTATAAAATAATTTGTTTAGTGATTTTGTTTGACAAATTAGTGATTACACATTTTAATATTTTGTTACAAATTTTATTTTTTTCTTTATAAAATACCACTTGTATTTTGGTGTTTTTTATAATACGAATAATAAGCATCCATTTTACAATATTATACAAATTTTTGTTAACAATTTATACCACTAAATGCAATGATGTAAAATATGTTGACAGATTTTTTTAAAGATACAGATCTGAAAAAGAAGTGTATCAGTAACTTTTCAAATAACTAATATTTTCTCTTTATTTAGATTTTCTTTATTCATTCTTTTCCATTTCAGTTACAAATTATTTTTGTGGTCTTAATGTTTTATATATATACTTTAAACCGCCGGCTATGTTATTCTCAGTACAAAAAATTCGTGTAAAACCAAATTAAAGCAATGCAATAATTTTTGTGGTTGTTTGTTTTAAATAGACGAGTAAAAACTTAGCTTATCCTGACGGCAATGCCGCACACGAGACAGGAGCAAAAAAATGTAGGACATACATATACTATAGTATGTATGTATTAAAGTTATTATAATGAGCTCACGATTCATACGCAGCTTTCTGTTGGCCATAAAACCAAAATATTTTTAATATTAATACGCATGAATATAAAAACTTATGTGGAATATAAATTACATATATTTTCTATTGTTTTAATAAAATTTCTTTACTTAAAATTAGTGTTAACATTTCATATAATTTCAGTATGAAAAGTAACTTTGATATAAAATAATAAACTCATACAAAGCTTAAGTGACGTGAGTAGAATATAGGCCATTTTCTACACCTCTAGTTTTAATAATATTATCGCATTAATACGTTTAACGTAATAATGCTTTTGATGTAACTGTATATGCAATTGAATGAACAAGCTATCGTTGTTAAATCCATTTAATTGAAATAGCTGAAGGAAGAAGACAGGGTTCGTGTATATAATTAAAACCGTGTGTCTCATTCGTCAATTTGATAAATTGCATTCCGTCAGTATTCTCAGGTTTATTATGTTATATTATAAATTTACTACTCATTTGTATAGATTCTGAAACTTTTCTGGACAAATATTTTCTTTTATTACACGTCATAATAAATGAGTTATGCCAAAGGAATGCGTATAATGTTTTTACAAAACAAAAATTCCATTTTATTTTACTTTGAAGTTGTAAGAAAATTTTGGTGCAATACTCTTCAAGAAAAATTTATACTCATAAAGCTAATAAAATATTTTCTTTATTGTACGTATTTATTATTTTGAATTAATGAACACTAATTAATAAGCAAGATTGACGTATACATTAAGCTAATTAAAAGAAGATTATTTTTCTATGTTATAAATTTTGTATAGTTGAATGAATTTGTTCATTATTTATTCAGAAAGATTAAACAATATTATTCTATAGAATTTATTAAAACAGTTCAATTAGTTTTCGATATCCTAATAATCATTATTATTAAGTAACACATATCACTGACAGATTTCAAATCGATAAATTAGTTATAAAACTAACTAAGAAATCCTTTCTGATGTATATATTATTTTTAATATATATTCAGTGATCAATCAATGTGGTTATATCTAAGGTTAAACTATGTTACGTTTAAATTTTTACTAAAAAGTAGTATAGATTATAAATACACACCAGTACAAGATGTACTGGTGTACATATAGCGCGGGTGGGTAGCCGCACTATATGCCAATTCTATTAAAATATTCGAAATCCAATTAATAGTTGTAACAAAATTTTTTTTGAAACATCAACATTTTTCTTAAGGAAAGGGCTAGCTTAAAAATTTGTATAAATAAAAAATAAAAAATTTTTTTATATTATCTCATTAAAGACAAATAATAAAAAATTAACTTTAAACTTATACTGCGAATGCAAAAATTGTTAAAGAAAAATTACAGCGAAATAATTATTAAGTTACAAGAGTTGTCACTTATATCTGGTTCATCTGTTTATAATAATTATTCATTATAATTTAAAACGAAATATTTTAAACAATTAAAAATGTTATTAAAAAATACACAAGTCAATACGCTATAAAAGTAAACTTCAATTTTTTAACATAGACTAAAAGCGAATTTAAATAGGACTTTTGAGAAAGCTAGTTATAAAATTGGATGTAATAAAGCTGATTGCGATCACATTTAGGCCTGCTGCAGACGTGTAGTTTTTGTGTTGGCAAATGTCTTCTGTTTTTGTCGGATTCAAATATATATATATAAAAAATATCATTGTGTTTCACAAGACGCTTTATTTCTATAGCACGTAAATTGCTTGTTATACGCGCTTGGTTTATTTTATTTATGGTCCAAAAAAAATATGTGTGGTAGATGAAAATCACTTGAAAAATATGTCATAATAATAAGAGATCAATCACAATTATTTTTAATTATATATGACACTTTATTTTATATAAAAAGACAATTGATTATCAAGAATATTTTTATAATTAATTTTTTAATACTGGCAATAAGGTTGTATAAAAAAATAATGATAATTCAAACCAATTATAAGATAAAAGCAACCAAAATGTTGAAGACTTTAACAGATATATAGTACACATAAAAGCAGTTTTACTTAATTTCATAGAAACATATTTAAAAATGTATATAATAATAGTGAGTTGACAAGTTCTTTAAGTAAAAACTTGAATGTCCCATCATAATTCTTAAAATGTTTTATAAATGTAAGTTTAACTGACATGCATTAGTTTTCTCGGTTATTTTATATGACTTCGAGTTAAATTCTATCTCGACTTCTATACACTTTTAAGTTTTCACATAGTGTCATTAAAAACTATTAATTTGATTTTTGAGGTCGGTTTCTAATGTTAGTTAGCTGCCGTTGTTGTAACGTATGAAAAGTGTTGACAATATGTCGCAGTAACGTATTTTCAAAAACTTCAATAACGCAACGATTATTACTAGAAAACTTAAGTTGAAAAAAGGTCAGTTTTGCTTAAAGTTCTGTAACATGTGTCTATTTTTGATGAAGAGTTTATTGACTTATTGCTATGGGTGGATGTTTGAAAATAATTTATTTCTTTACGACTTTTTAATATAGTTTTGTAATTCCTAAGCACGATCAATAAAATAATGATAATGTTCAGTTTTAAGTTAAGATTAAAATTATACTGGAATAGATTTTAACTTAAAAAAATATTTTGTTAAATCAGGATTGCCAGAATATTTTAATTTTGATATTCCCCGACTTTCTAATCATTTTCCAAGAAGCATGCAACGCACAAAAAAATGGATCTTTAAATTAACTTTTTATCGACTAATACAATTTATTACCGTTGTTAACTGTGGTAGAAAAAAATTAAATAATACATTTATTATTTCAAATAAAGCACAAATATAAATAAACGTACCCATGAAAATAATTAACTGTTATCACAAAAAATGATAAAATTTCACCTGTTTTTTGACGTTAAATTATAATGTTTTAATGTTAAATTCAATTAAAATACATTCATCAATATACAAAAATAATGATAATTAAGTTTTGACAGAAAATCACTACACCAGTAGAGGACCCAGGGGCAAGATGGAATTGCCTTCTGGGCCGCTGTCTATAGAGTAATAAGGGCCACTATGATTATGTTATGCTAATCTGGTTTATAAAATGTAGTTTTGTTCATTTTTTTTTTATGAAGCGATAAGAATATTTTGTGGGGCAAGCTGGGCTGCCTCAATATTTACGCCCCTTGTGCACTGTTGACCTTTCAGTACGGCTCTGCATTACACCGTAAAACAATTTTGTCAAAACTCCAGGTACTTTAATAAATTTTCTTGACATTACAGAGATACTCTGACTAAAAAAAATATTCTTGATTTTTTCTGTTTTTTAGACTTGTAGCAACCCTGTAAGTATTAATTGAGTAATTCAAATTGCACACTCTTAAATTTTAAGAAATTTAGTCACAGTAGTAAAAAGTTAATAATAAGAATTTTATTTATATATATACACAAAACAATCAAAAAATATAATAAAAAATTGGGAACAATGTCATTGAAAAAAAAAACTGGGACAATAACAAAATTTACAATATTACATGTATTTAACCAATGTTCATCAAACATATGTACACACAATATCGTGGATTTATACAAAAACATATCAAAAACAGCAAATAATTCTTTAAATATATCAATTAATAAATTAAGATGTTTTTGATTTTCGGAAAAATCTGAATAAACTTAGTTTTTACACCGGGTAATTCTTCTTAGTATGTCCGTGCATGTTCTAATTTTCATTACCACATCTTGTTGCATCAAATTAAAACACATGGCAATTAAAGCCATTCCCAACATTAGATACATTGAACATAGTATAAAACTGAGCTCAACTCCTTGTATAGGACCTGATCCTGTTCCAGGGCCAGTTATGTTACTACCAGGCACGAAGTCACCAAAACCAATAGTACTCAAAGATATAAAACAGAAGTAAGACCCATCAAAAAATTCCCAATCTTCCCATTTAGCAAATAAAACTGCACCTCCAGATATGTACCTAAAGGGTAAAATTCAAAAGTTAAAAAATAATTTCAATTTTCAAAAAAACATTAACTAATATTATTTAATTGCTGATATTCTTAAAAAAAAAATGATTAATGATATCATATTGGAAAAACACTAATCAGTTAAAGGAAGTTGGCATTTTCATATTGATGTAGGTTATAGTTTTTAAAATATTAACATTTGGAGTTATCTTTTTACTTTTTAGTCAATTAAATAGTAAAAATGAATTTTGAAAACTTGACATTTAAGAAATATTTATATTATTTTTGTTGATTTCATTGTTATTAATGTAAAACTACCTATACTTAAAAGGTTTTCCATTACAATTACACTAATGCAATTATATAGCCTAATCAAAACGCCTTGAGTTCTTAGGTTAGATATTAACACAATTTCCGACTTTAACAGCCCAATATTAAAACAAGCATTTCACTAATTTATATTTTTACCATCCAAATCTAATGTTTTTATTTAAATATTATATTTGAAAAAAAAAAACGTATTTACAGCAATCTAATATTTAATAGAACATTTACATAACTGACATAACATTTTATTAATTGTATGTCGTATGCTTAGCGCCATAGAGTCTNTTAAAACAAGCATTTCACTAATTTATATTTTTACCATCCAAATCTAATGTTTTTATTTAAATATTATATTTGAAAAAAAAAACGTATTTACAGCAATCTAATATTTAATAGAACATATACATAACTGACATAACATTTTATTAATTGTATGTCGTATGCTTAGCGCCATAGAGTCTGAATAGTTTTAAACGGCATTAAATGTATAAACTGGTTGAAACATTCTAAATTTAATGTAATCAGTCATCGCGTAGGAAATAAAATGAATAATACAGTAAATGGAACTTCTTGGTGTCATACCCGACGGGCAAAAAGTATGCCTTTATTTCCACCAAAGATGTAGTGCGGTGAAATACGATTTTTGTTATCTGTGAGCTATTTTACGTGCAGAATATTTAGATCAATGTCCTATATAATTTATTCATATCCAAAATGAGATACACCTATCATTGTAAAAAACGACGACATTAAAAACAAAGCAGAGACTGACAATAATAATCTAATAATATTTCAAGAACAATACGTTCAATAACAATTTTTGATATTCTGAAATAATTTTTATGAGACCTTATTTTTAATTTAAGCGTTATTACTCATATATTGGTAGAATAATGAAAATTTTTCTATATTTTCAATAATTGTTATTTTATTAAATTATCTAAATTTTTTTAGCGAGTTTCATACTACTTTTTCAAAAATAAGTACATATTCTTTTCATGTTGTGTATGTGGGAATAACCAAGTGAATATTCAAACAAGTGATCTTAAACCTCGTAATAATTATGATTGTCTACTAAGCTTTATAGGTTTGCAAATAATTAAATTGAAAATTGGGCGGAAGCACATCAGTTTGTGTTTGCTATTTAAACAAATAAAAAAAAGTTCACATTTTTTATAGAAATAACATTTTTTGATTCTAGCGACATTTGTATAATACGTCTTTGTCGCGACGCAGACGACCCATTTTTTAACCGAATGCCTGGATGTAGATTTTGCATCTCGTAAAAATCGGTTGTTTCGCTGGGATAGAATCGAATGACAATAAATCAGTATCATCGAACGCCTTTGTCCGCTTACAACGAATATATGCGATTGGGACTCGTTCACTTTTCCTTCACCAAAGCATGCCACTAGTTTTTTTATCTCGATCAGACGTATCGTAATATGGTAACAAGAATTATTTAGGTGTGTATAAAAACTGAATTTACCAACTAACAAAATACACAATACCATCTCATTCATTCGACTACGAAAAAAATCGTTTTGAATAATATGGCGAACACGTTTGTTAGTACCGAAATACACATAATTATTATTATTACCTCCGATAGATTTCTACACATTTGGTGAACTGTTGCGACGGTAGACAAACGTGTAAGATAAAGAAAGCAGCAGAAACAAAAACGAAATAGTTCATCCTTTGGGATTTGCCATATAACGTGTCGGATGGAACAGGTCGACAATATGTCATCTCAGCCCGTAGAGATAGTACCATACTTTTATTTGGTAGGTAAGAAAAAATTTCTTTAAACCATTAAACATTTGAACATGAAAAATGATCTAAATAAAATATGAAATTTATTTTCATATAGAAAATATTGATATATTTATATATCACTGTAGAAAAAAATTTTACTCTCGCAGAAACTAATTTCATGGTAATATTAAACAAACTGAAAACTAGGGTTGTATGATTAGCACAAATGTTTTTCATTAATGATTCGTAAAATTTTAGAGTATATAATTAACATATTCACAGTGGTGACGCAACTAGAGTAAAAATCCAGGGAGTGATAAATATGTATAAGGCTCATGAAGTTGTCGGGGTGGAGTCTCACACCTTCCAATCCACCACAGTAATATAATATATTGCTGAATTACTAATTATTGTTGATCGATGGCATAATATTAAAATGTCCCAGTGTGCGAAAAATAACGATTTTACTCGCTAAAATAGTACTATAACGTCATGGTAAAAGAAAAATCGATACAGAAAAAATTTGATAATAAATTTTTCTAAATAAAAATATTACGTTGAACTGCAGATATTAAAATTCAGGGACTGTACTAGAGCCTAAGGGTGCCAAAATCAAGTCTAGCGGTGCTGAAGCATACCCAATAGTTGGGTCACTGCATATTCCACTGATTTTGAATTATTGCCACTGGGTAAGACACTCGGTAAGGTAACATGACTCGAGATATACGAACATTGCTACATGAGGGGCAAAATAAAATTAATAATTCAAAAAAAATTATTTAAAAATTTCTAACGGAAATAATTAACTTGTAGTTAAATAAATTGTCTTGGCTTAAAATGTCATGTTACTTTATATATGTTGGTTCAAAATCAGAAAATAAAAATAGTGTTGTTATATATTTGTAAAATTGTACATTTTTTAAGTTGTCTAAAACATACCAAATTGTGTTTAACAACAAATTTTTTAAATTATGTCGAATTCCTTGAATGAAATCAACATCATACAAAAATTTTACAATTTATGACATGTAAATATATTTTTATTTATTTAGTGTAATTTTAGTGAATAATGAATTAAAAATGAATAAAAATAACATTAAATTACAATTGGTTTTTTAGTTATCAATGTAATTTAAAAAAGTGTATAAATTACCTCCGATATTGCCTACCCTTAATTACTTAAAATAATGTTAATAATTATAGGAATAATATATAAGAACAATTAATTTAATTATTTCAAAATTATATTAAATTTCTCGTAAATAATTTAAGAATATGTTGTTGGACAAAAGAAATATTTCAAATAACATTATAATTTAATTTCACTGTTTAAATAACAAAATGAAAATATTAAAAAATCATAATATGGATATAATGAAAATATATGCCCCTCAGAATTTTTTAATTTACTATTAATTTTTAATTTTTAGAAATTATGCCAACAATGTTCAATCATTATATTTCCCTTGGAATATTATTACTTGCGAAAAAGAATATTGCACTCGAAACAAATGTAACTAAATACTTATTATTGTATTTCCTTTATCTGTGATTTAAAATAAATAGTTGATAAACTTTTTTCCTCTTGGTAAGTTTTAATGAAAAAGGTAAGCACCTTGAGTTTTAAAAGTTTTAGTAAATTTATATTTAACTCACCCAAAATGTACAAATCGTAAAAGTATTGCTCTATTTATGTTTTCCAGAAATATTATTTTAACATACTGGGTCACGTAATTAATAATAAAATTTAAATAAATCTGCTTTAAAGTTACGTATTAATAATTGTAACACTCGTATTTTAGCAATAAAAAAGTTTCATATTAATTATATTGATCGTTGATTAGGAATCATATTTACACATAAAAATATCCGCGGTACTTTTTGAAATTGATTCTGTACAAATATTAAGCATTTAAAAAGACCCCAGATTATGTTTGAATAACTAATATTTCAGCTCATACTTAGGTTAATATAAATAAAATCTTTTATAAAAACAACCATTCTTTATAACAATTATAGAATGACTTATTATTAAATAGCGAGAGATTTTGGGTCACGAAGTTTAATTTTAATTTTTAAAGTCGCCACGTATAACAAAAATGTAAGTATTTAGTTAAATTTATTACAATTAGTTCATTATGTCTTATTTTAATTCTCCTAAAAATGTTGAGTACGATATATTTATGCATGAAGTGGAATTGGCATACAAGTTTCATACTTATAATATATTACACATTTATTTTACTTACCCAACCATAATAGTTAAGCACAGTGAAATTGGCACGGTAACCTCTTGTGTATCGTTGAAGCTTAACGAGGAACTTTCATCAGTGGTGCCCTCGTCGTCACTTTCCTCGCCCTCAGTAAGTACACCGATATTAAGTTTGAAATCTCGCATATCCATCTACAAAATAATCAAAAACGTAGGTTTTTAATGAAATGAAAATTCTATTAAGTAAATAAAGAAAACAAGGTTACAGTGTTTGGCGCATTTGCACTGAATTTTTATGAGCGAGAGCTGAATGGTAAAATATGGAGGAGTATCGAAATGAGAAAAAATACTATAAATACTACTTTAGTTGAAGTGTCACTTGAGTGCAATACATCAACGTCATTTTTATGTGTTATTGACAACATGGTCTCAAATGCCCCTTACTTTCCACTGTTCCTTCCGTTGCAATGCTAACATACGTTTTCGACGTTTTTTGCAACCTCGACATAGACAACACTTAGCATATATCCATTTGAAGCTCTTAGCCAGAATGTCTCCAATGTTCGATAGGTATAACAGAAAAAGAGGCATTCCTACGATTGCGTATAATATTGTGGCAAGTTTGCCTAGAAGAGTTCGAGGGGTCACATTTCCATAACCTTAAAAAATATAAGAGATAATTATAACACAGATGTAAGTAATTAAATGTAAATAACAGATATTTGTTTATTATAACTAAATCTATAACTAGCTATAAATATATATTTATATATTATATTAAAATATTAATATTAATAATAATATTAATGAGGTAAAAATAAATTAAATTTAACAAAAAAAAAAAAATTAGTTGTAACAGAGGGGTTAGTGATTAAAATCATTATTATAAAACGTTTCGAAACGAGTGTACTAATAAGTTCAATTATTCTAATTTTTTTAGTTTGTTAATTGTAATTTATAATAAGTTTTTGGTAACTAGAAAAATTTTTTTTTTTTTGAAAGGGAGGATTTTTAAGGTGCTATTTACTAACCCTGTATATATTTAATATACTATTCTATTTATAATGATAGACCTTTAATGTAGGAATTAATAATTGAAGTAGAAAATTATATATATATATATATAATGTTACACAGAAAAAACATTTTTTGTTTAACTTCGAAGGTTATTTGTACATTTATTTATTTTTTAACTTATATTATGTAATATAAACTTTAATTTAACATATGTTTGAAGAACGCAATATTTCCGGAACATAACTCAACTTTTCATTTTACTTGATATTTTCAAAAGTTCAGTGGAAAAAAGTTGACATAAGAGTTTTCATACATTAAAGTATATTTTTAATGACTTCTTCACATGAGTAGATAAAGGGTTGCATTAAAAAAAATATACCTAGTAAAAGGAAAATATTTAAGGTGCTTTTAAAAAAGTTACAGCAATTTTAAGTTAAAAACATAAGAGAAATAACAAAATTATTTCTAAAATTGTAATTTTTTGGAGGGTGTTCCCATTTAGGGGAACGAGAAAAATTAAAGTAATTAAAATACAATTATATTATTTACGCAAGAGTCTTATTAACAACCTTTTAATAGCTCTAAAAGTTATTAAAAAAAAATAAGGACTATTAATTTATCAAAGCATTTAATAAATATTTGAAGCTTTTTCCATAATTATTATCTCTATTAAGTTGTTTTAATAAAGCAGTGTATTCAAATGTTTTAAAACATTTTTTAATTTAATTTAAATACAAAAAATCAATTTCATACTTAATTGAATAACGTCTAAAATTGAACTCAAGTTGCTAAATTATATATATTAAACTCCATTATAAATATTTATTCAAATTAAATAGCTATAATAGAAAAACAAAAGGCATTTATGAACTTGAAAATCAAAATGTTTAAAAAAATAAAAAGTTAAAAGCTATTATTAGTTACTTGTATTTTTGTTTGAATAAAGCTAAAAAATTATTAGTCTTAAATAAGTGTATGTAGGGTTTCTAAAAACAAAAAAANGTATTTTTGCTTGAATAAAGCTAAAAAATTATTAGTCTTAAATAAGTGTATGTAGGGTTTCTAAAAACAAAAAAAACGCATCGTTATTTTTTTAATATTATGTATAGTAAAAATAATTTATACAACATAAAAATTTACGAAAATAAAAAAAAAAAATTCATGTTAGTATGGTATCTATAAAAATAAAAGTTACTTGTAGTTAAAATAGGTGTAACGATAACCGCATTTTTCAAAAACTATTAGTTAAATCATCTATGTGTAAGGTGAAAGCTACTGTTCAGACAGAGATAATATTCACAAATATGATGTATAGTAGCTGCAATATGTGTATTGAGAAGGATTTATCAGGATATAACTTTCATGTAATATATAAGCGCAGCAAAGGTAAGAAAAGGATAATAGAGGTTTTGAAAGCTGCACAGAGATATGAAATGGTTTTTCTTTCCCATTTAGTTAATATGTAAAAATTTTTAGAAGACGGTAATCTCGGACAGTACTGACATGAATCTAAATCCGGATCGACAGTCTACAAAAAACTGAAATTTATATTGCAATAATAAATAGAGCAGAAAATATATTAGCGATTTGTACAAAATACTGTTAAATTTATATACCTCGTTTGGATATAAATTTTGAAAGTTAAATATGAATCTATAATGNATTTATATTGCAATAATAAATAGAGCAGAAAATATATTAGCGATTTGTACAAAATACTGTTAAATTTATATACCTCGTTTGGGTATAAATTTTGAAAGTTAAATATGAATCTATAATGTTTTTTTACTATTAAATGGATTATATTAACTTTAAATGTAATACAAAACTGATTATCGACCAGTCAACATAGTATTTAATCCATTCTCCATCTAATAGAATAAAACTAATTATAGGTTCTCATTTTTGTAAAATACCCCTAAAATCTACCCTTGGAAATAATTATTTCTTATAATTGACTTGATATTTACTATAGTTCATATAAAATAAATCGAGTTTTAATTTGTTCATTTTTACGAAAAAAAACATTATTTAGCTGAAAAATTAAGGCTAGTATTCTTAATAAATCACTTTGTATAATACAACTCGGGGTTCATCTCTTTTTACTGTATAAAGTTATTTATTTCTACAAGTGTACATTTGCATATAAATTCGAAATTAACTATAACGCCATTTTATAACTCTTTAGTTTTCATATTACAAAGAAAAGAATATTTTCTTATATTTTATTATGTAAATAATACTTTATTACAATCTGTTGATATAAACTACGGCTATCTACTGCGTTTTACTTATTGTTTAGAATTTACTTTAAATTATATGAGTAATGAACGTAGACTATAAAAGATGTGTATTTTCAAAATAGCTTTTTGCTGTGAAAGTCAAGTTCATAAATTAGTTGCAGATTCCATTAACACTAAAACAGATGGCTAAACCATTATTTGTGGACAAATGACAACAATGATTTAGCCGATTTGTACTTAATGTACAAATGGACAGCAAACCATTGCGTTAACTTGTCAAGCTGGGCAATGCATTACAATAAAATGTAATTGGTGGATTTAAATATTGGTAGTAAAATTTAGTTGACACTTATTTAATATTTAGGGGAACTATTCACCTATTATTTATTATTATTAGTTAAGAGTAATCTTTTATGAATGATATAAAATAAAAATTATGGATTATTATAGACAAAGTATTTGAATTAAATGTTAAAATTGAGTTGGGTTCACAGCAAATTTAAAAATTAATAGTTCTATCAGGAAGTTTTGAGAAAAAGAAAAAGGTAAAAACACTTCAAACAAAAAATCTATTTTTAATTTACAAGGCTTTATATGGAAAACTTATATTTAGAACTCTATTATCTAGAAATTAAAAAAATGTCACTAACACCCCTTACAATTTTTAAATGCCTCAAATACTGTATAGATGATATAAAAATTTATTTTATTTTTGATGTAGTTAGATTGGCTAATTATAAATATTTTCAAATATTCAATTATATTACGTGGTAATCAGTTATTTATATTAACTGAAACATTCAAAAAATTTATAATTTTAATATTGTTTACTCTTATGTTACTACTAATAATTTACTAAAATATTAAATTTTAAAATAATGAACATTTGTGTTCATTATACGAATTCAAGAGGAATGATAATTTTCTTGATTGTTCTTGTTTAAATGAAGTTGTATTTTAAATATTTAAATATNGTTTTTTTACTATTAAATGGATTATATTAACTTTAAATGTAATACAAAACTGATTATCGACCAGTCAACATAGTATTTAATCCATTCTCCATCTAATAGAATAAAACTAATTATAGGTTCTCATTTTTGTAAAATACCCCTAAAATCTACCCTTGGAAATAATTATTTCTTATAATTGACTTGATATTTACTATAGTTCATATAAAATAAATCGAGTTTTAATTTGTTCATTTTTACGAAAAAAAACATTATTTAGCTGAAAAATTAAGGCTAGTATTCTTAATAAATCACTTTGTATAATACAACTCGGGGTTCATCTCTTTTTACTGTATAAAGTTATTTATTTCTACAAGTGTACATTTGCATATAAATTCGAAATTAACTATAACGCCATTTTATAACTCTTTAGTTTTCATATTACAAAGAAAAGAATATTTCCTTATATTTTATTATGTAAATAATACTTTATTACAATCTGTTGATATAAACTACGGCTATCTACTGCGTTTTACTTATTGTTTAGAATTTACTTTAAATTATATGAGTAATGAACGTAGACTATAAAAGATGTGTATTTTCAAAATAGCTTTTTGCTGTGAAAGTCAAGTTCATAAATTAGTTGCAGATTCCATTAACACTAAAACAGATGGCTAAACCATTATTTGTGGACAAATGACAACAATGATTTAGCCGATTTGTACTTAATGTACAAATGGACAGCAAACCATTGCGTTAACTTGTCAAGCTGGGCAATGCATTACAATAAAATGTAATTGGTGGATTTAAATATTGGTAGTAAAATTTAGTTGACACTTATTTAATATTTAGGGGAACTATTCACCTATTATTTATTATTATTAGTTAAGAGTAATCTTTTATGAATGATATAAAATAAAAATTATGGATTATTATAGACAAAGTATTTGAATTAAATGTTAAAATTGAGTTGGGTTCACAGCAAATTTAAAAATTAATAGTTCTATCAGGAAGTTTTGAGAAAAAGAAAAAGGTAAAAACACTTCAAACAAAAAATCTATTTTTAATTTACAAGGCTTTATATGGAAAACTTATATTTAGAACTCTATTATCTAGAAATTAAAAAAATGTCACTAACACCCCTTACAATTTTTAAATGCCTCAAATACTGTATAGATGATATAAAAATTTATTTTATTTTTGATGTAGTTAGATTGGCTAATTATAAATATTTTCAAATATTCAATTATATTACGTGGTAATCAGTTATTTATATTAACTGAAACATTCAAAAAATTTATAATTTTAATATTGTTTACTCTTATGTTACTACTAATAATTTACTAAAATATTAAATTTTAAAATAATGAACATTTGTGTTCATTATACGAATTCAAGAGGAATGATAATTTTCTTGATTGTTCTTGTTTAAATGAAGTTGTATTTTAA